GTTTATCTGCATTGAAGAGCATAGAAGTATGAGGGGGAAGCAATTGATCGAAGGGGAATCTTCCATGTACTGGTAGGACAAAAGCTTGGATGGGTCAGCATTATATGGTTCAAGAACCGTAGTGACCACTGCAGTAGCATTACCAACGGAATTTTTCGACCTGATCAAGAATTGCCACGAATTCTTCACATGAATCGGGTAATAGACCGACCTAATCAGAGAAGGTGTTTTTCTCCAGTTTATAATGTCACCTTCTTTATAATCTTGAAGATTATCAGGGGCCTTATAAAAGTCATCATTTTCAGGAAGCTGAGGTATCACAAGACGACTCAGAACCAAGGTGAAAACCCACAAGAGGCAGAATAGAATATTCATTTGCATTTTCTTTTCTGTTAACTACGAAATACAACTGCCAGGCAGAAGATCGACCTTTTAAGTCTGGAATTTATCACGCTATTCCATCACCTCTGGCCCAATATAACAATAAAGAACAGTGACCATTGTTTGACTTGTTGAAGATGACAAAGTATCACCAACCACTGTGAAGTTTCGCCAAGAAACGCGCTTGCGTTCTTATCACAAACTGACGGTTACGACATATCACCCAATCCTATGTTCCTGTGAGTATACGAGCGAAGGCCGAGAGTGATGCAGTGTTGTTAAAGATTTACAGTTGAGCACCCACGAAATCGCCCAACAAGCGGCATTGCAATCCCTCATTCTTCATGATATTTTTTCCTTTCCCGCTAAGACGCGATTTTTGAGCTATCGTGCATGAATAGAAGTATCGTTAGCCGGCGCTAAGTATGTCAAGGTGATCTTCGGTTCTTGACTACCAGACCAGAAAATAGAAGATTGCAAAGAGCATCTCCTTGCACATAACCGAGCCACGAACGTTTGGCACTACCCAAATATTATTCAACTCGGTTGCTGATAAGAGTTCTTGGGAATTATCTGGGGAATGTTGATGTGTCGAAACGTGAAGTAGGCCGCGTCCTCAATTCTCTAATGTAAACATGTATGCATGGTTCGGACTTTCTTTCGCACAAACACTGCATCTACACAATAGTCACTGTGACAATGGTGAACTCTAATAGACCCCTTTTTTTAAGCACATTTCTAAAGCTTCAACCCCACACCAAAGATGTGAAAAGCTTATGAACCATTGTGGCAAATGACAAGAAACAAAAAGTTGCATGACACTAGCAGTACATTACAGGCGTTGTCAACTCATTTTTAGAGAGAAGACGCACGAACATGATTTAGAGACAGGAGTACTGTACTTGTATTCGTTATGAGACAGGGGAAAAGGTAACATGTGCAAACGAATAATCTAGATGACACCGAGGTGACGCAGCCTGCTATGGCGAAAAATAGAAGGTCAATAGGACAAGGCTGCAAAGTATTTACAGAGGGGGAAGGGGTGCTGATCAAGCATTGAACAGGCCAGCGGGATCAAGAAGCGAGTCGAGCTGCTTCAATGTCATTTGGTAAAGAAGCAACATAATAGAGCTCTGAATCCCCGTCCATATGAAACGTGGGCCGACACCGGAGAATACTCCCCGAATGCCTTCATTGGAATAGATAGAATGCAATGCACCAAGGGTAGAGAAGCGGTGCATAAATTTAGTCACGAGGGATGTGGCCAGATCAGCCGTGAGATGTCTCAGGGCACCGGCCGTATCTATGGTAGCGGTTTGGATTCGCGTTTTAATCACATCTAGTGGGGTAGTCAAGGTGCCAGCCAAGCCGCCCGCAGCAGCTCCAGTGGCTATCTCTAGCGAGATGGGCAAGTCCAGAGATTGGTGGTTGTATGCAATGGCCCATTGGCGAAACTTCTCGTAAAAAGCAAACTGCAAGGCGCTGAAGGGCAAATCACGGAATAAAGTTTCCTTGTACCCGAAGGTTAACGCCAGCAAACCTTCAGTCTTTGATATGGAAGCCACGGCATCGCGGAAGTTGCGATAATTGTAACCACAGCCTTGCGTATATGGGTTATTGTGACGACCCTGCAACTGTAAACGAGTTTTCAACACCTCCGAGGGCACATAAAAAACACTCAGGGCCAAGTCACCAAAAATTCCAGCTAGAAAGTATGCGACGGTGTCGTTCACCTGCAAGTCGTTGATCATGGCACGTTTGGTAAATTCGTATGTGCCGAAAAATGCTGCTGTAGACGGAAACGAACCGAGGATAGCTGGAACATACCCTCCATACAAGCCCCGGAATAATCCTTCTTCACGCAAAATGGTGCGATATGCTGGTATCATGCTCTGGTATTTTGGGTTGAACAGTAATCCTTGTTGCCTTGTTTTTACTGTGTCAAGCGAATGCATGGCGCTATCACCAATGGCGCCACCAAAACCACCAGCCAACATACAACTTAAAATTGGCAGTGCCTTTTCAACAGGACTGCCGACATTTCCGGACTCCTTCTGTAGGTGCACATGGGTGTCTCTGTGAGGCTCAAACGGCGTTGGAATGGCAGATGTGGTGAACGACTGGGACATGCGGCTTGTTTGTGATGAGATGCCTTGAATGCAGTAGAAAAGCTCTGGATAGTATCAAAGTCACCATGCGCCGACTCGAGTCTGACAAAACGTGAAAGGGTTGCTGGGGTTCCGTGTAAGATGAGCAGCTGAATGGCCGGGCGAACTTTTTCTCGAGAGCGTTTGCACCCGTACATCCAGTACTAACTGTAGATAGTACGAAAGTGAAACTGAAAGAAATCAGCGGGGAATACGAGAGTGTTATACCAGACGATAACAAAGTTTTAAAGCTTCGTTTCTTCCTATTTCTTCTGTAACGTATCCGCTTTATTGGAGCTCATCCTTGGACCTGAAGGTCGCATGTAAAGTTAAATACATCAAAAGAGCACAGATTGCAAGAAAAAGAGGACGAAAGAACGAAAGAAAGAACGAAATATGGAAAGGAAGAACGAAATATGAAAATGTTCCCTGAATCAGAGCGCAAACCAAGCACATAGTAAATAAATCCGTACGAGACTTACCAAAAAACAGCAGACGTAAGAAGGCAATAATGCGTCATGGAAGACAAACGGGCTCACACATAAATCGTCAACTTTCAGACGCTTATATTCTATAACTCCCAAACATAACCCGTCCTATTCATTGAGCTATATAAATCATAAAATACAAATTCCTGTTCATGGTGGGTAGTGTGAATAGAGATCACGTGCAGATGATTCCAACGGTTTTGCATGTTGCATCATCTCCAATTCGGTGCATGTTTCGGGGTCAGCTCCAATCATTAAAGAGATTGCTGAGAAACTATCGAGTTCTTGCGATAGAATCATCATGCGATGACTCATGTGTGTCTCTTCTAGAGAAAAAAAGCCCTAATGGGCCTGTTCTTGCCATTGACGAGATCAAGGCAACTCTCAGTTCAGCTAAGGTGGGAGGAATCATTCCCACAGCAGCACATGAATTCCACTCTGCCCAAATATCTCAGTTAGTCGGTGAGTTTTGCCGTAAACATGAGATTTCGTCCTCAAATCCGCCTGACCTTCTATGCGTGACCCGAGGGCCTGGAATGGTAGGATCATTAAGCGCGAGCATTCAATTTGCCAAAGGTTTGGCTGTGGCATGGCAAAGACCTTTGGTTGGAGTTCATCACATGCTAGGACATCTACTTACACCAAACCTTACTGTTGAGGGATCTTCATGTGGCCCCCAGTATCCCTTCTTGAGTCTCCTTTGTAGCGGCGGTCACACAATGCTAGTCCTTCTGAAATCCTTGACCAATCATGAAATAATAATCGATACATCAGATATAGCTGCTGGCGACTCATTAGACAAGTGTGCTCGCGAGTTGGGATTCGAGGGAAATATGCTAGGACCGGAACTAGAAAAGTATGTTGCAAACATCGATCCGGTAACCAAAGAACGATTTGCAGGTATTAATACGAACACAGACCAAAATGAGTTTGGTTTTCGTCTCCGCATGCCTATGAGGACAGCGAAACACAAGAAAATACCTGATGTCATACAGTTTGGGTTTGCTTCCTTCTTATCATCTGTAGAAGGATTCAAAATGAAAAGTAGAGATTCTTGGAACGAGCAGACGAGACAGTTCGTCGCCTTCAAGCTTCAGGAGGTGTTGTTTGACCACATTATCAATCGAATAAATGTCGCCTTTGCGAAAGATCCCCAGAAATTCGCTCTCGTTAGGGACTTTGTCTGCTCCGGGGGAGTAGCAGCAAACAAGGTTTTACGAGCGAAACTAATGCATAACATTCGCCTGGCTCTGACTTTGAAATTTCATTTTCCGGCCCCAAAACTTTGTACAGACAATGCAACAATGATCGGGAATGCAGGGATAGATATATTCGAGAACTTACGTCTCAAGTCTCGCTTAAGCATGTTACCCATTCGAAAATGGCCTTTGCATGATATTTTGGACGTTGAGGGATGGGAGGAAGTGTCTGATGAAGAGTACAGGGAGGTGACACTGTGGGATAGTGTTCCATGTGAAAGGTAACCATTCGTTTTTAAGACGAGACACGTCTGTAGATCTCTTTCTTGTAAATAGAGTTTCTAAATGATAATGAAACTGCATCCGCCGACCATAAGAGGGACTCTGGCCCTCCCTAAAGCTGAAACACTAATTAATGATGCTTACCATCAAGATCTTTAATTCCACGCAGAAAAGAGAGAAGGATGATCTAGTATGTATATCTATCCATCCAGATCGCTATACGTGTCTTCTTCCACATCCCGATGAGGAATGTACGGTTCAGTTATGTTAAACTGACGGATTAAAGTTTTCCATGCTTCGTAATCAAATGTGGCTATGTGATGAGAAATGGCACTGCCTTCTTCCACATCTTCATAATCTTCATCAGGGATTTTCACATACGGGACATTTTGGTCATCAACATCGACTATAACTTTTCCGTCACGTACAAGAAAGCTCGTGTAGAAGAGGTTTTCTACCGACTGAGCAAAAGAATGGGGATTGATGAAAAACCGAAACAAATTTACTTTGCTAGTGTGGTCCCGCTCATTCAAAACCCCATAAACTGTTCGAACCATATGCGAGGTGCTTTGTTCTGGGTCGTCCTGGACTTCTGAAGCAGACACATTTTGCGCCGTTGTTTTATCTCGATTGTGAAGTGTGTCGTCCACGTTCCTTGTCCTCGGAGCAAGCCGTCTTCTTTGTGTAGCCAAAGGGCCATATAGGAAATATGATGGCACCGCAACGTTTCCTCGCAGATAGAACCAGTGGCCTAATCGTGACCAGTTAAATGAATTGAACGCTTCATTTGCTTGTTCCTGATTAGCAATTTGATCGTCTGCTTCGTCTTGAGGGCCCATTAAAGCATCCGGGTTCATGTATTTTTTGACCGCAGTTGTATACTCTTTTGACAGAAGCGAGCCACCAAGATTACCATACCGAATGTTTTCTGCGTTAATGGAAGCAAACTCAGCTGTTCGCTTCAATGCCTCCGAGTCTCGCATGAACATGGAAAGTTCTTTCACCTCATTTCCTGTAACTGTTGCAAACAAGTTTTCGAGGTCTTTGATTCGTTCCAACACCAACCGCCCTGCTTCACCTTTATAAGCTGCCGCCTCTGCTTTAGCCACTTCTCGCTTGAATTCCTCGTACGCCTCGGCCAAGCCTCCGATGCCATAATTTTGGTAATGTGTATTGATTTCATGGATCTTCTGTGTGATCTGACTCTCCAGTACATTCGCAGATGGCATCATAATGAGAGAACCACTAAGCTGGTTTCGTCTTTTCTCGCAATTATCGCTAGCCTGTACTGTGTAAGCTTTGATTATGGATTCAGCACTATGAAACTGGTTCCTGCTGATAGAGTCGCGTCTACAGGATTGTTAGATGCGTAGTACATCAGAGTGCATCTATAATATATGAGTCTCCACCAGCTATAAATGCCTACAATTAAAAAGCTCGACGAAAATGTCATCAACCGTATAGCTGCGGGTGAGATCATTGTCCAGCCTGCAAATGCTTTGAAAGAGCTCTTGGAAAACTCAGTAGACGCAGGCTCTACTATGATTGACGTTTTGGTGAAAGATGGCGGCCTCAAGCTACTTCAAATCACAGACAATGGCTCAGGAATAGCTCGCGATGACATGAATTTACTCTGTGAGAGATTTGCTACTTCGAAGATTTCCACCTTCGACGATTTGACTCTGATATCGACTTATGGTTTCCGAGGCGAGGCTTTGGCCAGTATAAGTCACATTTCTCGACTCTCAGTTGTGTCAAAGACAAAGGACTCACAATTGGCATATAAGGCATACTATGTTAACGGAAAACTTGCCACGGCTAAGTTTAAAGCAGACCCAACTGGAGAAAACTCCGCTCCAAAGCCGATTGCTGGCAAAGACGGCACGCAGTTCACAGTGGAAGACTTGTTTTACAATGTTCCTTCGCGGCTTCGAACAATGAAAAGCAAAAGCGAAGAGTGGGCAAGAATCCTAGATGTAATTGGACGTTATGCTATTCATACTGAAAATGTTGGTTTTGCGTGCAAAAAGTACGGCGAGTCCTTTCCATCCATTTCAACGCGACCTCAGGCTCCTCTAAAAGAAAGAATACGAACAGTTTTTGGCACCCTGGTTGCTAGTGATCTAATAGAGTTTGATATAAAGCTCGAGGAGTACGGTCTAAAGCGCTTGAAAGGTGCTGTAACAGGTTTCAGCTACATTAACAAGCGCAGAATGAACCCCGTGTTCTTCATCAACAACAGATTGGTTTCATGTGATCCGTTAAAGAGAGGCATATCTTCCATTTTCCAAGTATTTTTACCGAAGGGAAACTCTCCCTTTGTCTATCTCAGTATGGATATTGCTACTCAAAACTTAGACGTCAATGTTCATCCAACAAAAAGAGAGGTCAGGTTTCTATATGAAGATGAAATTATTGAGCTTGTGTGTCAACATCTTCATGACGTGCTTTCTACTCGAGATACTTCCCGAAGTTTTAAGCAGAGTACATTGAAAAGAAACACCGACACCGGCAATATGGACGACGTGTCTTCAGCAGTAAAAAAATATAGACAAGAAAACAAGCTTGTACGCGTGGATGCACTGCAACCCAAAATCTCTGCATTTGTGAGACATGATTTTGGAGAGATTATCAAAAATTCCGCCTTGGATGACACTCAGAGCGAGTCCCAACACATCAAAAGTGGTGAGCCCGAAGAGGAAGACACATTTATTGAGGGAGAGTCTATCATAAATGGGACTCAGATTGAAAAAAGCATGCAAAACCAAACATTACCGGTCTCACACATCCAATTTTCTCTGACGAATCGTCAAAGACAGAACATCGTTTTGGACAGTCTTAGTGAACTTAAACAGGAGATAGAAGATTCAGTCAGTCGGCCGCTCACCAACGTATTCAATAATCTAGTGTACGTTGGAATAGTTGACTCGGAGAAACGACTTTGTTGTTTTCAATACGATGTGAAGTTATTTTTGTGCGATTATGGCGCCATGCTCTGTGAATACTACTATCAAGTTGCCCTAAGTGAATTTGGCAATTTTGGCGAAATTGTTTTTGACGAACCAGTTACTCTTGAGGAAATATTGGCCCCACTATACGAGCAACGTGACGATCTTGAAGAAAAGACGCAAGTGATAGAAAAAATAATGGCCATGGCTCAGATGTTTAAGGAATATTTCCAGCTAGAAATCAGCGATGGGACATTGCAGATGCTTCCATTACTTATGAAAGGTGTCACTCCGCCTTTACGGAAGTTGCCCTTTTTGATTTACCGTCTCGGTACAAAAGTTAACTACGACGATGAGAAGGAATGCTTGAGAGATGTGATGCGCCAATTAGCACTATTTTACATTCCAGAGAGAATAGTAGCCACGAATGATTCCGAGGAAGCGAACCAGGTTGCACTGAATGAAACTGATGCTTTAAACGATCTCCTCGAAAACACCATAATGCCTGCCGTGAGGCTGAGGTTCATTGCTCCGGAAAAACTACTCAATCAGGTATCACAAATTGCAGACCTCCCGGGACTATACAGAGTTTTCGAGAGATGTTAATAGGCTGATTAAGAGAGAAGAGAGAATAAGAGGAATCAGAATTGGATTCTTTTGCTCAGGTTTGCGTAGCAAGTGTTCCTTCAGGATCGTTAATATTAATATTCACACATTCCACTTAGTTTCTGCTAAGGAGCGATGCTATTACTACTTTTTCGTGGAGTCCCCGCAATTTTTTTAGCAGGTGAAATTAACCAGTATCCTCCTTTGGGTAATAGTACCAAGGTGTACTTTGGCTATCTACAGGCAAATCAAACCGAGAGCGCAGTACATGCAATACCTCAACAACTATATGAAGGAACAGACACGATTAGAGCCGAATGTAAAATATTCATCTGTAATCACCAGCTGAAGAAAGTCAGTGCATCACGCTTCCAAGCGCTCAAACTCTCAAATATAGCGGGTATCTACTGGAACCTTAAAAGCACAAAATTGCCATGCTGATTGAGGCTTTTTCCGATGATAAGTACATGCTGATGTTAGCATTAGGAAGCTTTCCCAGAAATGTGGCAGACTTCAAAGACTCACAAGTGCTTTTACAACAGATTATGTACGTCGATTACGAGCTTCAGAGCCTTCTCTATCACGACTTCGGAGGGCTCCTTCTTTCTAAGATTTCTCCGTCCACATGTGACGAAAAGATTTTCGACAAGGTATCGCAATTGATTACTTTCATTAACACCATTGGCTCGAGTGCTAGCTTCCAAGGAAGAAGATACGAGGAAGAGTTGTTCTACACTGTCGTTCTGGCCCACTTGTATAACTTGAATTCCGAACCTGAAAAAGTGCATAATATTCTTGAGCAATTCCGTTTCGACCAAACAAATAGACTGGTGACGATTGCCCAACAAGAGTTCATCGCTTATTTGACTGCAAGATACTTCGTTATGTCTGGAATCTCGTCACATAGCTCAGCAAAACACTGGAACCAGTTCTTGGTGCAGTTACAGAAATATGGCTCTAAAAATCTGACGGCAGCAAACTTATGGATCACCAAGATTTTTCAAAATGTACTTCTGCACTTGAGTGCTGATGGTGCCAGCCCGTTGACTTTCAGGGATTTGTTATCCCAAGAGTTTTCTGATAATGCAAACGCGTTTGTTGGCGTTTGCAATTATGCAATGAGACCAGAGAGCGCTAAGTATATTGCCAAAGAATTTCGCCCGGATTACGCTGAATTTTTGACGGAGTTATTACGGGGAAAAATTAAGCAGCATGTCGACTTTCCTGATGCATCGAGTGACAATGGTGCTCTCGAAGAGTTTGTTGAGTCATTGTATGGAACATTGAACGAGATATCTGATGACCGGAAAATCATGAACAAATTACTTCCGCCTAAGTTGTCCAAAAGCTTCTTACTTAATCTGTTTGAGAAATCTTACCAGAGTAGAGTTGTTCTTCTGAATTACATACAAACATTGATCGACCTCAAGGAGTTCGACGAAGCTTTGGCTGCTTTCAAAACGTATTGCAGCTACGTACAGATGGAACAAGGCCAGCTTGGTGGTAATGTCACCAATATTCTTGAGGTGATTGATGTGTATTCGACATGTATGTCTCATTTCAATCCAGCTAGGTCAATTGCTTCTGATATCAAAGCTACAAAAATGAGATTCAAATACAACTCAGTTGAAACTGTTGTGAACGTTTTGGAAGCATCCAAAACCAAACTTCTCATGTACTTGGATATTTTCGCAAATGTTGCTGGTTTGACATACGACGAGGGAGTGTCGGAAGTTTCTGGTAATGATTTGTCATTCTTGTACCATAGATATAACCCCACTTTATTTTCCGGGGAGCTGCTGATGCTTGTCAAAATTATTTCGAAAGCGTGGTACTCAATAGGCGAGTACACACAATACTTGGCTACATATGCATGTCCAAATATTGAAAGGATGTCCGTCAACGTGAACGCAACAAGACAATACTACAAAAATGCTCTCGTGGTCAACCCTACTGGAAATGTGAAGTACCTAACTAGTTATGCCTTGGCTTTAGCCCACGGCAACCTCTTAAAATCTGCAGCAAGATTGTGCAAATTTATTTTAAAGAGGTATCCTGATAGTTTCAAAATTTGGAACTTACTTGTTTTAATAACCTCTGCGACAGAACAACAATCAGCACTTCTGGATGAGAACCCGGAGAGTGATCATATTCTGTTTCTAGAACATCCGGAGAATGGAAATGGAAATGGCAAGGAGCAGAAACATCTTTCAGACCTGGAGAAATTTGCAGAAGATGCATTGAATATCGCGGGCATTTTCATTAAGAAAAACAATCTGACAGGGGCATCTTTGGATGCAGACATCAAGCATGCAATCTTACAGTTGAAAATGACCCAATTTGCTGTCTTAGAATCTAAACATGGGGTTGAATATGTCTTGGAGCAGATTGTAGAAGTGTTTGCTTTATTTCAAGAACTTTTCTCTGACGTCGATATCATAGGCAAAGACGACAAATCTGCAGCCAAAGATGATGCAGCCGATCTTGAGAATAAAAGAAGCGGTCGGTGGTCCCATCGTCCAAGTGTGATTGACCCAGTTAAAGATTTAAAGAAAGCAATCAAAGAGAAAAGCTCAGTGGCAGATCATCTTCCGAAACTTTCGCTTCTGAGTTTCGAATCTGGTGGGAGGTTGAAAGAAAAACATGCACATAAGGATGTAATGACTGCCCAAAAGAATCGAAATGGAGCCTCCAATGACCAAAAGGAAGGCGCACGGATTTTACAACGTTTATACCTTTGGGCTGCATCTATCTATTTGAAAATAGAGTTATTCGACGAAGCTGAACAATGCATCGTCGAAGCTGAAACCGTTGCCCCACCTAATGTTGAAACTTTCACATTTTTGGGTCTTTTGACATCCCAATCAAGAGAGTTCTTGTCTCTTCAAGAATTTGAGAGATCGCTCGAACTGCTTGATTCTTCCGAGCAAACTTTTAGCAAAAGTACGTATTGTCTCACATTATTGGGAATGTGCAAGTTGTTAATAAAGGACAACGACAAGAGCAATTCGTTATTTGTTTCGAAGAAAGACTTTCATGCGGGCTTGATGCGGTTAAAAAATTATTTGGAGGCTTTTAGTGCTAGTTACCCATACGGTTACAACTGTTCCGAATTGTGGTATTATTTAAGCATTATCTACGAGACTTTCGATGACAAACAATTATGCAGCGAAGCGTTGTGGAGATGTGTGGAATTGGAGAAGTGTCGACCTGTGAGGTCTTACCAACTGTGCGAAGATTTGAACTGATACGATAACGAAGACCGAATACATGAAACATTAGCGTACAAGATTAAAGTAGAATTTCATTAACTTATTCATAACGAACCTTTGGTGTTACCGGATATAGAAAAATATCTTGTCAAACTTGTTAAACTATGGGCATCTCGAGCAGTGCACGACTCATAATATCAAGTTTGCTTGATCGCATGAATTCTTTTACATAGTCTAATACAATCATGGCCACAATTGAGCCAAAACAAGTAACCTATTGCGGTGTTTGCTCTTTCCCACCAGAGTACTGTGAGTTTGGAGTTTCCTTCAAACGGTGCAAAGAATGGCTTGCGCAGAATGAACGAGCCCTTTTCGATAAACTTTACAGCGACGAGGCTTTAGCAAACGCTACGTCGACATTGTCACTTGAAAAAGAGGAGAAAATCCATAAAGATTTGGAAAAAAAACAGGCTAGAGAAGAAGCTAAATTGGAGAGAGAATTCCAAAAAAAGCTTGCTTCGAAAGTGGTGATTAAACGTATCGAAAGAAATCGGAGAAAGCACATCATTTCCATTAGTGGATTGGAAGTTTTCAACATTGACATGAAGAAGTTGGCTAAAACATTTGCTCTGAAGTTTGCCACAGGCGCTTCTGTGACCAAGAATGCCGAAAAGAAGGACGAAATTTTGGTTCAAGGCGATGTCAGCGACGAAGCTAAAGCTTATATTGAGAAATTATTGGAAGAGCAAGGTTTGAATGAGGTGAAAGTAGAGCAGATCGACGATAAGAAGAAGAAAAAAGCTGAGTCGGCTTAGAGTTTATTGGTTCATAATTTGGTAATTTCATGACTGATGGAAATGTGTACATTAGAGTTAAGTGAATGTAAACGGAGTTATTTTAGTTAAAAACACCTCTTCAAGTCTACAGCAGGAACTAGCCACAATCAATATGTTTAGAGTGGCCAGATGACTCGAAAATGGCAATGAGTACAATCGTTTGTTCATGGGGTCATTCCCGCATACCTCTATGCTTGATGCGAATGTATTTGAAGAGATGGTGAAATTCCGGGTTTAGTTGGTATACTATATAGTATTTTTTTTAAGTAGACTTTTTCCTGTTATGTACTTTATTCCCTTATCTACATTGACCACGTCAGTCGGATTCGGCATTCCACGATGGCTAGCCTACTTGGACTTACAATTCTGAAATAGAACTCAGACAACAATTTAACAAATGGCATTCTCTGCGATTGATGTAAAGCTCTTGGGGACCCCGAATATTGTGAAAGTAACCACAAGCAAGCCTCCACTATACGTCTTACTCAACTAGTTTGTATTAATTGCAATAAGTCCATTTCATTATACTTCTGGGTTGGCGCAATTCCGACAACGAGAGGCTTAAACCTCTTATCATAATTTGAGAGTGCTCAAATATTTCGAAACGTAATTGTTGTTCCATCATACACCATCCCGTTATCATATTAATCGTATTTATCTTTTGTCGCCCAGGAGGCACCGTATTCATGGAAGTCAGGACGTTTCATCAATATCCGATACAAGTGTGCAATCCTCCGCTTAGTGTTGAATTTGTTAGTCTTTGACCTCTTACCTAACTTGTTTCGCTCCTTTATACGGTTACCGAACCCGAAACCATCAGTTAAACCCAAAATTGCTAAATTTCCACTTTCTAAATCCAGGGTTAAATGACAATTAATTTCCCACAAACTAACTGCCACAGTATATTGGTGCATAAACTGATGGTATTGCCCTAAACTATACAACGCCAAAGACAAGGCGTTCTCTGTGTCTCTTTTCAAATAGCGATTGAGTGAAATCTGATCTTGGGAAGGAAACTTACTCACAGCAGACTCAAACCATGGGACAAGCCTTCTGAGCACGAGGGCAGTTCGAGCTGCTTTGCGAAAATAATTAAGGATCAAAGAGTTTTCATAATTACTTTCCACAGCTGTATCACGATTGTAATCAAGAAGCCAATTACCGAACATGGATATCGCTAGGGGAAGGCAAAGTCCCTCAGCTGAATTGGCATAGCGTGAAAAGAGTTCAAACAAACGGGGCAGTTGAATATTCGATCCAGACTCCGCATAGAGATCAAGAACACTGTTGAAAGAATCCAAATGAGGCAACAAACTTTTTAAAAGGGCAAACAGATCATGAACGTCTTCGTTGTGGAAAAGCGCAAGGTTTGAGAATCGCTCTTCTCCCAACTCATACGAGGAGTTGAGAAGGAAGGATAGTAGCTGCATATTTGATGGGAAAAGTGCAGTGATCGTATCACCAAATAGGAATATTTCGGCGACTTCTGGCCACAGCACATTCAAAACAGACCCAGCATGGACTGCAAAGTACTCGTTTTCGAGTTTGGAGTACACATACTTCATGAACGTTGCATTCTCGTCATTCTCTGCCAACTCTTGCGGGCCACCTTTGAAAAGATGCCGAAGACGGTCAAGCTTCAGACTTTTGGATGTTTTATGGATTGAATGGGGCAATTGGATGCTCTGCAAATCTGCATCATCAGAAAGCTGCAGCGATGAGTAAAGGGAATTGTAACTTGATGCAGCCGAGTGAATAGAAGAACGCGATGAATTGACTCCTAAAAGAGGAGAAGCCGGTGATGGAATGGATGCCAGGGTCAGTGTTGGAGGCTCCAAGTGGAAACTGGGCAAGTGAGAAGAATGTGCTTCTCCTTGTTGAGCATTTGAAGAATTTTTCATTGCCGTATCTTGAGGCAAGGAATCACCCGAGTCAAAATAGGAACTTAGAAGGGATTCGGAATAATACAGTTTGGAATGTTCCATGACAGCAGCAGTTTGTAGCACTCATGATGGAAACCAACGCGTATTGACATAATGCAGGCAGAGGGATTAATGCTCAGAACCAGGCTTAGACGAAACAAGAGAAGTTACACAAGAAACGGAAGTTAAGGATTGGAGATGAGAGTAACAAAATTGCAGTGACCGATAATTATTAGCATTGAAAGCGATAATTTTTTTTAACGCGGGGGCTATTAACAGAGGAAAAGAATGGACCGTGTAAGTCGAGTAGCGTTTGGCGCAGATAGGCGCCAGCTCAGTCAGAAAAAAAAAACGGAACAAAGGTACTCGACTTTCACTATATTAGACGTTAAATCCCCGCAGTTGTCTGCGAATTAAGATGTGCCCGAACAGCTTTGCGGTAGCAGAAAGTCCGCGTGTCTGCAAGATTGATGTTATAATCAAAGCAACAAGAACCGGCGTAGCGATCAGTTGAGAAAATGTTCGCGATTAGTTCATTTGGTTGGCGATCGATCCATATAGGTTGCGATTGATCCATCCAGTTCGCGATTGATCCATAAAAGACACGGTCGAAACATCTATTTCGTGGTTGAACCATCGAGTTTGCGAATGGTTCTAATCTAATTCACTTTCAGTATGCATCTAGTTCGAAGATCTTCAAACAGTGTCGAGTCCTTCAAATCATGCTGAAATTAATGCCAATGATCAATGACCATCAGTTATGTGATTAGCTTCAGGATCGAAGGTGCCTTATTAGTGAGCGGCGGAGATTCTTTCTCAGGCAGACGTGGGCGCGCAAGGGTAGCAATGGGCGGCAAAACTTCGCCCTCGCCCAACTCCCCCAGGTCCGCCGAACCGCGCGATGCGCCTGCGCTTTGCATGGAATGCTGATTGGCCCCTGGCGTTGCAATCATCGGCACGTTTGCAGGCGGAACAGATGACACCTGGGGAATTGACAGCGGAACTTGAACCTGCAGCACAGGTGGCACGGCATGGGGAATTTGATCAGCTTGTGGAACCAGGCCCTGCAGACCCGAAACGCCAGGTCCTGGAACCGGGCCTTGCATGGTCAATTGGGGAGGAGAAACTTGAGGCACTTGCGAAATCGGCTGCGTGACTTGGGGAACTTGTGGGACCTGTGGAACCTGGCCCACTTGAACGGATGGAACCCGTTGCATATAGTCGTACCGATCATCGTGAACTAGCACCATTTGCTCTGATGGCATGTATACTCCCTGTGGCGGAGCCATCATTCGCACGGACATGGGCGGATATTGCACAGGAGCCACAGGCATGGGCTGAAGCTGAACCATGGGATAGGGCGAAGGACCCATCTGGGGCCCTTTGACAGGCGCGCGCGCGTACGGAACAAAGCCGCCTGGGTAAAACTCTGCGCGCGGATCGCGCATCATTTCGGGCGGGGGCATAGGTCGGTCGCGGGCTGGATCAGGCATGTCCATCGGAAGCAGCATGGGTTCTTCGTGGCGATCATGACGTAAGTTTTGGTTGAACTGGGCCATGCGCAATGCATTACGGGCAGGTGCGTCCAAGTTAAGATAGGCACAATGGAGCTTCCCTTTCACACAGTTGAAACACTGCGGAAGGTTTTCATCGCACTTGATGCGGCGCTTCTTACAGGTGCCACAGCCCAAGTGCGAGTTGCGGTGTTTCCGGCGTGAATTTTTCTTGCGGCGGTCTTCCTCTGGTGGCGATTCGGATCGCGCGGGAGGTTCTGAGCGTTCTTTTTTGCGCTGCGGCGGTAGCGGGTTTTTGAGCGCCGAGTTAAATACGTCCATGACAGGAAAAGCTTGGGATCAGGGAAACGGCTGAAAACACCGAGAAAATTAGGGGATAAAGTCGGACGGGCGTGATATCGAGGATCAGGTGTCAAGCTAGAAGTGTCACTGTTATACAATCAACACCGAAGAAATTTGTTGTCCCGGAGTATAAATCGATGGTGCCGTACCTCGTAGGAGAAGGGTACGAGTAGAAGGGCCGATTAAAAGGAAGGGAACCAAAAAGGCAGGTAATGCTGGCAATAAAAAACACAAACAGACAAAATGGAAAAAAAAAAATCAAACAGTCTTATAAGCGGGGCGCTCTTGAAGACAATCTAAAGCTTGAGATTCTGACGACAGAGAGCGGGGACCAAAAGCCGAGGGGGAATAGTAAGCAATGAACGGAGGACAGGAGAAGCTCAGAATCCGTGAGATCGGAAGAAGTAAAATCGGCACAAACTCACCCCAGAAGAGAACAACTGGGACATCAAGAATCAACTTCTCCAGTGAGAAGTGGCCCTTACTGCGGCACGCATGATTGAAGGAATAGCCCGACAGATGCAGGCGCGCAGTTGCACCCCGATTTACGACGTCCGCATATGCTGGGGTGCTGCTTTGCACACAAAGAGACACTTTATGCCCTGAGACATATGCTTGGCACTACAGACAGCGTGGCATGTGTGTCCGATTGGGTTTTTTACGTTTCACTATTGTTGGTGTCGTTAGCTCTCGGCATATTTACGAATGTGGCCTGTGCGCAGTTATCTCACAATCATATGCCTACCCTACATGTTGCGCCCGCTCACATTCCGCATGTAATGCCAGTTTCAGTGCTGGAGTGCGGACTCCCGTAAGCATAGACGGACTGTGACAATGCAATACTTGACAAGAGAAAAATAAGGGAAAAACACAAGCAAAGAGATTGAAAAAAAAAGCTTGAAACAAAAATACTTGATGACTAAAGCTCTAGGATCCAGCTGTTCTGACGTCGTTTAATGACTCGGAATACCAAAACATAAAGTTCGGGGCTCGAGTAGATCCAACCTAGGCGTATTTTTTCCTGTGTTTTCATCCTTTTTTTCTGCTGGTTTTTTTTTTTTTTTTTTTTTTTTTTTTTTCTGCTCGCTTTTTGCCCGCCATGCCATTGACCGCAACCTAAGGTGAAATCACGGCAATCATCTGATTTTTCCTTGGCCGTCCGCTGTGGAGCATCTGTTTGAGTTCCATTCGTAAACAATGCAAGGTCATCTGGCTTGCAGCTGTCATGCATGTTTACTTAACGTTGAGTGGTCCACCTCTTTCTGAATGCGGGTCGGTGTTCACAACAAGGCTATGCGTAGTTGCCCCGTAACCGTGACGATAAAAGTTGCAGCGCAGTTCGAAAAACGTGGAAAAAACTAGTCGTAAATCAAAACATGCTTTGGTTCCTACACACGGTTCGTATTTGCATGTTCGTTTCCCCTGCACGTCCATGCCCCTTTATTTCCCGCCGCAGGACTATACAGACGAATGGATGTCGGCCGACAGGGGCACACGAACAGGGGCAGTAAGGCTGTCGCATAATCAGTGCCTAAAAGAGAAAAACGATAACCGAATCTGCCGCGGTTGGCCCAAAGAGTAAAAATTTTATCAGGCTGTATTGGTTTTGACCATCGTCCAAGCGATTTTTAACTTATCGAAAACTGTGCGTGTTTTTCCCGGCTACTCGGATTCCCGGGGGATGGAAGCGACTTTCGTTTTGGGGATTACACGCCCCCCAGATTCACATGAAACCAATGGCACCATACAACGGCAAGTGAAGTGTGTCAAAGACTTAAGCGCCCGGATAGATTCAATGCGATTGCTCTTTCCACCACTTCCCGGGGCGTGTGTAAGCTCGCCGCGATCTGAACCAATCGTAAACTCATGTCAATGTGATGTGGTCTTGTGTCCTCCCACACCTGTGTGTTGATGTCATCATGCTTGATGATTGCATCTTGGCCTGCGGTGGCACCACATGGTGCTTTCTCTTGCAGACACAAGCTACAAAAAATAAATGCAAACAATCCACTTCTTCCGATTGTATTTCAGCAATGATCTATCTCTTTTTGAAAACAGCCTTTGTGTGAAATTGCCATGACCCATGTTGCATAAGCTTTCCCATTTCTTTTTTCTTGTCCTCCAAATTACCCAAACTACAGACGCGGTTGCCAGACGAGAACTGCAACATGCGGAGCTTGTTTAGGAAGCTAAACGCAAATACGTTCGGCATATGCACCCGAAAGTTGCGCACAGCGCTCATTATACCGATACAAAGTTTGTATTAGTCAAAAGAACGAAACAGGCATCGCTCCAAACCGGTCCGGAAATTTCAAAGTGAAGACACTGGGGAAGCTATGACTCGGATTGTTAACCAATTTCATCACAGAGTAAATCACAGTTACACGGTCCCTCAATGTAAGCGTTACGCCGTATCCTGTGAAAACCCCGCAATCGCAGAAATTCGCTCACTGTTTTTTGTCGTATAATCTGTAGAATTCTGTAAAAATTGTATGCATCCGGATCTTTTACGGTTTAGACTCGCTATCTTCCACCGGCGGTGGAAGGTACGACTCGTCGAAACGACCCATGCGTTTCTTCCACCATTTTTGGCGCTGGTCCTTTTTGCTGATCTCCTCCATGTAGAGTTCGTGGCCCTCTGCACCTTCTTCTTCGTTTGCCTTTGTAATGCCCACCACGTACTTTCCGTTCTTCTCTTCGAGGTTGTACTGATCACCTTGCACCAAATCTTTCATTACCAACTCTCGTGTTCTGTTCAATGATTCAATTGCTGAAACGCGGTCAGCTGTGTCCTCCAATAATTCATCAAAATGAGGTTGGGCAGCAATTTCATGGAAAGCTCTCATCATAGGAACAGAGTCAGCTCGCACTCGGGAATCGGAGTCCACTGTAAAAATGTTGAGATTGTCATACTGTTGAATATAGTCCGGACGAGTCATGACTTGCCGAGACCTCCAAAGTGGTAGTTCCGGAAGCTGATGGTCTTTATACAAATCCTTCGCATCTGGATGGTCCTGGGAGATGAGGGTGTTCATGCGTTGGCGGTCCATGCGAACAAATTCTCGCATCAAAAACATGGCACTCAGTGCAAATTTACCAAACTCCATCACATCGTCATCCATAGCTTCTCCCAACAATCCGCACTGATTAAGAAACCATGTTTTTTCTCGGTCAATGATTTCATGACATGCCTTAAGTACATCCTTATGTCTTGCAACCTGACTAATGTGCTGCGGTCTTCCGCCTATCAAGTCATAAATTTGGTGGCACATTTCAACAGGGATCACAAGCTCGGGGTGCTTGGATGGTGGGAAAAACTTACCCCGGATAAACTGCAAAACATTGACTGTTTCTTTGCGATTGAAATCACGCACATTTATCAACTCAAGTCGCGTCCCAAGCCTCTTCAATTTCTCGTAGACCCAATAATCGTCACTGTTGAACACTATGGTAACTAACTCGGACCCACTCAAACTTTCAGCTTTTTGTTGAAGCAATTCCAAAAGTTTAATCCCTTCTTCGTTCTCTTTGATCAAATGGGAATTGTTGATTATGAGTACCAACGGTGAGTCAGATTTACCAGTCATGCGTCGATTAATGGCAAGCTGCTCCAACTTGTTGAATGCTCTTTCGATATCAAGTAATGCAGTGGTATCCCGTGGCCCTCGAATACTGAAAAGGGAACCGATATAATCCTCGTTATAGGCGAAATTCAATGCCCGGCCAAGACGAATCCGGAAAATCTCCGGATCGGCATGTGCATCGAAGATGGCAACATTGCTGCCATCAATTTTCTTCATCGCTTCCATAATCAATGTCGTTTTTCCTGTACCCTTTTCGCCAACAACCAAGAAATAGCGTCCCCGAATTTTACCACTTACAATGTCGTCAAGAAGTTTTTGCTGCGGCCGCTCAACCCAGAATTGAGATAAATCTTCATCGTCTGCGTCGTCATCTTCATCATCATTCTCTGGATTGTAGCTCCCTTTGCTTTCACTCCTTTTATTCGTTTTCTTATGCATAGCCAACTGGTAAGCAGGGTCGCCTTTTTGAAATGCAGTATCCATTTTGTCCAAAACATGATCGTTATAGAATTTATGATACAAGAGACCCGAAAGACCTAAAACCCCAACAGAACTCAAAGTTATTCCAATGGTTTCGAGGCATTTGAATAAGAATCTGCCGAATCTGCTCATGGCATCCCAAAACATTGACTTAGTATCTTCGGCCTCAAAATCTTCTTCCTCAGCCTCCTCCTCTATTTCTTTTTCTTTTTCCTTCTCCTTCTCTCTCTCCTTTTCCTTTTCCTTTTCATTTTCTTGTTCATCCTGTTCTCCATCCTTGTCTTCGGAGGGCGGTTTATTTCCGTTTCCATTTCCGCCGCCTCCCCCATTTCCTCCTCCATTACCACCAATTGACCCACCTGAAGAAGTATGAGGTACTGGCTTAGCGTCTTGTGACGCTTTTGGCATTGTCACAGCTTCAGCTGTCATAACCCCAGTTTCCTTGACTTCAGTACTCAATTCTTTTGTACCATCGTCTTTCTTCTTAGCTTTCTCTTCAACCAACTTCTTGGTGATAGTCTTCTTCTGGCGCATAAGCTTTTTCTTTTCTTTTTTTAATGACTTGTTCTGTTCATCTGCTTCATCTGATTCCAATTCTTCCAACACATCAAAAGGGAGTAAAGGATTCACAATTGACCGGGTCAAGGTAACATTGAATGTTCTGACGACAAGAAGCCTCGGTAAAAGTGGCCTGAGTATGGCTCTCCTACCTATAGCTTTCAAAATCATATGCTATGAAAGGAATGTTTGCAGAATAGAATTAGATTAACGATAAAGGTGAACAGGTAACAAACATTGCGATAAGCCTGCAGGATCATGAGAGGTCGAACCCAGAGTTTGCTTTTGAAGCATACAAGAGTTTTTCTCGGATTAATGTTTTGTCTTTATAATCGGGCAACTTTAGCAAATTAACACACGTGGATGCAGTTGGTAAGCGATCAGGAGAACCGCTATTGTGGATACCAAAATGAGGAGTGAGAGCCTTGAATCCAAGAAGTGGTGCGCGTGATACAGAAGTTACGAACTTGATTAAGTCGCAACGCTCTTGAGGCGACATTTCCTCCACCACCTCCCAAAAGAGTACAATTGTAAGATCATCGTCAAAGTAGCCCCCGTAGTGGACATTTTCTTTCCAGTCCTGTACATCAATGTCATTGCCACCACTGATAAGCATTTGAAGTTCAAAAGGATCGAATATGTTAAGCCATTCGGCGTCAATAATCTCGAAAAGTCCCTCTAAGAAATACTTTGTCTGTACATGTAGTGATTTGTTGAGTTTGAAGTTCGCCACCAGGTGAATGTACTGAAGTCTATTAGACTTGCTGACTGAGGTCATTGCTCCATACGGAGGAGCTAAGTCATACTGAAGTATTTTCGAGTCCACGTTCTCATCGATAACAAAAGTAAGATCCAAAGCATTGATATCATCTGCACTCATGGTTAGAAGCTTGCTTAGATTAAGGTAAAGTTGTCTGTCGAGGTATGATAAATCATTGATTGAGCAATTCTGCGACGATTGTGCCACTTTCCACTTGGCCAAAAAGAACGGTGCAAACCCAATATCAATCAAAACACTTTCATAAAGGCATTTCCCAACAATCATTCCAAGAAATTTGACATAGTTAAGACGTTGCTGTTGTTTTGGAAGATCAATTCGTTTTGCAATCTTCAAATAAATATCATCATTTGGATAAAGCTCATTATTTGCTTCTGTCTCCTTAAACAAATGAAGGTCAAACTTGGGGTCAAATCCCTCGGAGACCACACTTGTTAACAACTCTTTTGTTAGTCCACCTCCATCAATTCCAGCTTCTGGACCATGTTCGTTGTAGAACGTAACTTGTATTTTATTCTTGAAGTTAGACCCTACCTTGTGAAATTGTTCATATGCGTCTTCCATAATAGTTTCACGGTGTATATCAGCAGTCAATTTATCATTGATGCCTTCATAAAACATGACGGTTTCGGAACGAGACAATATACTATTTTGGTCTGCTTTGAGGAGACTTTGAAACACTTTCACACGATCAAAAAAATCAATAAAGAAAGGTACTCTGCTCAAGATCTCCAATTTTGAAGTCATTTCTGCGGTACGTCGTCTTGAAGATTTCTTATACTTTGAAAACCCAACAATAGGATCCCAGTTTTCGTTTTCTGATGAATCGGAGTCTTGGTTTCTTTTCAGCGATTCTTCTTCGATGATTACTTGAATCATGGCATTAATTTCGAACAGAATCAGCTTAAGTTTCCAAAAATCCTTTCCAAGATAGTTCAGCCGCAAGTTTTTTATATAAAGTTGGTTGAGCAATGAAAGGGATGATTCCTTGAGCTGAGTTAAACCATGCAATGAAATGTCTGTAGACTCATTTAAGCAAAAGATCAATGTAAGGCAAAGAGGTCTCAAGAAATGACAGAAATCCACTATTTGGGCTAAGTCGAATGGGTTCAGGGAAGTATTTTCGAAGTCATTGGCCACAATGACCCAATATGAAAGTAACTGTTCATAAATGTAAAGCAAGTCCCAAAACACTTCTTGGGTTGGCGTTAAAACCAATTCCAAGATTTCGGATGTACTCAAACGATCATTTTCACAAAATTTAATGTGGTCGTATGCTTGTAGACTCGAAAGTTGGGTAAAAAGCCATTGCTGTAATCCCGAAGTAATAGACATCATCATACATACACGTGTCGAATATTCAGGCACTAACCACAAAAGCAGAGATATAGAATGCACGGCCAGGGGCAAATTGGAAGTCCCATTTATAAGCTGCCGAAAAGCGTGATTCATGTATGACGGTGAATATAAAGTTTGAATAATTTTAAGATCTTCCGTGCTCACTTCTATCGTCTTGACCCTTTCAGAGCTTTCACTCGCCTCTTTCACAAGATGGTCTTCATCTGTATCAGGGTACGCTTGAATGCTGAAGTTCATACTAGTAAGAATAGAAGCGTAAGCTGTTAAATCAAAGGTCGAGGACTTGTCATTATCCACTATCAAGACATTGACAAGCAAATTAATTTTTTGGTGATCTGTTAAATGGGATATGAAATCTGATGCCCCTTCTTGTACTAAAGCAGTGTGCACTATTTCGATCTTTTCATCCGAAGACAGAAGGTAGTTGCGAGGAACATTAGCAAGAAAATGGAGAAACTCGTGGCATTGAGGATGTAAATCGAAAACAAGGCCCACAATCTTTTGATCTTCTGTTTGAATGAACACCTGGTAAAGAAGACTGATTAAGTCGCCTGTCTTCGTATACCGAGACAGAGGGGGTCCAAATTTTTGGCACAATAAACTTAAACAATCTATGACAGGGATGGGATCACTCACTTTCATCAAGGACTTGACAAGCGCTTGAAAGTATATTGAATATGACTCTGAATCTAGACTTCGGGTGGTAAAGATATGGCGTAGTGAAGACATTAATGGAAGTGTATCATCGCGTTGACCAAATTTGGCGATAAAATGGAACCGGCAAGCTAGAGTATATTTCGAGTAGTCGCCATTCACACTGACTTCCCATTCTTGAAGAAATTCATTAGAATAGGCTAGCAATTCTAATCTTCGCCTGATAAAAGTGGCAAGCACTTGAGCCGCTTTTTCCTTTTGCCGTGCTTCCTCCCTTTGAAGGCGATCAAGTTTTGCCTGTTCAAGAAAGTTTTTTCCTCTTGGATTTCTCCGATCTCCTAAGTTCACCACTCTTCTCTTCGTTGACCCTGAGAAGTTAAGCATGGGGTATAATGACTTATCGCTATGATCAAGACTATATGCGCATCCATACACACCCATAATATCCGACTTGCATCCGGATTACGCCATAAGCATGAAAGAAATGAATACCCATCACACAAATAGCTGATTTTATGTATCTTTTGTTATTTCCGACATTTGATATCAGTCGGCTACTCTCCTACTCAAATTGTGCTTTGCACCTACAGACCTTGTTCTCAATTGCTAATCAGTTAAAATGGAACCATGTATTCCCGGTAACACACTTCACTCATAAGAGAATGCGTACTTCCTCGTGTTAGGTTTTTAAAATCTGCTTCTTTCTCCATACAGTTAACTTTTCCTGCAAAGCAATCTATTGAACAATCTATTGAGTAGTCTATTGAATTCTAATGCCTCTGATCTCTACGCCTGTCTATCATCAGACAATAAAGATTGGAGGTGGCCCAAGGATTCTATATAAAAGGTTGGTACCAAAGATGAATCCTCAGCAGGTTTTTTCAAATCCAGTTCCTTAGTCCCACCAGTCAAGACCAACAAAGAGCCATTGCCACCCCCAAGCTTGCCATCGTTTCCAAACTTAATATCCGTGTATAACGTGTCGCCCACCATTATAGTTTTTTCTCTAGCGAAACCGGTCAGCTCAAGAATGTTATTCAAAAACACCATACTGGGTTTTCCCACACTGATGAAGTCACGGTCGCTAATATGCTGCATCAAAAACACCATGGCACCACCAGCAGGCATAGTCTTTCCTTTTGGTCCGGGATATGTCTTATCGATATTGGTACCAATGAATGGAAGACTCTTGTTGTCGTGCAAAAGATACTGAAGTGTGGTCGAAATACGGAGGTATGTGAGTTTCTTCGTTGAACCAACAACAACAGCTTTTACGTCTGGGTCTACCTCCAAAAGTTCATGCTCTGGGTAGTAATCGACATCAAGGCGAGGGTCGCTACCACCTAGCGGGATGTAGCCGCATTCCCGTAATTCCTGTTCAATTCCCTCGTCCCCCAAAACCCAGACTTTTGAGTGTTGTGGAAGCTTCAAAGTTTCTTTTAGAACCAAGGCAGCAGCATAGCATGTTGGATAAATAAGGTCCTTTGTGACTGCTGGAATCCCAAGAGCCTCCAACTTTTCCACGTAACTATTTCTTGATCTTGAAGAATTGTTAGAAACAAAGATATACGATTTGCCGTTTTTTCGAAGGTTCTCCAAGAACTCAGACACACCGGGAATAAGAGTATCGTCTAGCCAAATAACTCCGTCACAATCGAAAATAAAGTGATCATACGCATTGAAAAGCTCAAGCGCTTTTTCTTTATCCGAGATTCTCGATGAGAATGTTTCTAGAGACATGTATGTCAAGATTTGATGGGCTTGTCGCGCTTCAGATGTCAAATAAGTGTTTGGCGTCCATGTGACAATTCTGTTTAAAACAAGTTATGGGATTACTCTACAAAAAAAAAATTATTACAAAGTAGCTATTATTGAATGTTGCTACACATCAGCAACCACGAACATTAGACATCACTAACATTACATCACCATTGTGTGACATACCTCAGATAGACAAAAGGCCAGTCGCTACATAAAGTGACCTCCAATAGACATTAAGCCACTTAAGTGCTGATTCTGGATCTTCATCTTCAACCGCCTCTCTAAATCCTGGAAGAGATTGGCCTGCGTAGCCCGTGTATCGACCACTGGCGTAGATAGAATGCTTGAACCATGGTCTGTCTTTAAGACCATCGCTATGTAAAAAGATTCTATCCAAGTAGCCCAACTTGGCATTTATCAAGGCTACCCGAGCTTGGTCCCGTATGCGATGCCATATGGACTTTTTCTTGTACAAATTGTCCTGTAAATGTTTTCTCGCATCATCAATTTCACTCCCTGCCCGTTGGAATTTCTTAAGTGCTTTTTTCGTGATCTTGACTGCCTCGGTAAACTCATTAACAAATTGAAACCCGGTCTTGTGCTGAAGTTCTGGGAGATTGGACAAAGAAGCAACAGTCTTATGGATGTGGCCCGGAATACGCGAGGTATTACTTTTGTAATGATACCACTCAAGTGGAACAGACTTCAAAGCGTCTGAAAGGTATTCTTCAATATCGATACCGTAAGCTAACACACCAAAAGGAAGCAATTCCGGTCCGCTCACTTGCATGACCAATTTCCCAAAATATTTAGCCATAGTATTGTGGTACAAGAAACCTGGGTCACAAATTGTATCCATCCAATAGAACAGGTCATAGTTCAGGTGATATTGATAAACAGGTTCGGTTTCTGGATTGCTCACAAAACCGATATCAAACGATGGGATACCCAAGTGTTCTAAAAACACAGTATAGTCTGATCCACTACCTAAAATGGAAATGTCACCTTTAAGAGGTCCGTTCATATAGTGCTCAAATAGACTGCCTCCTTTAGGATAATCAACTTTCTTTGCAACATCAAAAAGGACATCTTTCAAAACTGGGGATGATGACATGAGTAATGTTTTTCCTGTTACCGCAGAGTCAAGATTCAAATATGCAACGACCTTCTTCTGTAACCGTCTAGCATGATCTTCAGCCCATTCCGTCAGGCCAAGCAATCCAGGTTCTTCGCCATCCCAGGATGCCCAAATTATGGTTCTGTAGGGCTTGAATCCCGACTTGGCTGCTTCTTGAAATGCACGAAGAATCTCTAGCATTACAGCCAGTCCAGAATTAGGGTCACCAGCACCACCACGGATCCATGCATCTCTATGGTTTCCAACTATGACAACTTCGTCTTCCAATATTCCTTTGGTTGTTCCTAAAACATTGTGGATTGGAATAATGGAGTAGTCTTGTTGGTTGAAAAGATGGAGTAGAGGAGAACTAACATCTCCCTTGGGTGAAAGACCAATACTGTAGTCAAATCCTTCCAATTTACCCACCCAATCAGATCCAAAATGTTTAGCATTTGGTCCAAGCCCATTCAACTTCGATAAGATGGGCATTATGTCTTTGTAGCTCACGGGAAGACTAGGAATTTTTGGAGTAGTAGCATGTGGATCTTCTCTCGGAACACCCTTTTTGGATGCGTATCCAGGAGTAGTTGGATCACCTGGTCTATATGATAAGTACATCACAGATCCTCTCTCAACACTTGATGGATTCCTTGCTGGCCCGTGAGGATATGTCTTGTATCCATTTTGTGGAATAAATTCACCGTCGTCCCCAGGATCAGAGTAGATTACTACGCCCACAGCACCACTTTCTTGGGCGAACTTGACTTTGAGGCCGCGGTATATCTGACCATATCTCACAATAGCAATTTTGCCTGTCATGTCGATTCCTAAACGACGCAAAGCATCAAAATCCTGCTTCCTCCCGTAATTGGCGTAAAAATACTGCGCGGTGACGTTTCCTGAAGCTGAATAGCCATGAAATGTTGGTACAGTATCATTTTGAGACGTTGGGTCCTCGGGCAAAGCGTCTTCTTCTAACAGTGCCGCAAATTCCACTTTACCATTCTTATCCAATAAGTTCAAAGCGTGGTCCACTGGCGTATTCAAATATACATGATATGTTTCAACTTTTGTGTCTTCCAAGCCATATTCCTCGAATTTCTCCTTCGTCCAATCCACCAAATGCTGACTTTCACCCAGCATGTGGCGTTCTTGAGTGTAAGCATAAGACCAGTTGCGGGCCAAGTTTGTTTGGCTTAAAACGTCATCTAAAACATCCTGGGCTTCAGCAGTCGAAATTTTCAGAGGCGAGTCATTTCTCGCAACATAATGAAAGCCAAATCCGTGTCTCCACGAGAAAACTCGGGGTAAAACATGGTACAGAATAACTGTGCCAAGGAGAGCTAGGAAGAAAAATCTGGTTTTCCAATGTTGGCGACCCTGGTATTTTTTGCTTTGTACGAGGACAGGGTTTCCTGGTAAATTATCCAAAGCTGGGAACTCAGACATATGGGGAGATCGTTTGGTAAAGGAAGTCGCCTTGATGTCCGGTCGCGTTTATCTTGACTAGGGTGGTTATCAGTAGGATTCCACATGCACATCGAATAAAAAGGATTATCCCTGCGATTTGTATTCCACGACCCTTCCCTGATTTGTATAAGAATAAGGTGATTTCTACTACGTTTATCATACTCGTTTTCTTTGCTACTAATATTGAAGAAAAAATGGTTTTTATGTGTGTCTCTAATGACGTATAAGCTGTATACTGAAATGATATGCATTCAGTGCGTATATTGCCTGTCTGTATAGTAATCATAAAGCCAGAGAATGATTTAATTGAATCAAACAAAAAGACATAAAATAATCGCCAAAGATAGAAAACGAAAATTGAATTCAACAAAGTCATTGAACTTTCTTTGAATCCTCAATCTTCAACCATCGCAAGTGCAGCATCCTGCACACCTGCTATCATCATTGATTTTTTTTTTTTTTTTTTGGCTTGATTCTCTTCAGGCCTGAGTTCCAAATGTCCGAAGAGTCTAATAATGCAGTCGAGGTTGCCGCTTCACAAGTTACTGGGCTCAGTCTAGAGAAGAAGCCGAAGCAAAGAAAGGCACAAACTGAAGAAGAATTCCTCGAGCAAAAGGCTGAGTACGAAGCCACAGGTCCTCAGATTCATACCCAGGAATGGCTCTATGATGTTCTGCTTCTCAACTCTTTAGATAACTCCAAGAAACTAGACCGGGTCCATATCTTACATGCCTGCGAAAGAGCATATTACTTGAAAGACTACCAGAAATGTCTTCTGTTAATCGATCGAGGAGAGAAGCTTTTCGGGGTTCAATTGGATGATGATGAGTCGAACTTGGACTTGAAGGCAGATTTTGCAAGCTCAGGTAAGAAAACAAAGAAATCCTCCAAGGTGGAAAGGCATGTCATAGAGCTTCTTCACATCAAAGAAGCTTGTGTCAGAAAAATGGCTTCTGCAACCATTTAGGGGCATATAGTAGTAACGAATTTATGAATCTCTCTTCAACCAGATTTTAATTTCCATGTAGCTTACTTTTCTCTCGCGATACTCTGATTCCGTATCACTATCATCATCCTTTAATGAATGGTTGGTCTTGTGTTGAACCTCGTCTACAACATCCACCGTCCCAGTATAAACGTCCACTTTGTAAGCCTTTTTTGTCGTATAATGGGCAGCAAGAGAGGCAACTTTTTCTATGGCTTTGCCCATGCCCTTAACTCGAATATATTTTATCTTTTTGTAGTTGCCTCTTCGGAATTTTTTATGGTCGATGGAATCTCTGTCAAACTTATCAAGTATAATATCAATGCGCTTGATAGCTGAGATGAACGGTGTCTTGGACTTGACTAGAAACGTGCTTTCTCTTTCCACTTGGGTTTGGATTTTGGCAACTGCACTCTGTTTAATTACTGTCGAGGTCATCGCATATATTGAGATGAGAGTTGCAGATGAGGCTTGAAGTAGTAATAATTAATAGTGACTGTAGGGTAAAGGAAATTAAGGTAAACAATCGCTGATGCCTTTTTGGAAAATATTCGACTCTAGTTCCGGTAGTTGAGATGACAGTGAGAAAACCTGTGCCATAATAAAAACGCGTAGATCGCGCTCTTACTCCAGTCGTTAGATATACTCAGATTCGAATACCCAAAGATACTACTGCTTCATATTCGTACACTACAATTTGGTGATCCACAATGTCTGAATTTTCTTTCAGCTCTTCCCCACTAAAAAGAAGCAGGGATGATTATGAAATCTTATCTTCACCCATCAAAAGATCCCAACGACATCAAATTCATTCTGAAGCACATTTGGCCACGGTGTCTCTCATGATGGAGGCGCTGAAACATCAAAAGAACTCTCTAAAAGAGGAGGAGCCGATTTCTGAACCTGAACTGCTGTATAAACAGAAAGCTTTCTGGCCCGAGATCAATAGGCTCAGGCTGACCCGCTAGCATTACGAAGAAGAAATGTTTTTATTCCGGCTGATATATAAGGAGCTAAGAATGCTTTACAAGAAACGAAGAAACGGCAATTAGGAAGTATATAATAATGGAAAGAGAATTAAAAAATGAATAGTGATGTGCTTTCATTGCCTCGTCAGCAACAACTTCTACTAGCTGGCTACAAATGTATGTATACAGCATCGATCTTACGTTTCACGTCACCATCATATAATGATATATTTGCTATGTGTATCAAACCTTTCCAATGTACAATAATTAAGCTCTGACCTTTCTCTTCGCCTTCAAGACAACCTTTTGCTTCACGCTTTCAGCCTCGGATTCGGATTCAGATTCAGATTCCACAGACATCATATCTTCATCGTCTTCTTCCATGCTTTCAGAGGCTCTATTCAACTTCTCTTCCTTTCTCTTCAACTCAACCTCTCTCATTCTCAACAATTCTGGGTTCTGTTCAACCAACTTACGGTCCAAGGCCAATTCTCTCTCCTTGTTACCTCTCATTCTGTTCTTGTAGAAGGCTCTTTCTCTCTTCTGTCTGATCTCTTCAATTCTGGACATGGCCTTCAACGTAGTGGCAACTAGTTCTCTGTTGTATCTGACTGGAACGTTTCTTCTGGCAGCGAAAGTCAATGTAGAGTCCACAACCAACTCCTTTCCAGCAGCCTTTCTGAATGCCTTTGTCCATCTCAATTTTCTAGGGTTTCTTCTCTGTTTGAATGCTTTGTGACATTTGGAACGACAGAAACGAAACTCTTTAGCATCGTTTCTGACAAACATGATACCTTTACCAGGGTATACCGGCGACGAACAAAAGTGGCACGAGTAGATTCTCATGATATGCTATGTATAAATCTGGGGATGCAAAAGTGTGAGAGATGACAAGCCGCTGATATGTGATGAGATGAAGCCAGGAAAAAAAAAAAAAAAGTGCAAGCCTGCACTCCAAGATAATACGCTCCATCAAGAATACGCAATGCCGAATTAATAGAATATGAAAGTTAAAGCCCATTTTGTAATATAGCTTTCATATCGGTTGAATATTCTATTTGTAACTGATATTATTTGGCTAGTAGTTTTCTACCTCGTCTGAGACAGATTGATACATGGAGTTGGGAATTATCTGAGTCTACTCGTAGATGATGCATTTTAATCGACATTGTTTTTCTCTCAAAACTTCTTCTTTCGTGCTTGTCGCCTTGGTCTTGCCATTTCTATGATAAGGGTAACTTTTTTCTCTAGCAAATGACATCGTCTCCAGTGGCGAACTGGGGTTGACAAGAGCGCACGTGACCTCGCCCGCCATATCCAACTTCTAGAAAATTTCTCAGAATGCAAACCAACACCAACATGGAGGTGCCTACGCTAAAGATCCCTGGGGAAAACACACAAGCGCAGACTGCGGCTGCACCACAACAGCTGCAATTTACTGGACATTTACAAAAGAAACAGGCGCCTGAAGGTTCTGCCGAGTGGTATTTTGATCAAGGATGCGAATGGATGGGCCAACATCCATGGCTCACCGGTATGGGCTGTTTTGGACTCGCGTACTTTGCTTCTGGGTTCTTCAAGTCCAACCAGCCGGGTATTGGAGGAAAAGCATTCATCAAGGGACCTTTTGGCCAGAAAATGTCTGCTAAGGAAGCTTTGCAGATTTTGAACTTGAAAGAGTCCACCTTGTCTAAGGCCAAGTTGAAAGAGCAACACAGAAAGTTGATGATGGCTAATCACCCAGATAAGGGAGGTTCGTCGTTTTTGGCCACCAAGGTGAACGAGGCGAAGGACTTTTTGGAAAAGCGTGGCGGAATGAAGACCAAATAGGTTTCTTGTACATAGAATGCATAGCATATGGTGAAACTTGTTGGAATGTAAGATGGGATAAGGCTACACAGAAAAAGCTGGTCTGCCAGTTGGAAATTACTACTAAGTAAATTACGATACGAAGCCTTTGGGCTGGCAGAGGTGGGAATAGCACAAACGATCAGTTCAAGTAGACGAACTGGGTTTATCAAAGACAACCAACTACATACATTTTTCATTGCAACTGAGAAAACTGGAACCCATCCGCATATAACTAAACAAAGATGCTACACAAAGTTTGGGCATGATCTTGGCTTTGATCGGTTATATGCTTGCAAAAACCAATGCCAAGAATGCGAAGAACAGGATCACCACGATGTGCAAAGATCGGTAAGGATCACATTTCTTGGTTTAGAAAACTCTTTTTTATTCGTTTTGTGGCTAGTGATTAAGCGACACGAGAGTTGGGATGTAGTTGAGAATGCAGTGTTCCCCAATGTGCGGGTCTCAGTGCCGGGCTGATAACGTTCTACATTCCACTTTCAGGTACCCGTGTTTAAATATCACTTCGTCTCAATGCCTTAGAGAAATGTCGTACTGTTACCGTTATAGGTTTTCCTAATTTTTTATTTTTTTTTTTTAATTTCTTTTTGCCCTCTCTTAGCTTAGAAGTTGGCAGAGGTTTACATATACTTGTGCCGGTACGCTTTTATACACCGTAATTAGCCGTCGAAAATGCATAGCGCACACGGCAATTTTCACTGGACTGAAAACATAATGTATTGGAGCAGATTGACGGGACCTGGTGGTAATGCAATGACTCTCGATATGTCTCGACAATTGACTGTGTTATCCAAAATATCTTGGTTCGGGCTTATGGTGCCCTCGTAATTAGGGACAATCAACACACACAATCTGAAGCATTTAATATAAGCACACAATAACGATAAGAGCAATACAGGTGTCGGGAAGCCATCAATCTAGGAGTAACTACTCAATTGTCGCCGTATACGTAAATTTTCTACTCAACTGCCGTGTGAAGTCTTCTGGAGTCGAGTAACCAGGTTGACTGGCCCCGGCCCGCGCCGGATTTAGTGCACTACTGCGGCCATTTCTAAAACCAATTGCCTCTTCTAGAGAAACCAGTTGTTCAACGCCATTCTCTTAGGCGTTTTTCCCATCGGTCGAAGTAGCCTGTGTTATCAAAACAAAGGGCGGCGCATCTCATCCCCCTAATTCTCCTGACGTCTCTCCTTCCGCACATTTCGATCAAAACAAAAAAACACACTCTTTCCCCATGACCACATATGAGAAAATTGTCAAAGGTGCCACCAAACTCAAGGTGGCGGCGCCGAAAACAAAGTATATCGAGCCAATTCTCATGGCTACTTCACTCGCCCACGACGTGGCTTCGGAAAACTTCAACACCATCATGACCACCTTGGCACAGCGGCTCCAAGATTCATCTTGGCTGGTGGTGTATAAACTGTTGATTGTTATTCATATTATGATCCGTGAGGGCGACCGTAATGTGACATTGGACTATTTGAGCACACGGGCGCCGCAGATGCTCAATTTGTCTCATGCTCCAATCACCAAGCATAGTGGCATGAACGGCGATGTGCGCTATGTTCTCAAGTATGGACGCTACTTGTACACTCGTGTTAAGCACTATAGTGACACTCATATAGATTATGTTCGTGACGAACGAGTCAACAATTCCACGGACCAACAAGGCGGAAGATTGCGGACATTACCTGTTGAGAAAGGTTTACTACGTGAATGTGAAAGTGTGCAGAAACAGATCGATGCCTTGTTGAAAAATAGTTTTATGGAAGGTGAGATCAAGAATGATATCATGTTGACTGCTTTCCGTCTCTTGGTGAACGATCTTTTGGCATTTTTTCAAGAGTTGAATGAGGGTGTGATCAATATCCTTGAACATTATTTTGAGATGTTCCACAACGATGCAGAGCGGGCATTGGACGTGTACAAGAAGTTTGTGGACCAAACAAAGTACGTGATTGACTACTTGCGTGTGGCTAAGCACCTTGAATATGCTACAAAGTTGCATGTTCCGACAATTAAGCATGCTCCTACCGCTTTGACTTCATCTTTGGAAGAGTATCTCAACGACCCAAACTTCGAGAGCAACCGTCGTGCTTATTTGCAGAACAAGTCACCACCTTTCCAAGTGAAACAGGAACAGTCAAAACTGGAACAGAATCAACAGCAGCCTCAACAACTCCAACAACAACTGTTGCAACAGCAGCAGCTCCAACAACAGCAGCAACAACAAATTCAACAGCAGCAGATTCAACAACAACAGCTTCAACAGCAGCAACTTCAGCAACAGCAGCTTCAGCAACAGCAGCTTCAGCAACAACAGCTTCAGCAACAACAGCTTCAACAACAGCAGTTGCAAAACCAATATCAACAATCACAAGCTACTGGACTCCAACGTCAAGGTTCTCTACTTGTGCAGCAGTCCACGTATAATCCTTGGAGTTCAGCCGTCCCGACCGGTTTTGGATTCGGTCAGAGCGCAGCTCATAATCCATTTTCACAACAAGGATACCAACCTAACCAGACAGGTTTCCAACCTCAGTTTACCGGCTTTCCGTCCCCGGCTCAACAGCTTCCTCAACAGGCTACAGGCTTTCAGGGAATGCAGAACCAAGGATTTCAAAATGGCCCAAATAGCGCTCCTAGTAACGCGAGTACACAAAATACTTTCGGAAACAGCGTTCAAAGTTTTCCTTCGCAAAGCCAGAATACTGGAGTTAATAACCCTTCATTGCAAAAAGCGGATACCAATCCTTTCTCTGGATTGACTTCCTCTGTCACAGTTAACCCAACAAATCCTTTTGGAAACACCCGATTTGCCAACAGTCACACGACAGCATTATCTTTTGACAAGGATGCTCCAAGCAAAGTATCTGTTACAGCTACAGGCAGTAATCCATTCCAAGTTTCTCAAACTACAACTAATGTATTTAATAATGCGGCAGCTCAACAACAGCAACAACAGCAGCAACAGCCCGTTTTGAAACCCCAACCCACTGCTGGGGGCTTGGAAAGATTGCCCACTATCCCCGTTTTTCCTCAGACCCAACAGGAACAGGCCAGGAACGGCTTTCTTGAGAATGCTTGGATGAACTTGCATAACCAGACCACGAGTCAACAGCAACAGCAGCAATTGCAACAGCAGCAGCAGCAGCAGCAATTTCAGCAGTATCCTCAGCAGTATCCCCAGCAGTACCAGCATGTCTACAATGGCCCTAGTTTGATATGACATTCGTATCCCAATTGATTTATATGTTCTGCTCAAGGCTACTCCCACAAGTCCTTTATGTAGTCCTCTGTCACTTCTGTATCAGAGCCGTACTTTTGCTGCCAGCTCGTGAAGCCACCCTGTAAAACAGACACACTTAGCTTATCGAAAAAGGCTCTATCGTTAGGGTCTTGAACCTCATTTAAGGATCGTAAAAACATCAAGGTCGACCGTGGCCCACGAACCTGAGACAAGGCACAATGGAATACCACGTCGTCAATCTCATTTTCAATGAGTTTCTGCTGGAGTTGTGGCAATGAGGTGTGGAAATTTCCAGCAGGATAGTGGTAGCAACCCTTGATGTGACCGCCTATATAATCAGAATCACGAACATCAACAATGGCAAACTTCCCTTTCCCGGAAGGGGAACCCTTGTCGAACCATGCTCGTAATGTTGTTGGTGTGATAAACTTCAAGTCCGTCAAAGAGTATTGCTTCATGAATGTGAGACACTTTTCCGTGGGTGCGCGCTTCACTTGCATCCGTGATCATTTTGTATACGAATGATTTTTGGAATCAGCATTACAAGGAGTACAAAGATTACAGTAATTTTAGTAGCTCTTGAAAGAACGCCTGGGCAGCCGACATAGAAAAAAAGAAGAAAAAGAAAAAAAACGAAGAGCAGTTGTCAGATTTGCGAGTGTTTTCGAAGTTTATTAAGTGTGCACAAGGCTCAAATGAGGCATCTGATTTTATCATGCTCTCGTTCATAATAGTCGTCGCACGTTTTTGCTTTGATTATAGCATACGTTGCCGTGGTTCCTCGTAGCCCTAAATTCATATACGCTGCGGCCGCAAATGCTCACGCTTTTCATTTCAGATCCATTTGGATTGTAGGTTCCGGTTCAACAGTGGCCCCATCTGAACCGTGTGGCCCACTTATATGTACTCCAAAAGCCCACATCAGAGACTAGTGAAAGGGGTACATTTGCAAAGAACTCAAAACATGTAAAAAATCTTGAAACTACTTTGAGAACAAGAGGGAGATACTTTGGAAACACACAAATATGCTTCTGTAGAAATCTCGCTTCGTCCAATCCACTTCGCCGAACCCACTTCGCCGATGCATGTCACTGACGGAAAGCCTTTCTGCAGTCTACATCTGCTGGGATCGCACATTGTATTTTTCCTGCTTCACCTGTTACTATTGCGCACCACTCGATAACATGGCCAAATCCTCTAGCACAAAAAAGGAACAGCGTACAGGCAGTCCCTTGACCAGAACGCTTTCTGTTGAGACCATTGGGCCCAAATTGACTTCTCTTTTCCGGAAAAGGAAGAGAAGCGATAGCGCTGCATCAACTCCATTGTCTGGTACACCTCAGGAATCCGAAGCGTCAAACTCCGATGATGAGACTACTGAACAAGCACGGAAAAAGCAACGTGTTGAAGACTTGAAGAAGAAAGAGGAATTCGAGAAAAAGGAGGCTGAATTGGATGCTCTTCTTCCGGAAGAACTCAGAAAATTCCGTCCTCGTGGTTTCAAGTTTAACTTACCCCCAACAGATCGGCCGATCCGCATTTATGCCGATGGAATCTTTGATTTGTTTCACTTGGGACACATGCGCCAATTGGAACAAGCTAAGAAGGCATTCCCCAATGTGGAATTGGTGTGTGGCATTCCCTCAGACGCTGAGACCCATCGCAGAAAAGGTTTGACAGTGCTCACAGACAAGCAAAGATGCGATACTTTGAAACATTGTCGCTGGGTTGATGAGGTGATTCCCAACGCTCCATGGTTTGTTACTCCGAAATTCCTCATTGATCACAAAATTGACTATGTAGCTCATGATGATCTCCCTTATGCGTCAGCAGACTCGGATGACATTTACAAACCAATCAAGGAGAAAGGTATGTTCTTGACCACACAAAGAACTGAAGGAATTTCTACATCAGACATCATCACCAAGATTATCCGCGATTATGATAAGTACTTGATGCGTAATTTTGCTCGTGGTGCAACAAGAAAGGAATTGAATGTGAGTTGGTTGAAAAAAAACGAGTTGGAATTCAAAAAGCACATTAGTGACTTTAGAACGTACTGGATGAGAAACAAAATTAACTTCAACAATGTGTCAAAGGACTTATATTTTGAAGTGCGTGAATACTTGCGGGGTAAAAAATTCGACAATCCCTTGTCTATTTCGTCTTTCAGTCTGTCGCTAGGCAGTGATCTGGAAGAAGTATCTCGTGCTCTGAGTCCTATGACAGACTTCGCATCCAAGTACATTGCGAATAAGAACGACAAGCCGCGCACCATATTGGGCAATTTTCGTGATTGGATGGGAAAAGACGACTCCAACGATGAAATTTCTACCGAGGAGGCGGAGAAGACTCCTGTGAAATCCACGAAAAAGACTGATTCCCCCAAAAAGACTAAGAAGGCAAAGCGCAGGAAGGAGGAGTAAATGGAGGGATGTGGATCTAATATTTAGAATCACTATAAGTAGAGCATCGGTGACTGGCTGCTGGCTGCTGTTGCCGAATACATCTTGTGTTCCAATGCAGAGAGAGGGATAAATGAAGAATTTAAGCCTTTATGAGGCTTTCGTAATTTTTTTTTATTGGGGTTAGCATTGAGTTTTGCCTCTATGTAGGCAGAGGAAACTACTTTGTCTTTTGGCTGTCTTCTACTTTTTCCTACCCGTTGTTGCTTACTTGTATTCGTAGAGACTTTCAATCTCTGACCATACGGGCCTCGCATCATCCTGTGTTAGTCTCGAATTATGGGGAAGGCGCACTACATAATCTTGTACCATACATTCTCCACATGGCTGGAAAAGCAGACCTCGGCCACACAGGCATCTCAGACAACATAGTTGAGAGGCAGATCTTTGTGCCTCAGCCCAATAATGCCTGGAGTTTCACACAGGGTCTAATGTGTGGGCAGGCCAGTGTGGTGGTGGTGCTTCTAGTGTTTATAAAGTTCTTTGTCTTTTCTGAAGCTCCTCCGTCTTCAGGCGCCGCAAAGCTGAAAAAGAAGGATATCAGTGGTGTCATTGTCAAGCGAGAAGCCAAAAACACAGATGATGACGATGGCGTGGAGAATGGCGACTCGGCCAAGTTAGCTACAATTCTCGAAAAAACATACTACGATGTGAATAATCACAATCCTGAATCTCTAGATTGGTTCAATGTGCTCATTGCGCAAACAATCTCGCAACTTCGTTGTGAAGCTTTGCTTTCAGACAACATCTATCATTCACTCAACGACTTTTTGGAGACGCTGGATCTTCCGGACTTTATGGACAAGATCACATTAACGGAAATCGATATAGGTGACGACTTCCCCATATTCTCCAATTGTCGTATTCAACATAGTGCCGATGGCACAGGCCGTTTAGAAGCAAAAATAGATGTTGATCTATCAGACACTTTAACTTTGGGCATTGAAACTCGTCTCTTACTCAATCATCCAAGACCATTAACTGCGGTTTTACCTGTGCAGCTTACCGTGTCGATGGTTCGGTTTTCGGGCTGTTTGACTGTGTCTTTGGTCAATACTAACGATACTGATTTTGTCGGCACGTCCAAAGAAGAGAATTCATCCGGTGGTGGAACGGCACTAATGTTTTCTTTCTCGCCTGACTACCGCCTTGAATTTTCAGTTAAATCTCTTATAGGCTCACGCACGAAGTTGCAAGATGTGCCAAAAATCTCAGACTTGGTTGATAGCAAATTGCGCAATTGGTTTAGTGATCGATGCGTTGAGCCCAAATTCCAAGTTGTGCGGCTTCCTTCCATGTGGCCACGCAGCAAAAATACGAGAGAACCTGTGGGTGCTGGGAAAACAGAAAAGGTAAATGGCAATGAGTAGAAAATACTTCGAGGGTCATCCGGGAGGTATGCTTTTATGAACTATATTTTGCTTCGCTACCTATAAAAGTCTGAGCGACGTATTGATTAGCTTCACTATTTACGTTGCCATTCCTTACTTAAAGGCGGGCGAATACAATAGCAAGACAGTACAAGGATACCTGAAACATGAACAGTAGAATGTAAAAGTCTTGATGCATCCAAGGATTTTTCAAATACAGTCAACTATTCTACTTCTAAATCTCATTTCGATTGCGTTTGAACTGAGCTTACATATAACAATCTATCTTGAAAATTATTTCGATCTATTCTGCGTACACCGTGCATCATATAATTATCCCAACATTGACCGTTTGCGTCCCCGCAAGCGCACATCTTCCAACTTCCGAAGAGTTTCCCGTAGCTTCTTATTTCCCTTGTGTGCATCAGCATATCCCAGTAATAACCAGTCTGTATACTTCTCAGCATAATCCGAATGCGTACTGGACACGGCTCGTTCCATCACGTACAAATCCACAGCTTTGTCCTCAGCCAAGTTAGAGTAGGAAGAAAGACCAAAGTCAATGAGCATCGCCTCCTTCTGCTGCAAAATAATGTTGGAAGTGGTCAAATCACCGTGTATCATGTCGTTCATGTGCAAACGACCAATGACGCGGCCCGTTTCCTTACACAAGTGCTCCACTTCACTGCCAAGGCAGTCCTGTCCACTTTTCTCCAAATGCCACAAGTAATTTTTCAATGAAGAAACTTCGCCCGAGCTGAGTGTTTCGCCAATGCTTTCCATCCAAATGACGCCATTAGTAGCATCAAGCAGAATAAGAGTCGGTGCAGGTATACCAACACGATTCAAGCGAACCATGAATTTCGCCTCGCCAACAGTCCGTGATTTGGTAATGCTTGCGTCGATTTTGGGATGTCTATATGGTTTTGGCGGGCGATATTTGACAATATAGTTCTTGCCCCGGCTTTCGGAGTATGGATGCACAGGAGTGGAAAGGACCAAGGCTTCAGCACCTTGGGATACCACAGAAAAAGGGATTTCCGGGATCGCCAAGCGGACCTGCCCGAGGATGGCGTCTGTCATTAGAGCGTAAAAGAAGGAAGAGTAGGTGAAGTAAAATGCGCAGTGCGGCTGACAGATAGATGGCCCGGCTAGGCACAGAATTCGCTCCCAGGCGAGAAAAAAATGAGCGAGACAAATGGGCGGCACGAGGACCCCATTAACAACGCCGACGAAAACATCACAAAATGTCTAGATAAAAGAAAAATGATAATACAAAATTTTAACATTTGCTGGCGTATATTTCCAGTCAAATGTCTTGTTAGCTGCTATACCCCTCAACAATACCTAACGTAAGAGTGATTTGGCGTTGCGCGCGCCAACATTAGTGGTGAGCGACCTGGTGAGCGAACTGAACGATTTGACTTTTAATACTTAAACCACTTTCTGTTAATTCAACCGCTCAGTCAAACCAAGCCATTTCGGGGCGTGGCGAGAATCAATGGGTCTCCCTGTGCCATTTCTTCTCCTTCATATTGTGACCCCCCACTAAACTAGTAAGTAGCATACCATCCTGTGCGAAACCGTACCCCAGAGTTTTCTTCCCCTCGCACCTTTTCCCTTATCGAGAGTTTTGGAATACAACCGCTAGGTACACACATTGGTCCATCACGCAAGTTTTCCTTTTCTCCTTTCTTGCTTTTCATCAACCATGTCTGGAGTTGATAATGTTTACATAATTCCGCCGTACCTTCTTCAAACATGTTTGGGCCTGCAAACACAGCACCAGCTTATGAAAGCCGATCCAGTATTGGGCGAAAGAAACACCATCAGTACCTCAGGGAAATACTACTTCCGTCAACCACGTTTCTTGCCTCTGGAATCGAAAACGTTTTGTAACGATCCGCTTGTTAATGATACGATTAAGAAAAAGCTTCGGGACAAATTTGCCGCTTTGGGGCTTTTGGGATGTACTCCAGCAGAAACCTTGTCTGATGACTATTTGCTAGAGTTATACGATGCTTTCAAGACTCGTCTAGGCATGGCGTCGTCTGAATTGGGTGATATTGGCCCAAAAGCTGTCGACACGTCTCTTCATGGCTCCGATTCCTCCATGAGCGACTCACCTGCTGGATCAGGGCACCCTAAGTCCAAAAAGTCTATTTTCGAGATCCCTCGGCTTGGGGAGGTTGTCTTTGGTCTGCAATTTTGCAATGATTCGTTCCTTGAAAACTTATCCTTTGACTCTTTGATGTCCTGGGTAAAAGACAGTAATGAGCACAAGTATTCATTTTTCCCTTATCTCATGTCAGGCAATCAGAATATCTTCCTAACCCCTTTCCCGATGTACTGGACTCCGCTTTGTGTGTTTGAGGATTTGGAATACTTGGACAACACTCTAGGCATGAACATCAGCATTGATGATGGGTGTTCGAATCTTGATTTTCAACTCCGGTCTGAATCGTATATGCATAGCGATTCTCCAGCAAAGAAAAAGTTTTTCAATTTCATTGCAAACAAGGAAGTAGAAGAGAGCACTGGTGTTTTCTATTATGAGGTTCTGGTAGAGCAAGAAGCTACAAACGTGACTGATTTCAAACCAATTATTTTTGCAAATGACCCCTCTATCTCCTCCAACTCTTCCCTTTTATTTTCCATGGGTTTCACGAAAAGAAATGTTCAAGTGGAGAACGTATCGGTGCCTACAGGCGTGGCCACACCTTCTTCTAGCTCCTTTCGTCAAATTGACTTGAAGAATGTTCAGAGCAACATTTCTTTCTACAAGCAAGATGTATCGAGTAAAAGATTTGATTGGACAACCTTGCGATTCTTGAGTTTAGAGCCAGGAGTGGACTTTTCTGGCAGTTTTGCAGTAAGCTTTAATAACTCCTGCTCATACTCTTCTGTCAAGAGTCAGGAATCGGTACGCAGAGATTCTGCAATCAGTATCAACAGGCGGTTTTCTCAATTAAACCGGCTGTCCATGGAGGACCAACACACCAGCAATATTGGTATTGAAGTACCTTTAACAAACCACACATCAACTAAATCCGCTACTAATGTTTGCTACAAGACTGACACACTTGGATGTGGAGTGAATTTTGTGGAGAAAACGTTGTTCATCACTCTTAACGGTATTCATGTAAAAACAATCACAGAAAAAGAAATGACAGAATCGAACACTGACAAAGACTCAATATTCTCTAGTGACCTGGATAATTTGTCCTTGTTTCCTATGATTGGTTTTCAGCTTTTCGACCTACCAAATACACTTAGTAGTGGAGAAGCCCCAAAGTCGAGAATTTCTACTAATTTCGGCTTGAAACAATTCAAGTTCAACATCGAAAGGTATGTCTCTACTCTTAAAGAGAAGCAAAAAGCAGAACTAGCATCATCTATTATAGACGAATTGCAAAAGACTACAGAAGTGGATGCTATGCCCGAAAAGTCGGATGTAGCTGAGTTTGAAAATGCGGTATGCAACTTGAAAAACGATGCCTCGCTTTTAAATGATCTAATCAAGGGCTACCTAGTTCAGGAAGGGTTTTTAGATACTCTTTCTGCTTTTACTACTGATTTAGATGAATTGGATCGGAACATGTCGCACAATTTTCAAGATGTCATTATGGAAGGTGACTCAGATCCCCTGGTGGGATATCTTAAAGAATCGTTAGCAGTGCCTCGCAAGACGTTAAGATCACTAATATTCGATCATAAGTTTATTGAGGCTGCGGGTTATTTATCTCGAGAATTTCCTAATTTAAAATCAGGAAAAAAGTATGTTTTGGAGTTGCAACTTCTCCACTATGTGGGCCTTCTTCGGCATTATCTTTCCCTTAAATTCGATGGAAAGAAATCGGATGCAAATAAAGCAGCGACTATAGACCAGTTGTTGATGAGCGCCATTGATTTCGGGAAACATTTCCTTGAAAGTTCAGAAGGCAGTGATGAATTTGTACGTACCTTTGGCGAGTTATCAAGTGTTTTAACGATTGAAGAACAAGAGCACATACTGGAATTTCCACTAGCCAAGAAATACATTGAAAATTTCTCCAAACATGGGAAGGAGTTGGTTGAAGATGTGAATGCGGCTATTTTGGCATCGCTAGGCTTCCATCATGAGAGTAAACTCGAAACCATGATTCAAGGAGCTGGCCACAACATAGCTGAATTATGCTCAGATAAGGATAACATGTTTAAAATGGTTAACTATGAGCGAGACTATATAGATATCTAGGAATAGAAAGCGGGTCTTCCTGCAAACCTACTTACTTTTCTTAGCTCTTTTCGCTGGCCTTATGGTAGTCGATTTGCGCTTTTTCTCGACAATAGGCATATACTTAGACGCATTCGAGAACTCTTTCATGGTACTATCGTCAACTTCGAAAGGAAGCTTCACAGTACTTAATTTGGCTATCCTGTTTTCATAGTACATTTTGAGCGCCCATCCACCATTTTCTAATTCGTTCATAGACAGCTTAGGGTTCTCTTGAAGTATACCGAAAAGAACACCAACGTACTCTTCGGTGTATTCTTTCACATTGTACTTGATAGGGGTATTGGGCTTCATCGGCTCTTGAACATAGTACATGAAGGCTTCATCGCTGAAAAATGGAGCAGCAAAAGCCGTACATTGACTGAGCAACGAAAGAATAAGGCTACCTGTAGCCGGACCAACGCCTCTTAGCTCACAGACTTTCTTTAAACTATCTTTTATAGCCTGCTGGTACTCCAGAAAGGATAATGTGTTCCATTTTTGATGCTTCAAGGATAGGGCGAAATCCATGAACATTTTGAGACCAGTTTGAGTAACCTGTTTCACAGCGTCTTCATCATTTGATTGAATAAGTTTTGGAAGAGTTGGTCTGAATTTCCCTTTGGCTAGTTTCCAATCCATGAGAAGAGCCAACTCCTCTTTAGTCAAGTGTAAGTCATGGTCAGCTAGTCTGTCCTTTAAGATGAGAGGAAGTTGTGTACGTTTCCATTCATCCAATTCTGTTAGAGACCATGATTTTGGTCCGAAAACCTTTCCATTCTGATCAGATAGTTCCTTGGTGATCAAGGGGTAGAGTGATGAGGCAGCATCTAGAATTGTCTGAATGGACATGGTGAACAGTGCGCGTAATTACAAGTAGCAGTATCTATTATGTTTGACTCAACGATAAACGATAGAGTATTAGAGAACTTGAGATTAACCTGAGGAACTGAACGAAAAAATGATTATAACCTTTTATGAGTACAATTAGATTATCCAATGGGAAATAATTTGTCTTGTTTTCAATTTATGTAACGATGTGCTACGAATGGAGCAAATTGCAAATGATAGTCGCAGAAAATGTAGAATTAAATGACTAGAAAAGAATTTTACAGCTTATTTTGGTGCCCAGCATTAAGAAGATTTTTCATTTTTTATACAAGCTATTTGAATCTATACTTTAAACTTTGCCTTTATGCTCTAAACAAAGTGCTAATACGAATGCACTAATCACTACGCCTCGCCGTCGATATGCTTCATAGCTCTACCATTCTGTTTTGAGAAGTGCTACGTTCTTTGCTTCTATTGCACTAATATTTACAAGGAATTATTTTGGGGTTTGACGACACTAATTGCATCAGGACGCTTCAGTCTTGTGTGATCGAGCCTTTTGTGTGGTGTGAAGCTGATTGGAAGGAACAAGTCCAAAAATACGTTTTGGACCAACGAGAACACTTGTGAACTAAGCCAATATAAGGTTAGCGCGGTCGGAGCATGCAAAGAAATAGCCATGAGAAAAACCACAGCCATTCGTGACACATTGGCCATAGAATCTGTGAGGGTAGGACGAAGATTTGCTCGTCTTGAGCCTGCTCTCATCAAATTGAAAGTTTTGAACGTCCATTCAACATTGACCAACGCCACTATTCCCACTGCAAGCGGGAAGATATGGAGCGGATCTGAAGTTGTGAGATCGGTGAACCAGAGGATACCTTCATGATACAAGGAAGCATCCAACGGCTTGTTAGCCAAACTGTCCCACGTGGACCATCCGCTCAAATTACGGAAGGTAAGAGACATACAAACCCAGAGAGGGATTTGGGCGGCGGGTAGAAATAAGTTCTTGTAGAGCTGTACGCCATGGTCTCTGAACAATTTTTTCTGTCTCTTGCGAGTCTCTTTCGTGGACAAGACCATAATTTCTTCATACTTCATTTTCCGGAGTGGCGAAACCATCGATGCTACTGACTTGGGCTCCGAAGCTGCAGCTTTCAGAGCTTTCCTCGCTAAGTTGAGCCTTAAAACTGGGCCTGTCGCTGCCACAATAGGACGAAGTTCATTTTGTTTTTGGATGCGTAGTCTCTGCAACACAGCCAATGGGAATGTCCATACTGACCGAAGGCCAAACGTTGTAATTGGGATAAGCGTCCACCATGGTAGTCCCGTGAATGTATGGACAGCCTGGAGCGATTCAGTGAGCTCATGAACAACTACGCTGGGATCGAAGGAAAAGTTGCGCCGAAAGCTTCGCAGACCCCACAAGGAACCCGCAAGCTCGGTGGAAAGTCGTTGGTGACCGAAACAACGGCTTGCTTCACGAAACCGTAGCATGAGTTGGAAAAGAAATGATGGCCCAAGTTAGATACACACAGGACATGCACATAGAGTAGCACCACAGCATATTGTTCTTTCCATCCATACAATTTGTAAAATGTTATCTTGACTGCCTTATTGAGTATGGGTCACTCTTTTCGCTAATTTTTCTAGTCCACTTCTTTTTTTCTCCTACGGTTGTCGTTTAGAATCAGCCTAACTACTCTTCAGACTGCATGTAACATACGTTCTCTTACTTTCACCAACTCCAACTACTAGTACTTTTTTCATTATGTCCTCCAAAACTGAGAGAGCATGCATGCTCTGTGGTATAATTCAAACGTATCGGCGTTTTCTTGAACAAGGTTGTCCAAACTGTGAGTCTGTGTTGCATTATGCCGACAATGAAGATGGCCAAATCCAAGATTGTACGTCGCCTTCTTTTGAAGGCTTGGTAGCGTTGGGCGATGACAACAAAGCTTCATGGGTGGCCAGATGGCTCCGTATTGACTCCTTTGTTGCAGGATTGTATGCTGTCAAAGTCAACGGAAAATTGCCGGCGTATATCATCAGCCAGTTGGAAAGAACAGAACATTAGTTACAGACCAAGAGACGGCAGTGCCGAAGACTGAGCCACACACAAACAGAATGTGGAATTGTATCATATGTATTCTAGGAATAGACGAACTAAAAGAGTAAACTACGCCCGTAATAGTTTGATAAGATGTTCACTGCCTTTTAATCAAATCGGTTTTTACTGACTTTCTTTACTGGTTGCACACGAAGTTGCAAGGCTGTCTATATGTGCTTAATCACTTCCTTAAGCATGGCGACAGTGCCTGTTTTATCCCATTTGCCACGGTCGGCCCAAATGACTTCCATCAACCGTGCCACAAAATGTTCTAGCTGTTCCACTGTAAAACCTTCCGTTTCGTTGATCATTATCTCTTCAAAAAGTTTTTTTGTTTCTTCGGGAACTATTAGTTCTCTCGTTGGGTGTATTTGATCTTCAACCTCAGCTTCTGACTCGCTTTCATCCAAAGTCTCTGCTGTATTCTCTACGTCATTCATTGAATTCGCTCCCATATCCGCTTCAGCATTGGCAGAAGCAGGAACAGGTCCGTTTTCCTTATCTTTAGACGCTTCATGCGGTGGAGTAATAACCATGAAACTGTCATTGTCAGTTTTTACGCCCTCCTCTTTTTCCTCTCCTGCTTTTTCATCTTCTCCATTTCTGTGTGCTTGATCTTCTTTCGTATCAACTGAGCCGTTAGGTACTTTTGGTCCATTGTCAACTTTTTCAAGAATTGAAGCGTCGTATGGATGCCCAAGAAGTTTCAATTCAGCCTCTGCCGCATGTCCATTAAGTATAGATGGATCATTTTCTAAACTTCTCAAATTTGCTTCTTGCTTTTTCGAAAATTCTTCCTTGAGCTTCTCGTATTCAGAAACAAGCTTCTTCTGCTTCTCAATCTCACGAGCACGTAATGCTTTACACTCAGCAGCAAATTCAGGATTATTGAAGTCGTCAATACCGAATTGTGCATTTGTTAACATCTCGTTTGCCTTTAAGATGCGCTCCCTATCTCCAGTGGAAATAGCGTCCTTCACAATCATACGTATGTCCTTCAAGAATTGCTTTGCTTCAGAATAGTAACCATTCCAAATTCTTTCCTCTATTGTATCCAAGTCCATATTGTAAAAATATTTTCCTGTCGCGAGCTCCTTTATCATGTTTGGATGCTCTGGTGTATCTTCTATAACATATGCCACCTCATACATTGGATTCTCTAAAACACTAGGTTCAAACAAATGATGCAACAAGCTGTCATCAACAATTGGTTTTTTGAATCTCTTGTACCTATTCTTAAAGAGGTCCATCAATCCAGCAAGTTTGATTTTCAACATATTCTTTAGTCTCTTATCCTGATAATCTTGCTGTTTTTGTCGCTTTCTAGAAAGATCATTAGTTGGAGTGCTTTCGGGAGGGACCACAGGTAATTGCTTCAATCTCCGCTTTGGCCTATTCTCCAAATCATTCAAAAATTCGTATGGTTTCATCAAAAGTGCCTTTTCAACAGAAACAAAGAACGTCTTACGAGCTTCAGCGGTAGGGTTTGTTAAGGCAACATTGTTCAGATCACCAGAAAATCCCAACGTCATCTTTATCTCCACGTCCAATTCCTCATAGCTTCTTTCAGCAATTCCCAAAAGAAGGATTTTTTCGTCACTTCTGAGATTCCGAAGCAAGCCAGATAGCACAGCTTTTGCTGATTGCGGCATCACATTAAACCATGTATCGATGTTGGGAATGAAGATAATCGATGGTTGGTGACGTCTTGCTTCAATAAATGTTTGCACAATACACAGTTCTGGAGTTCTCGTAACATCACCAAACATAGTTGCTAAATCAAGATTCTGAACCTGAAATCCTTCCAATACATTCAAAACTGCTGCACCAAGGTATTGCTGCCCAGATCCCTTTTCGCCGCAGATTAATAAATGAGGCTTGCAGATTCTTGAACTTTCTAAACTCTTCAAAAGCTCGTGTTTAGAGAATCCTCCATCACTATCCTTAATAGTAGGATCCAAATACTTCGCTTCCTCAAGGTTAGTAAGCCTCTTCTGTCTTCCAACACCAACTGCGTCCGGTAATAGGTCAGCCAATCGGTTAATAATCTTATCAAGAGACTCCTGGAGTAGAGGTTGAAGTCTTTCGGGCAACGGTGAAGAGCCAGTAGACGACGATCTAGCACTTGATGGAACAATTTTGTCAATAGCACGCATGAAGTCCTTAGCAATAACTTTCACTTTTGAAGGATCTACCTTCAATTTATCAGACGATTGGTAGATTTGAGGGTATTTTCTTTGGATCGAGTTCAATGCAGCTTCGGTACATAAAGCCCTCAAATCAGCACCACCGTACCCCTTTGTTAACTTTGCTACTTTTTCGATAAACACAGGAGGTAAAGGCGGCGTCCATTTCCTCGTGTGGATATTCAAAATTTGCTTTCTAGCCTCAATATCAGGAAGAGGGAAATAGAACTCACGGTCAAAACGACCAGGTCTTCTCAATGCTGGATCCACAGAATCTGGCCTATTTGTCGCACCAATGACAATTACTTGTCCCCTATTATCCATTCCGTCCATTAATGCGAGTAAAGTGGAGACGATACTAGCGTGAATCTGTTCCTGTTTAGACGAACGTACGGGAGCCAATCCATCAATTTCATCGAAAAAGATAATTGAAGGTTGTTGGTTCTTAGCTTCTTCAAATAGAAGTCTTAATTGTCTCTCAGCCTCACCAACCCACTTACTTAAACAATCAGCACCTTTACGCATAAAAAAGGTAATTTTTCGAGAGGGGGTGGAACAGCTTGCAGCAAGGGCCCTTGCCATTAACGTTTTACCAGTTCCAGGAGGACCGTGGAATAAGACACCACGTGGCGGCGTGATGGAGAAATTCTGGTATAGTTCAGGATACAAAAGTGGCAAGGCAACCATCTCCTTGAGCTGATCGATGTAGTTGTCTAGACCGCCAACAGACGAAAAGTCAATATTCATGTCCACACCTAACGGATCTGTATCACTCAAAGTATTTTTCTTCTTCTTATCTGTAGAAGATGAAGCTCCAATGATCTTTGTATGATTTACGATATTGTTTGTGGGACCAAAGTTTGAAGCAGAAGGAGCCAGAAGTGTACCAGCAACAGGAGTGAAATCATCATCAGAAGAATCTGAATCGTTGTTAAAATGAACTGGGCCAGAATTTTCGGCAGTCATACCAGGAATAGGGATCCCACCAGGAGGTATGTTTTGGCCTAAAATCGAAATAACATCGCTACCACCAAAAGGTCCAGCGGTGGGAAAGAGAAGCTTTCGGAAGTCGCTTTTGCTGTTGTTTTTCTTCCCTCGAGACCGGAAGGATTGCGAGGTAGGTACGCCAGCGTAGAGTTCCGTATCATTTGTGATCGGAGGTGGAATTGTATAATCAATTTTTTCCCTTTCACGAAGTTTGTGCTTTACTGGACTCTGATCGGGAGAAGAGTCGTATAAATCCTGGATTTCTTGGTTAATGCTATCCTCTTCGCCTTCCTCGTCATCAGCTTCTGCCCCGGTCTCGTTTGCACGCGTAAGTCGTCTTGATGGTTTGGGATCGGTAGATCTAGACCTGGATTTAGCACGACGTCTTCTAGTACTGAAGTAACTACTTCCCGCCTGTTCATCGTCATCTTCAGATGCGATAAATTGCTTTTCTCGTAGTTTTTCCATGAAGGCATCGTCTTCGTCATATGCGTCAGAAATCTGGTCCTCTTCGGAATCACCTATGTCTTGAAAGTCTGAGTCGTCGGAGTTTCTGCCTCTTTCTGCCCGAGACGACCTTTTCCTTCTCTTTCTTTTTGGCATTACTTCCGGTTCACTTTCGGAAAAATCCTCGTCATAATTATCATCTTGTGCTGGCTTATCGTTTCCCGATGGTATGCTCGCCAATTCATCCGCAGGCTCTTCTGCATCGCCGAGAAGGCCATTCTCATCGTCACTTTCTTCCACGTACAGAACATTTCTTCTAGATCTTCTTGCACTGGAATCTTCATTATCACTGGACGAAACGACTCTGGACCTTCTGGTGGAACGAGCCATGTCGATATACTTGGCCGTGTTATAATGAAAACGGACAGGGAATAGAATGGTTACGGATCTGTTTTGATATCTTCCCTGACTCGGTCAATACAAGATGAATTGGGGCCAAATTAGAAATGAAGAACACGAGAGGGTTATTTTGCACTAGAGAAAGAACCCCAGCTCAAAAATGAAGATCACGTGACCGGTGCGCTTTTTTACCCATAGAGGTCCACCGCCAGCCGACTAACAAAAAGTAGTAGTTGATGCTAGCTAAAGATCAACAAATTTCAGTGCAGAACTAACGGCAGAAGTCTGGCTTTTGCAGATGCCTGATGTTTGGATGCGCTGACAAGGCTTCGACTTGTTCAATGTTTGTTTTCCTTTTATGTTTTGGTTTACTTGCGTCATATGAGTCATATGTACATTGGGCTCGGTCTTTCCTTCTTCCGTTCTTAGTCAACCTGGGCTACTGGATGTTCATCTCTTTCAAAGATGATCGTACATGGAGAAAGGCTAGAATTATTGTGCAGGTCGTATTTTTATCTTTCAGGAATTGTCATGCATATACAGCATATACATTACCCTTTCGAATACTTATGACATTGAGCAAGCTACGTTTTTGGTACTTGTGAAAGTTCTCAACATATGTCGCTTGAAATTTATTTTTCATTGTATTCCTTTCTACCCCATTTTTTCTTTGGTGCTCTCACTTTCTTTTTTTTTTTTTTTGGTCCACATTGGGCCCAGTATGCTAAATGGCTATATACATGAATGTTGATCAGAGCATTTAAGTTTACACTCTGCTTTCCACTTTTCTCATCAATGGCTTATGATGTTTGCTATTGGCATTTTTCCCGTACTTTACTGTGCCTAATTTTGCGAAATCTTTATTCCGGGTTTCATCTGGAACCCCCAAGCGATCAAGAAGTCCTGAGGCAGTTTTGGGCATGAAAGGAAGTACGCAGATTGTACTGAGTCGTACAGCCTCTGCCGTTAAGAAGATAATGTAGTTCATAAGTGTCGTCTGCTCTGCAACTGCATCAGCATCAGCATCTTGCGTCTGTGTAAGTTTCTTCAGATAAACCCACGGTTGAGCAGTTTGGAAAAATACGTTCGCTAACTCCACCGTTTCCCACCACCGATGGAGTGCCTTCATTTGTCCAAACTCTTGCATGCTTGAATCCATTTCAGAAAATAAAGATGAGATACTGGATACAAGGGAGTCCCTGGCAAGTAAAACTTGGTCAGGTGCCTCGACAACAGCGTCACGTTTAATCATCTCTGTAATATCGCTATATTTCCCGTCAAAGAAGTCTTGAACACTTTGTTCCACATCAAATTTATCTCCTCCAATTCTAGACACAATGTTTGCCCATTTATTTATGAGCTTGCTTCTGTGGTTGTGCAAAGCAGCTTCACTAAAATTGCAATCTGTTCCTAAATTCGATTGCTCCATCAAATAGATCCTCAATGGCTCTGGATCGTAGTACTGCGCCAATTCTATGGGCTCCACAACATTCCCTAGGCTTTTGCTCATTTTAAAACCGTCACATAACCAATGGGAGTGAACAATCACCTGCTTAGGTAATTCGATTCCGGCTGCCATGAGAAAGATTGGCCAATAAATGCAATGAAACCTCATGATGTCTTTCCCGACAATATGGATTGGAGGCCAGATAGGCATATCTTGCTGAGGATAGCCAGCAGCAGTAAGGTAGTTGATAAGCGCGTCAAACCATACATAGATTTTCTGAGAGTCGTCATTGGGCACAGTGATTCCCCATTTCAATCTCCAAGATGGGCGTGATACGGAAAGGTCTGAAAGTTCCTCTTGTCTCAATTCGGTCAATAGCTCATGATATTTTCTGCTCGGCTGGACAAACGAAGGGTTCTTCTCCAAGAAATCAATAAGCTTATCCTTGAAGGCAGACAATCTGAAAAAGTAGTTCTCTTCTTCTTGGAACACCACTTCATTCCTTGTTTCTATTGACACTTTCTTCGGTTGGCCCGTTTTCGCGTCAATAATATCTTCCACCTGACTAGGAGGGTAGAAAGCCTCGTCGCTTACACTATACCAGCCACTATGGGAACCTTTGTATATGAGCCCCTTTTCCATAGCTGCATTCCAAAAGTGTTCCACAGCTTTCACGTGGTCGTTGTCGGTTGTTCTGATAAAACGATCGTACTTCACATTAACTGCCTCGGCCATCTGAACAAAGTTTTGCGAGACTCGATCGACCAAGACTTTGGGATCAATGCCTTCTTTTTCTGCCACCGCCTGAATTTTGAGCCCATGCTCGTCTGTCCCTGTAAGAAACATTGTCTTTTGACCCGGCTTGAGGTTTTCCCATCGTACTCGCGTGTCTCCTAAAAGCATCGAGTATAGGTGACCCAAATGAGGGCGTGCATTGACATAGAAAATGGGAGTTGTGACATAAACAGTTCCATTTGACTTATATCTCGAGAACCGCTTTGATAGCGCTTTAAGTGGGAATCTCTTCATTATGGAAGAAGTATCTGGGATCTCTAATGTGGAGGTGTGTGCAGGCACAATTTATTGACTATGAGTTTGTTAGCTACTGACTGCTAATTTGGTCTTTTACTGAATGTACCTCTATTATTTTGTTCTTCGTTCGGACTAGTTGCGTCTACATTCGCATGTTCACTCATGAGGTCGGGATTCTTTCGGTTGTATTCATAATGTAAGATGAAGTGCGCCTATCTATCCTGCCCTATAGCTAAAAATGAACCGGCCTCATTCCGGGATAGTTTTTATTCCTATGCAAACATTCTCGGATCTCAAAAGAAGATGGAATCTGGATCGGCTCAAATTCACGGTGTCAAAGGCTTGTTCTCAACGAAAATGGCCATTAGTGCAAAAACGAAGTAAAAAAGACACAATGGATAGGCGATCAAAGGACGGACATTATGAAGTTTCAACACAGTCACAAACAATCCAGAAGCCGAGTATGTGCACCAAAACACAGCAAGACAACTCAACATATAACCAATTGTTGAATCAAGCGATACCACTAATCCAACGGCGCAAATGAAAACTAGTGGCAACAAACAGTACCCAATAATGGAAGTGGAGCGAATCAAGTCAATCTGCACTTCATTGCTCATGAGCTTAAAGAGATAATGCAAGCTGACGACACCAAATAGCCCAACACCGTAAATGTAGCCAAATTGCACTTTCCCAGACAATAGTAGTAAGGTTCCAAAAAGTAAAACAAATAATATAGGTCCTGCTAAATCTGAATCCGTCATGATATCTGGCGTGATGTCTTTCTGGAATGGATTCAATACTGCCAATGTCTTCATCTTGATATGTTGAAAATTGATACCCAATTCTTCCAATAAGGGAGGTTCACCTGCGTAGCCCGAAGTTCCGAAAGCAGCTATAAGCCCTGGACTCAATTCACCTCCTCCCATATCTCCACTAACATCAAACCCGGCACCAAACCCTGAATTCATGGATCCCATATTCGCCGTGTCAGCAGCAGGTGAGCTATATGCATTGTTGTAGTTCGATTGGTAGAACCCCATATTTGGGTCCGAATTTTGGGGGTAATATGCCATTCTTGAATTGTGGTATAAACAGTTTGTGATTGCTTGTTAGGCTTTGACAGTTGATCGCGTTGTGATTCAGTCACGTGCGACACCTGAAAAAGATGCATGATGGTCCGAAACAGTACAGCTAATACGTAAGAAATGATTACTCTGAGGATATTGCTTTTACTTGTGATACGAATTGGAAGAATTACAGTTGGCGATTCTTTTCGGAATTATATTCCTCTCATATTTGCCAACAAAGCGACATGTGCTTTTACGCACTTTCAGGCTATTGGTTTCCTTCTTAACTTACTGAAAGTTTCGCACCGCAAATCAGTCAAAGAGAAAGAGGATGAAGACTCTAAACGTATAACATACATCCATGACATTTCTTGCAAACAAGGTTGTATGCTTCTGTATGGACGAAAAGTTTCTTCAAACCGCAAAAGATTGGTTACAGTGGCCGAGTGGTTAAGGCGACACCCTGCTATTAGCAGTTTAGGTGTTGGGCATTGCCTGCGCAGGTTCGAATCCTGTCTGTGACGTTATTTTTTGGCCACAGTTTCCGTACGTTAGCTAGATATTGGCACAATTACTTTTTCTATTTTTGATTTGTTTCAAAATCTTGTCTTCTTGGCGCTTCTTCGTGTGGGAATCTCTTGTGGAAATAATTCGTGCGAAAGCGTAGCGACTTTTTTTCTCGTTAGTGTTCGCGGATTATCGTAACTGAGTTGGCCTCAGATACCAGCATTAAGAAATATGTCCCAATCCTTAATCATATTCAAGCCCTCAGGTAAGGTCTTGTTTCAAACAAACAAAAAGATTTCACCATTTAATGATTTGATCCACAGTATTGTTGCAGAATCCCACACTGAATTAGAACCCAACTTCTACACCACTACTGCTAACCAAAAAAGATTCTATTGTTTCAAAAAAGATGACTTGTGGGCAGCTATATATTTTGACATTATCATTACCATAGATGGAGATAAAATCAAGCATACTCTTATCGATGTGCTCAAAACATATGTCAAACTCACCGATGAACGTGCAGATGAAGCGAAGATCCGAAAATTGATTGATTACCAATTTGACAATTTAGTGAAGCTCAAGAAGGAAGACACAGTGCCTCAAGAGCAGCCAAAGATGCAAGAAACCAATCCTTCTAACAAGAAGAAGACACAGAACCCACCGAAAAAGGCCATGAGGAAATGGGTCAACGGAGAGTTAGTAGAGGTGGGAAACAACGAGGCCCCATTAGATTACTCCGAACTACACGGTGAAGATTCAGCAGATCGTGAAATGGAAGAGGTTTCCATTGATCAGTCTGCATTCAGCAAAGAAAATGACTTGGTCTTGGTCCGCGAACTCAATGAGATTTTGGGTGAGGATGAAGAAGATTCCGAAGAGGAGGAAAGCAAACCAAAGAGTGGATTCCTCTCTAAAGTCACGTCCTATTTTGGCTCTACAGCACCTATTGATGAAGTCTCCAAGAAATTCAATGATCAACTCATTTCCAAGAACATTGCTCCTCCAACAGCAAAGGCCATCACCGAGAAGATCAAGACTAGATTGGGCTCAAAAACGGTCACCGTGAATGCTTTCAAACAAGCTTTGACAGAAGAACTTACTAAGATCTTAACACCAAATGTGTCTACAGATCTTCTTTACGAAATTAAAAAGAGCAGTGCGGCAAAAAAACGTCCGTACGTGATTTCGGTTGTTGGTGTCAATGGAGTCGGAAAGTCCACCAATTTGGCAAAGTTGGCATACTGGCTTCTTCAAAATAATCTAAATGTGCTCATTTGTGCTTGTGATACCTTTAGATCTGGAGCAGTAGAGCAATTGAAGGTCCACGTTAAAAACTTAAAACGCCTTAATGCTAGCAACGATACCGAATGCAAGATCGATCTTTTTGAAAAGGGCTATGGTGGCGGAGATCATGTTGTCAAAACAGCCAAGCTGGCTATCCAACATGCCACCACCGAGGGCTATGATATTGTATTGATTGATACTGCGGGCCGAACCCATTCCAATGCAAAATTAATGGCGCCTTTGAAGAAGTTCGGTGATGCTGCTGATCCAGATAAGATTATTATGGTGGGAGAAGCACTTGTTGGAACAGACTCTGTCGAACAGGCGATCAATTTCAACAATGCTTTTGGCAATAAGCGGAACCTAGACTTTTTCATCATCTCTAAAGTGGATACTGTCGGTGACTTGGTTGGTGCAATGATCAATATGGTGATGGCTACAAATGTGCCTATTTTATTCGTAGGAACAGGCCAAACGTACACAGACATCAAGAGACTCAGTGTGAAGAGAGTGGTGGATATGCTTACCAAGTGAGCACTTCACACACTTGGTGCATTTTAATTGAATAGAAGAGTAAGAGAAAAGAGGAGAGCAAACGACGAGTGAAAGAAAGGAACAAAGGTTTTTTGTCGATAATTCATACTAATATACATTTAACGTGACAACCGGAATGTTGTATGCCGCACAAATCATTTTGGAGACACACAGCCTGCATTCACGAGTGAAGTATTAAAGGTGGCTTATCCAAGAAATTAGTGCTATAAGAAGCAAGCATATATATTTAACTCGTTTTTGTTGCCCCGTTCCACACCAGAATATTGCCCAATCTACAGTACTGTCTGTAAACGATACAATTGCCCTCTTAGGCTATGCGGATCAAAAAGAGAAAGGCCGACTTGTATCTCCTAGTGAATGCACTTCGAGCCGCTGATCTCGTCATTCCAGGAGATGAGAAACCATCCAAGTCGATCAATGCTGCGTTTGTTGTGCAACTCAATAAATACAAAAAACGGAGTAAGCGTCGCTTGAATACATCTCAACCCTCGTGGGATAGACAATTTGCTGTTCCTTTGAAACATGGTGATTACTCCCAAGTTCTCGTTTTGTCTGTGTGGAGTAAAAGTTCAAGGGAAAAATCGTATTTGGGAGAGCTCAGGCTTTGCATCGCTGATTTATTCATCGACCAAGAGGCTCATAAAACAGAACCTCAATGGTACAAGCTTTATTCAGACGAGACTGAACACAGCTATGTGACAGGTTCCGTGCTACTTCTGTTTGAACTTCTTGCCCCCAAGCAACGTCGTATGAATATGAGCTCGGGCAGCAATGTTTCATTAACCAAAGAAAATCCGAAAGTTCCATCGCTTGCTGTGAACCCTCCTACAGCCACCCAATTGAAACTTCTGAAGCTCAACATTAAGGATGATACGATAGATGAAATGTTCAAAAAATGGATATGCTCCCTTGTTGTATCAAGCGTGAATCCAGCGACAATTACGCCCAACGAGCAAGGATTTTATCCTTCAGATTTTGCTCTGGCAGATATACTGGGAGCAAGTGAAATGTCGGAAGTCGAATCGCTGGACGATGAGACCAAAGTTACTTCCAAGCGGCTTTCACATTCAGAAGAACCTCTTCAACTTCTTCACGATGCTCAAAGTAAGTCTTTGTTTATGGAATTGGGACAAACAAAACATTTAGATGTTCCAGGAAGTATTGATGATGTAAGAAGTGATGTTCTGGTTTCTTCAGCTCTGTCGTCATGCTCCTATGTAAGCGATGCTTACAGTGATGGAGGACTATACAATGAAGGGGGAGGTGAAGCTGAACCCAAGGGAAGGAAACATAGGAGAAAAAGAAGAGCTTCGGAAAAAGCGACTCGGAAGCCCAAGTATGAGCTTCGAAAAAGAGATGTGAAAGGTATACTCTTTGTGGAGATAATATCATGTTCTGATTTACCTCCCTTTCGCAACTTTACAAGGACAACGTTTGACATGGATCCTTTCATTGTGGTTACGTTCGGGAAGAAAACATTCCGCACGTCATGGAAGAGGCACACGTTAAATCCAGTTTACAATGAGAGACTCGTATTTGAAATAATGGAGCACGAGCTGAATTACAATGTTCAGTTCTCTGTTCTTGATAAGGACCATTTTTCTTTCCATGACAAAATTGCAGATGTGACGCTTCCGGTCCAAGATCTTATGAATATTGCACTGGTACCAACCAAAATCGCTATTAAGGAACCTGATGACGACTTATCGAACTCAGAGTTGCTTGAATCCAAGGATACGGATACGTCTCATCACAGTAATGAAGCTAGTGGAGGTGATGAGGAAGAATTCAAACCGAGTGAGCACTTGAATGTAAAGTTGGGCAACATAACTGAAGGATATCGCAATGCCTCATTTAGTTCTTTTGGCTCACCATCAGACAACCTCACCAGTAACAGCGTTATAAAACTTGCGGAGAACGAAAATCTTGTGAAAGTGAAAAAGAGAAAGAAACTCCGTCGGAGCAGGTACACTACACTGTATGTTGACACGTCTCTTTTTAAGACCATCGATCTTTCCCTCACACTTCATAAAACCAAGTGGGCAGAGAAGTATAGCCCAACTTTGAAACTCAGGGCGAGATATCTCACGTATGAGAGCTTAAGAAGGGATTTCTGGCGGATTTTGCTTGAACAATTTACAGTTAGCGATACACCAGGCACTATGGACTACATCGAGTTGATGTCATTGCTAGACACTTTAGGAGCTGAGGATAGTGACCAAATTGTTGGCAAATTTTTCGAAAAAGCTAAGAAGTCGACATGGGGAGGTGATTCTCTCGACTTCAACGAAATCATAGATTGTTTAGAGGATCTTGTGACGTCAGAATCGCAACTGCCAGGAGCAAAAATCTTTGTATTTGATAGGTGCCCAATTTGCTGCCAGGAGCATTTATCAAAGAGAGATGATCTAGACATCATCACTCATTTTGCGATATGCGCATCAAAAGATTGGAGTATTGTAAGTAAGCTTCTTGTTTCGTCCTACGATACCCCACAAATTGCAACAAGACGGTGGTTCTCCAAAATATTGATCAAACTTTCTTACGGGAAATATAAGTTGGGCAGTAACTCAGCAAATATTTTGGTTCAAGATCGGTCTACAGGAATTGTGATGGAAGAAAAAATGAGTGTATCGGTACGCTTGGGGATTAGGCTCTTGTACAAAGGGTTGGATAAAGCCAAATCAAAGAGAATCAGAACTCTTTTACGCAAACTTAGCATCAAACAAGGCGTGAAATTTGACAGTCCTCGTCTGAAAAGAGATATTGATTCTTTCATCAAGTTTCACAAACTCAATTTGGCAGACTGCCTTATAACAGATCCATCTAGATTTGAAACATTCAATGATTTCTTTTACAGAAAGCTTAAGCCTGGTGCAAGGCCCATAGAAGGAGATGATGGCATAGCTGTTTCGCCTGCTGATTGTCGTTGTACTACTTTTACTAGTGTGGACGAGGCGACAGAGCTCTGGATTAAAGGACGCAATTTCACATTGGCGAAACTTTTCAATGGAAATTTCAACGACTTAGAGAAAACAAGTCTTTACAATCCAAAAGAATGCTGTATTGGTATTTTCCGTCTTGCACCTCAAGATTATCACCGGTTCCATAGTCCTGTGAATGGTAAGATTGGTCCCATCAAGTACATTGAGGGAGAATATTATACGGTCAACCCAATGGCTATCCGGTCTGACTTGGATGTCTATGGAGAAAATGTTCGAGTCGTGGTTCCAATTGTCACAGAAACCTTTGGAACCGTTGTTTTGGTCGGTGTGGGTGCCATGATGGTGGGGTCTACAATTATCACAGTCAAAGAAGGACAAGAAGTACAAAGAGGCGATGAAATTGGGTACTTCAAATTTGGAGGTTCCACGGTTCTTTTATTGTTTGAAAAGAAATATCTACAGTTTGATTCTGATATTGTTAATAATTCAAAGCTGTGCATTGAAACATTGGTGAGAGTGGGCCAAAGCATTGGTCATTCGCCAAGTGTCAAAGAATATAAAAGAGAACATATTGAGTTTGACAAGCAGCCTCAGACTTTCAAATTGAACTTGATCCGTGCAATCACAGGTGGTGATGTCTCTGATCCCGCTAAGATCGACAGCTGGGAAAGCCAGAATTTGCAAATTACGGCAGATGATATGGATGACTTGATAAACGATCCAGAGTTAGCGGATTACCTCACCGACGAGGAGGGTCTGATAGACTCTCAATGAATGACTTATGCAGATTGAATGTACATGACTCAAGTGATGATTTGGTAGTCAAGATTCGAAGATAGTACCCTATGGATGTGAGCGAGTTCCACTCTAATGCCATCCCTGGTAAAGTGAAGTAGGAGCATATAGTGCATCACCGCTGAGTCCTCGAGATTCTTCCTCATGGCGAATAATCCACCCCACTTGATCCATTTCTGTTCTTAAGGCATTGATTTCGTCAAATATGGGTTTCGGCAGATACATAGGTTGCAACACCAACTTGGTGAGCACAGGCGGCAAAATTGAACCAGCAACAAAGCATGTGGCAACCTTTTTAATCATCGATTTCGCTTGGTGGAAGACTTTGCTACTTTTGCTCGGAGAACAATGATTATATATTCCCCGGGAATCATAGGGCTTTGGCCGCCACCTGCAGGTCCGAGATACGCGGACCTGCATGTGATTGAAGGCTGATAACGCTTGTGCAGACATAACAGGAGAAGGAAACACACGAAAAACAATGGCAAAAGTGGCATAGTAAAGAACATCATTACTATTGGCTACCTGTTTGTGTTTTTATTCTCTATACAGTTCACTAATGGAAGTAATTGTTGATTAGAGATGAATCTACTATTTTCATATATATGCATCTACATAGGTGGGGCACACGCGCGGTATCCCGGAGTTCTCGGAAAATCAACGGAGACGGTTTCGGACCTTTGTTGAGATAGAGGTGGCTGAATTCCCTGTCACAAAGAGAATTTCGGACTCCCAGGTACAAAGGATGGTGCGGAATAGAATGAAGCTTCTTCCCAATATTTTTCGGTAGTTGAGAAGTAAACATAACGTCATAATCACGTCATTTTCTTTTCGAACTACATGAATGGCCAGACTGCGTAATGCACTAGCAAAATTTTAACAATATTGAAGTATCGGGCACTAGGCAACGATAGTAGGAACGCTTTCGTTTTAAGCTGTAATAATGAACCATTTTTTACGAATCATATAATGTGACCGTTGCGAAAAGAAAGCATGAAACTATTGGTCGGCTTTCGATGATCAAAACTATATGCATACTACTACCATTCAACAGAGAAACATTTCAAGTGAAGATCAGATTATTCATATGATCCGTGCAGAGGATCACAGTATACGCATCTGTGTTCTTTGGATTCTTGTTAGAAAGACCTTATTTCACCCGTTCCATAGAGCATACAGCACGTATCCTCGGATAAGACCACATAAAAAAAAAAAAAAAAGCGAAAAATAAAAACAAAAATATTAATAAATGCACAGAGCCTGCTAAGAATGCTGGTTGTACCACACCCTGCGTGTGCGCAGTGTAAGTTAATTACAAAACTGAAAATTTAATCATCGTATCTTCTTTATTATCCCTACTTCTGCTTACCTCCGTAGGCCGCCTTCCACTCGTCAATCATCTTCTCATCTATTCTCTTGAACAAGTACTGCGCCTTGCCCAAGTTGTGACCTGGTTCCAAAACAAACTCAAACTTGTCTGTGATCGACAAGGCTGGAGCGTTCAACATCTCACAAATTTGGTCACGGGTCGCTGGCATGAATGGGGAAATGACAGCAGAAACCAAGTAGATCAAGTTCAATCCCACACCTACAACAGCATCAGAAACATCTGGAGTGTTGTTGAAAAGCGAGTTGTCCAACTTGTTGTCCTGCAAGAACTGGTTTCCGCGAGAGGATATAGCCATGGCAATCTCCAAACCACGTCTTAAGTTGACAGCCTCCATGTTCTCTATGTAAGAAGTCAACAAGTCATTAACGTCTTTCTCAAAGCTTGCGTAGTTAGCAATCTTGTTTGCATCGTAGCTCGGTACAACGCCATTATACTTAGCAATGGCAAATTTAACCAATCTATTGACAAAGTTGCCCAAGTTGGCCAAAAGCTCCGAGTTATTTCTGGTGACAAACTCCTTCCACGAAAAGTGCGAGTCAGATGTTTCTGGACGCACAGACGCCAAATAATATCTCCACACAGAAGGAGAGATGCCGGTTTCACGTGCATTGTTTCCGAAAACACCCACGCCTCTGGACTTGGAAAACTTGCCGTCTTCATATTGCAAGTACTCCGTAGTGTTCAAGTGGTGCAACTTGGTCCATTTGTCACGTGTACCAATTTGAGTTGCTGGGAACACCACAGTATGGAACGGAACATTGTCCTTACCCATGAATTGATACAAGTTCACATTTTCTGGGTTTCTCCACCACTGTTGCCAACCGTCCTTGATTTCCTTGTCCTTGAAGTAATTAGCAGTAATGGAAACGTACCCGATCGTAGCATCGAACCAAACGTACAACACCTTGTCCTTAAACTTTTCCAAAGGAACAGGTGTACCCCAAACTAAGTCTCGGGTGATGCAACGTGGGTCCAAGCCTTGCTTTAACCAGGAATTTGTGATGGTCTTAGAGTTCTTCGACCATGCGCCCTTTTCGGCTGCTTCTTCTACCCATTCTTTCAATTCAGGTTCCAATTCGTTCAATTTGAGGTAAACGTGGGTAGAGTTACGTGGAACAGGCTTCGAGTTGTCAAGCTTACAACGGGGTTCGATTAATTCAAATGGGTTCAACAAGTTTCCACATTTGTCACATTGGTCACCACGAGCATCTTCGTAGGCACATTTTGGACATGTTCCCTCAACAAAACGGTCGGCCAAAAAGGAGTGATGAACTTCACAATACAATTGTTCTGTGGTTTGTTCTTCCAAGTAGTTATTGTGGTACAACTTCATAAAGATGTCTTGCGCAATCTCTGTTTGCAATGGTGTTGTGGTGCGCCCGAAGTAGTCAAAGTTGATGTCAAACCAATCGTAAACATCCTTGTGCACTTTATGATACTTGTCACACAATTCTTGTGGGGTGACATGTTCCTCTAATGCCTTTGTTTCAGTAGCAGTCCCGTACTCATCTGTACCACAAACAAACAAAGCGTTGTAGTTTCTATTCTTGGCGTAACGGGCGTAAATATCTGCCGACAAGACAGATCCAACAATGTTTCCTAAGTGAGGAACGTTATTCACATATGGCAACGCAGAAGTGATCAAAATATTGCGTTCGCCATCCTTTGGAAGGATACTGTCGCCTTGTGGCTTAACTAAATAGCCGGCGTGAACATGTACAGCGCCTGTGTGTTTGGGCATTTCTCTGACCAAGACTGTCACGGACTTTGCACGAGCAACACCAGAAGTAACAGCATCAGCAGAAGAAAAACGTTCAGCCCATTGCGCCAAGTTGCTGACTTCAGACAAAAAAGGATACGCGGCAGCATAAAGAACAATGTTGGCGGCAGACAATTCTGTTGATTCAGGAACAGAAAGTTTACTCAAAGCGTCAACAGCCTTTTCGCGGGACTGAGATTTGAGTGCAGAGTAGATTTCGTTTTCTTCGACAGCAAAGACAGGGCTTGGAGCAAAGTCTTTAGCCAAGTATTTGACAATGGCATTGGCCTCTGCGAGTTCGAAGCCAGACTTAGAATCACGGAAAAGAAGACCCGAGTCAGCAGGCTCTACCTGAGCTTCAGGAGCAAATGCAGCAGCTGCAATGCTGACTTTAAGGTTGTTAACCAACGCAAGTAAGGTGCTACCTCTATCTGTGGCGATATTCATTAGGGTTGAATATTAGTCATATAATTTTTTCGCTGCGTATATGGGTCGATGAACCCGTACACCATAAGCCTCTAGACAAAATAATACGACTTGCAAATAGTTGTAGACGGTAAAGGCAGTAGGGAATGAGAAGAAATGTAGCATTCTATTTACATGGCGATTAGTCATTGTTTGCTTTTCTTCAGGGCGTATGATCAAGGGACTTGTCGTAATACAAACACCCGTACACCACTTCCAAAGACCACCACAACGACCGATGTACAGATCAGCATTTCAACGATATAAATGGAACGTTTTGATCAATGCTAGATGATACGGTTTGCTCAATGGAGGTTTCTTGTGGGTCAGGCTATCACCACGAATATTTAGTAGATGTATGGTACACCGGTACACCATTGGTGATGTGGGCTCTTTCAGGGATTCATTGAAGTCTATCAGATACCGTTGAATAGGATGCTAATAGCCTTTCAAGTTGGCTATGTATTTTGGGGCTGCAAGCCTAGAATGTTAGGAAAGACGATCAGGAGAGGTGTCAGCTCTCTCTGCAGGCGCACATCACCAAACGCAGTCTCCACACTAACTACAACTTCATGGCTCTGGACAAATTCAACAGCATCGTGCACGTGCTTGCACAGGCTGCGCGTCCTCTATCGCCCACAGGAGTTCTCTCAGGGAAAACATTTGCAGCCAAAGCTAACATTGCCACTTCGCGTGCACCTGTGGACTGTGCTCTGCGAGTCTTGGATTCATATACGGGCCCATTCACCAGTACCGCTGTGCGTCTTCTTGAGCAGGCTGGAGCGGTTTGCATTGGCACAACAAACATGGACGAGTTTGGTATGGGCCTGGCATCGACACACAGTAGCCATGGCGCTGTGGTGAATCCTCAATACTATCCGGCAAACCACGTTGCCGGCGGTTCTCTGGGCGGTTCTGCAGCATGCGTGGCGGCCGGCCTCGCTGATTTTGCTTTGGGAACAGATACGGGCGGCTCTGTGCGTCAGCCGGCCGCATGGTGTGGTGTAGTTGGATTCAAGCCCACGTACGGGCTGATATCGCGGTTTGGCGTGGTGGCTTATGCACAGCTGTTGGATACCGTAGGGATTTTGGCGCGGCTGGTAAGAACAACGCGAGATGTCTTTGGTGTTCTAGACAAGTGGGATGACAATGATGTGACGGCACTTCCACTTCTGGTTCGCGGCCGAAAAGCGAAAGAAGGGCCGTGGGTGGTGGGCGTTCCCGAGCAGATGCTATTGGGCGAGGTGGGTCCCGAAGCGCTCGAAGCTTTGGAACTCGCGCTCGTGGGGCTTAAGAAGTTGGGCCATAAGATTGTTCCGGTTCTGATCCCAGCGCTTTCACGCCTGTTGCTGGCGTACTACACTCTAGCCACAGCAGAGGCTGCATCTAACTTGGCGCGGTACGACGGAGTTAGATACGGTGAGAACGAGAAGGGCCATTCTTTCGGAGTAGAGGTGCGCCGCCGTGTCCTTTCAGGCACATACACGTTGTCTTCGGAGCTGGGTCTGCACTATAAGCACGCCACGTTAGTTCGGGAGAAGCTTGTGGAGGAGCTCAACTGCGTGTTTGCTAGCGCACATCTGTTCGTGGGTGTAGGGGAAAAACACAAGGATGTGGCTAGAAATGGGCCAGACTCGGGAAGTGGGGTTGACGTGCTCTTGGCTCCGACTGTTTTAGGCCGCGCACCTGAACGGGACGTCTACGACCAGATCACTCGTAATTTCATCGAAGGATACGCGGGAGACGTTCTTACCGTTCCAGCTTCCTTGGCTGGCCTTCCTACTGTGAGCGTGCCTTTTAACGGAGTAGGCATTCAGGTGATGGCACAGCATGGAGATGATGCAACAGCACTCTCTGTTTCTGAGGCGGTGGAAACTATATTCGCACAGTAAGATGTTTCTTGCCACTAGCGTTCATGTTCCTTATGCAAACGTTAGTTTCTTTCTTGGCCATGACTTCTTTGCATCTTTCACTCCATAATATCTGGCAGTGCATCCAGTCTAGGTCTATTTCTTTCGCAATGGTAAAAGACAATAGTGAACCAAATATATCTATCTGCATTCATTGTGCTATACAGCGATAAATCTCGGGGCCGTTATCATTGATAGATAGGCTAGAAGGGGCATCAGTGAAACCACTTTGGTCTCCCCCTCTGTCTTGAAAATTGTACATAACCACGTTTCTTATATTGAAACTTACAATCTTGAAATTCTGCCTTTTCAGATTACTCTCGACAAATATACATCAGTATTACATCACTATGTGAGAATAAGACTGAATTCATCATTTGTGTGGGCGTCTATTGCGATTTAATAATATGAACAAAGGAAAATGCAGTTATTAAAGTTAACTATTCAAATGAAGTAGGATTTACCACGATATGCCATAGCACATAGCGAAAAGTTGCATAGTCTGAAGCTCTCTTGTCTTCTCCTTATTGCTTGAAGTTACTTGCGTCCCAAGAGCGTCAAGAATTCGTCACGGGTCTTTTGCTGCACACGGAAACAACCCAACATACAACTTGTTGTCGTTGACAGGCCAGTTTTTTGAACACCACGGCTCACCATACACATGTGAGTAGCCTCGATGACTACAGCAACTCCACGTGGTTTCAAGATCTCGCTCAATGCCATGGCAATTTGCTTCGTCAAACGCTCTTGCACTTGGAAACGCCGCAGATACATTTCAGCCAAACGTGCAAGCTTCAGAAGTCCAACCACTCTCTTGTTGGGAATATAGGCAATGTGAGCCTTTCCAAAAAAGGGCACCAAATGGTGCTCGCACAAGGAGTAGATCTCGATGTCACGGACAATCACCATCTCGTCATGATCTTCTTCGAATACTGCCCGTTTGATCACATCCCGAATGTTGTCTTCGTAGCCCTTGGTGAAGTACATCATTGCACGTGCATATCGCTCTGGTGTCTCCAAAAGACCTTCCCGAGTAACGTCTTCTCCAAGTTCAGTTAAAATTGTCTTCACTGCTCCAGCAATGCGCTGTTCACGTGCCTTAGCTTCCTCTGGCGTCTGCTCAAGTCTGTCACGGGCCCCCTGTGATGGCCACAGTAAACCATCACTATCAATGGGTGGGTTTAAAGTGCAGGGTGAGGCGGCACGGATATGAAGTGGAGTAAGTTGACGAAGAAGCCTCTGTCTCGGTGGAATGTCCACGAGGGGATTAGAATGATGAGATCCATTTTTGGTGTCATTTTGATCGCCAGATTCATCTGTTTGGTCGTGTTGATGATTATCCGTTCTCTGCTCCTTTTCCTTTGGCAAGACGCCATCTATTTGTCCATCTCGCTTACCGTCTTCATCCTCAAAATTTTCTCCTCTTTTTCTCTTACCATTGGCTTCTGTGGGCAACATGATGGTGGCTCGTAAACTTTTCCGGCGATTTTAGGTGGACTTAACACCTGTACACCAAATCAGTCATAGTTCATGCACAACAGGTAAATTAGTTATCAGAATATGGCAGACGGCAACCAAAAGAGTTGATCATTATTTATAACATCTATTCAAACACTAATTACGTTCGCGTTTATCTAAAAGAAAAAGATTTAGCTTCCAATAAACTTGTTGAAAAAGGCTAAATAAGCTATTTATTTTATTTGCAAGATACGAATAGTGTCTTAAGTAAGATAGCGCGCACTAAGTCATCGGCACGCAAGATAGTGCAAGATAACAAAGGATCAGGAAAAAAATTGAGATGGAGGAGCTGTACGGCGTATCCTCGAGCTATGAAGATATTTTTCATTTCGATCGGTCTAAATAAGCGTTCATAAAATCGTAGATAGCTATGCAAAAGGATTCAACACCCGCACAGTCAAGCAAGGCAATGCCATGCCGATCTCTGCCCGCAACAAAACTGCAACCTGCCGCATTTCACGGATTTCTTGAATATAAGAGTTGCCCTCGACCCGTGTAATGCTGTCGCGCAAATATGGTGCCAATCCATCCTCTTCGCTGCCTTGTGACCCCACATTAGGGGCGTCAATGTTAAGCTTCGCCAACTTGTCAGCAACACTACTAATGGCACCGCCTTGTTTCATGCTCTCACCTTGGAACTTTGCTGCTTCCAACGATGATGTACGGTACTTGTTCTTGATTGAGCTACGGTAACTCAATGACGTCTTTTCATCTGGGGGAACGTACGTCGCCGCATCAACACCTTTTTCCCAGAACAACTCAAGCGTACGGTTTGCCTTGTCGAATTCGGCCTTAACCAATGGCAACTGATCACCATGAACTCTCTTCTCCACACCCAACTCAGGAATAAAAACGTCAAATGATGATTCGTAAACTTGGACGACTGTGCCCATCACCAATAACTGACCAGTATTTTCACTCATCTCGTTAATAGTTTGGGACAATAACAAATGAATTGCTTGTTCCTGTGCGTTGGCAGCACAGTCTTTCTTGAAGTTACAATAATCGGCTATAGTCTTCAAGGCCTCTAAGTTGTTAGGCTCTGAAGTTGTCTTGTTGATAACGGCCTTCACTTGCCTATGCACAATCAAATCGGCAAATCTTCTCAATGGTGCTGTGAAGTGTGTGTGCAATGGCAAGTTCAAATAGTAATGTCCATATGAATCTGAATCTTGCTTTCCAGCAATATAGTACTTAGGCTTTGGCATCGATTTGAACAACAAAGTCTCAATACATTGTCTTTTGACTGGGTCCTCGATTTTCAAAATGGAATTCTGCAAACTTGCTGATGTGCTGATGTCCATCTCGAAGCCCAAATTTGCTGCTTTTCTTGAGAAGTTTTCAATCTTTTGCAATGTTGGCAATGCATGGCGACGTAAAAAGGCCTCATCTCCAAGGAATGCATGTACTTTGGCAGCGACAGTAGCATTTACTTTGTGAGAAATCTCGGAAACCATCAGCAAAGCATCACTCGATTGATAAATATTCAAGTGCAATCTCACTTTCTCATCATCAATTTGATCTAACAAATTGAGCGTTGGACTAATTCCTAAGGCCCGATTTTCCAATCTTTGGCGACGGAACTCTTTGGCAATTAATGCAAAGGTCTTGATATAGTCAGAAGTAGCAGAAGTGATATCCTCAACAGGTTTATTGCTCAAGATAGCATCGACATCATCGTAACTCACCAAAGACTTTGGTACAATAACCGACTCTTGAATGTGAATATCCTCAACTTCAAAACTAGTAGTATCGATTTCGAAAACGACCGACAAGGCCAAATTTTTAACGTTTTCCTTGAAAGAAACCAACTTATTGAATTGTTCTGGATACAAATGAGAGGATTTTTGGGGTAAAAATGCGGAGCACGATCTCTTCTTCGCCTTTCTTTCCAACAACGAACCTGGATGCACAAAATGAGACACATCTGCCGAGTGGAAACCAAACTCGATCTTTGTGCTGCTAAGTCTCTTCACATGGAAAGCATGATCAACAAACTCATTGTTCTGAGTAAAAGATATAATGTAATCATTCAAATATTCTACCCTGTCAGGGTTGGTCAACTCGGCTTCGATACTAGGAAGTGGCCCAAAAAAGGATGTCATGTAGTCTTCTGCAAAGTCATTCTCATTTGGATACTCGTCGCAAGAAAAGTTATTGTCCCTCAAAATCGCATCCACTTCAATTGCAGGATCATCAATCTTACCCAATTTGCACACAAGTGTTCCAAAGGGATGCAACGAAGTAATTGGCCATCTTTTAATGGAGGCGATGAATAACAGGTCTGAGTACTTTTCGTGATTTTCAACAAAGTCGCGAGGAGCTTGTTCTGTAGGGATTGCGATTAAAGGAACACGTTTGTCCGTGGGTTTAAACCAAACAATCTTTGGTGTTCTTGGTGTTTGAACAGACGATTCTTTACCGTATTTTTTATCCATGGCTGCCTGTGCTGCTTGTGCGGGCCTTAATAAACCTAACGTACCAGCAAAGATTTGGCCGGGAATACGATCCACAACGGCAACCACATGACCCGCATACAAAGGTTTGACCTCATCGTTAATTTCCTCTTCTTCAACTAGAAGTAATGCTTGGCCCTCCACCTCAACGTCATCATTTTTCTTCATTGTAGGTCTTTGCTTAAGAGAGCCTCTTCTCCCCAAACTCTCGCCATCGTTCTCCTTCTTCGAATCGGCAGCCAGAGTAGACGTGGCGTCATTATGAATATCGTCACTCAAAACAGAGGTAGTATTAGACTTTGTCATATTGTTGTCTTTGCGACGTTTCTTTTCCTCTTTTTCTTTCTTGGACTCCCAAACTTCATCAACAACAAGCAACTCTACTGCAACCAAGTCGCCTTCCAATGCTCTGTTACGGTCCTTGGAGCCACAAATGAAGATATCAGCTTCCAATAAACCATCTGTGGAGACATAGGCATCAGAACGGTTCTTCTTATTGACCCGCAAAGTTCCGGTCACCAAACGTCCCTCGTTTATTAAATCTGGCAAAGACATTTGAGGCAAATATGGCGCAAAAAGGGACTTACGGCCGTTCGCATTGCCGTTGTTGTTATTGTTTCCTTGGCCCATATTGGGGTTGAATTGTGATAGAGACGAAACAGAGCCGCCTCCGCCATAAGAGCTTGATTTGTTGCGGTGGCCAGGAACGAAGAACAGAGGTGGTTCCAATGTTGCAGAGCTATATTGTTGTCCAGCTGGTTGTTGTTGTGAACGCCAATTGGAATTGATATTGCTATTGTCGAGATTACGAGAATTTGATCTCAAGTGGGATCCCCGGCGTTGGTGGCCACGTTCAGGAGAAGTAGAGCTGAAACCTGGCACGGGAGGAAGAAAGGAGGAGTTTTCGGGAGGAAATTTGAATTGTTGGCCATACGCTAATGAACGCGAGCGCGAATGGCCTGGAGAAAGTTCCCGTTCGGAGTCTGGAGCATTATTGGGAAAGCGGAATCCTCCCAAAGATTCTGAGCTACTATTAGAATGGCCCAATGTTGGCAGAGCTGCACGAAGACCTGGTGGACTGTTGGTAGCGTTTGATCCAAGGGAAGCCAAGTTGGATTGTTTCTGTGATGCAGCAGCCTTGATGGCCTCATTAAGCCCCAAGGAGTGTCTACGTGCATGACCCTGTTGGGAACCTCCCAGAGAGCCGGTTCTGCGGTGGTTTGCGTTGTTGGTCGACAGGTTCCTGGAATGAGATTTATATCCCTCCTGGGGAACCGTAAGCAGCAGCAGCAGCTGTTGTTGTTGTAAGAGCTGCTTCTGCTGCAGTTGGACTGCCTCCAACTGGCGCTGGAGGTTATATTGCTCCACCATAAGCGTGGTCAATTCGCTCGGAGAGCGACGGTGGGCAATGTACAAGTTCTTTGGCTTGCGTGATCTTTCGCCATCAGCCATTGTGGAAAAAAGTGGGGAAGTTTTTTTTTTGTCTTTGGAAAAACTGGAATTGGAAAGTATTAAAAGGCTCCTGAAGTATTAAATATGCTTTGGTGTATTAAAAGTGCTTTGGTGGCACAGCAAACAATTATTGGTGGGATATGAGTGAGACAGATTATAGTGCCAAAGTCTGCTATAGACGAAAGTTTGCCCTTGGCAAGAATGACAGAAAACTCTTTGAAAGGAAGTGAGAAGCTAGCAATTGCGTTGCAATGTGAAAAAGAGCGTTCGGATGTGTACTAGAGCCACGATCACTAGTCAGATTGAGAACCAACAGCAAAAAAGAAGAGAAGCCAAAGTTTCCCCTGACGGTTTTTTCGGTGAGATTTTGCGTGTGCGGTTGCGTGCCTATATCTTTTTTTCGGGCTTGCCCTTTTCCATCCTATCAATTGCCACCTGCGTTTTTCGCAACAGGAGACCTTCTGGCTAGTATTTTTACTTTGTTTTTTTATATTCGTACCATTATTGGTGTGGCACCATTCCACTTGTACTTTTTTTGCTAAATGCTGGAGAAACTGCTGAACAATTGATTGGGGATACCATTAGGTCATGTTCTATGTACAGTACTTGCACTACTATTAATAGGCTCTAGGCCTGCGGTCGACTTCCGGCATGTTCGGTTGGGCTTTCCTGGGAAGATCTGGGGTTCGAGTTTTTCATTCTTCCTCTTGTGCTGGCATTGTCATCCCTGGGAAATTTGCGCTTGTGGCGGAGATAATTCAAGACTTCGGAGAATGTTATTGTGAATTGGGTTTACACAAGGGATGAAGGGACCAAGAGCTAGCCATATGCAATACATTTAGCAGATGCGGCATTAGCGTTGGTTCAAAAAGGCAACTTTAGTTTCCACACGCTTCTTCGAAGCGAGTACTAAGCGAACACTTGACCAGTCAACCAGTTATGAAATCACACGGACAGGCGTCGAAAGTACTCAATGGCAAAAGCTTCTATGGTTGAGTGCTGTTTCCCTTTTAATTCTCTTTTTATTTTTATAGTCTTCTTCCGTTTACTACTTTGGGACTCCGTTGCTTGTCTTCCTAGTATTGAATTTTATGGTTTCGTTTCTCGATCAGCAGTCTATTGTGCGAAAACAAGCTATCGGTGCCTGTCTTGGCAAAATAAGTCTCGTCCTCACGTCTACAGAAAAAGATCAACTCCTAAGTTTGTATTACATGCGCATTATAGCTCATCAGCATAAAAGCACACACCGAGTAACGGCACGAATTCAATTTCAAGAGAGTGTAGTTCTCAATGTGTGGACTCTGGGCTGAAACTTTGAGAACAAGAGACATCTCCTGTGATGTTACCATGTTTATGCATTCCCATTATTTGAAGGACACGAACGTGTTTTTTCCATAGTAGCTTGTAAAGTTTTTCTGCAAATTAATGTATACCCAAACGTATCTGACTTAGACGCATCCATGTGAACTTGGGATCAATGAAGTTGACTTTGACCAAAAGCGTTCTCAATTGCCCATAAGATATGGAATGAAGATGCTTGCGCACTATAGCGTGAGCTCTGTTGCAATCGTTTGCCTCGCCATACTTCTTTAGTATCAACTCAAAATAAATTCCAGAGCGATCGAAGCCAAATCACTGCAATTGGAGAAGAAGATCGTAATACCGATTCTGCTTAAATAGAAAAGTTCACTATCTTAGCCTCTAACGTAGCCACATCTACCAAAACAATTTGTTTAGACTCACAAAATCGTGGCACAGAGATAACCTTGACTTTGTTTCCGCTCACATCGACGTCTCTCCACCCAGCTTCCATCTGATTTCCTGCAAAATACACATGCGGTGTTTCATCAAGTGCAAAAGGATCACATTCCTCGTATGGATAACAAAACAATGTATCTGGTGCTGTAGGGGCGATATGTTGCCAACGAAGAGTTCTTTCCATCACTGTAAGTATTTGGTCAAGAGAGGGCGTTCCAGGTGAGTATTTGAGAATGTCCAGGATATTCTGGCCCGCTGTGCCTAATACACGTGCACCTGTGTCGAGCTCAATCCATGCTGGATTGGTTGCCGCATGTACAAGCAGTTCTGGACCGCCAGAAAAACGGCCCGAAGCGCCCAAGAGTGCCCGGTGAATCGGTTGTTGGGGCAAACATGTCTCAGCTGGATCGGATTGGCCTGGCATGATTGTCACCGGCAAAGAGGTAGCGATCTGAGCAAGCCAAGTAGAAAAATGACTTACGGCCAGGCCCAGGAAACGCGACGTATTTTTCGAACCAAAAGAAGTATCGGAAACGACAGGTTTCGATTCTGACACCAGATCACCGGCAATAATGAGACGCAGTATTTGACGAGCCGCTTCTGCGTCAGTAGCGCCTCCAAGCTCGCCACAGAGCCACTGCTGCAACAAAACAGTCAGAAGGTCGCCAGCATCAGAAAACATGATACCAGAAACTATAGCGAGATAGCGCTTCTCGGGCTTTAGTTCACCTAAGGGGCGCTGCGGCGCAGGAGTTGGACAGATTATCTCCATGGCTTCAAAAATGCCAGCTTGGATCTCAATCCCAAGCACGGCTACAAAACAGCCTGTTACTAACCCCAGATTCTGCAAAAGTTCATCGTTGTGCAACACCGCACGACCACTATCGTCTTCAAGCATAAGGAGGCCATCATCTGGATCCACATATGTTGGCGGCAGTGCCGGCATCACGTCATCGATTCCTTTCTCCACGTCGTTCAAGATGTTGAGCTTCTTCCGCAGATCAGCAAAGACTGTTCCCAGAACCCAGCAAAGTTCTCCTGACGCAATATCCAAGATTTTCTCTTTGCGTACTATAGTCTGGCCGTCCACACGACGCGTCCCATCGCCCCATTTTTCCAAGGCTTGAGCGTCTGTGCGAGGTTTAAGCTGCTGGAGTCTTTGCTGGTAGAGCGCGAAAAACTGACGGCTATAGCTTCGCGTGTTGAGGCGAAATAAATTGTCCTTGTCGCCTGGAACAGTAGGCGATTTCACACGGGGGCCAGGATCATCGCCAAGGTTTGTGTTCATAGTGGCGACTGAATGTGTTGTAGACTGGAGATTGTGAGGTGGAACGCGACGCGAAGTGAGAAGGTGGAAATGCGCGAAAACCACTTGAGAGATGAATTGTGACAATCTGTTTTTTAATGAGGCCAATAGGTGTTCTTTGCTGATGAAGGTGCTTTTTCTTGTTGCTATTGACTTTGTTTGGCTGAGCGACCTATTTGACTTGGCATCTCTCTTGATGTGTTGCCACCTGTAGTTATCCATAATTGCCATTTTAGCTTGTCTGGCCACCTCTTGTCCTGGGTTAATACGTACAAAAGTTTAGTTCGGTAGGGCTTCAGAAACTATTACGTGGTTTAGGTTATTCGTACTCGTGGTCTATATTGTTTGTACATTCGAAATTTGCATGGCTTAATAATTGAGGACATAATAATTGAGCAGAAGGGTTTTAGCCGCATTATATTGGCTTTGTGGCCAATTGATGGTCACATTGGTTCCTTGGTAGATACCAACTTGCTAGCTATATCTTAACTTGTAGTATTCTCATTTGATTTTCTATTTTTCTTTTTGGTAGGCTCTTCCTTTCTCAAGTGTGCTAATCAGTGTTATTGAGGATATAGGTCTCACATCTTTTAGTGATTTTGATGTAGATAAAGCAATATATAACCCCCGTTAAAAACAATGATTGCGTCAACGGTCGTACTTCTAACGACCCAAGATGTTCGAAACCTTAGTTCTATCATATTACATCCGCTTGATCGCACAGCTTAGAACCAATCATCTAATTAACTCTGTCATCCACAAGCATTGGGATACCAGTATAGGTATTCCAACATTCTTCTATAGACGAGCACATCTTATAATGGACCTACACTCCCGCTAATTCAAAATACGCCCGTTGCCAATATGTTGTGGTCCTCTCAAGCCGCTTCGTGTCTGAGCCAAATTTCAGTCGCGCCCCAGATAGAATATCAATACAGATCCATACCACTAACATTAGCCAGGGCACCATCTCTCTTGTTCGTCGCAACTAACTTCTATACTGACTTGCGCTGAGTTCAATTACTGGACTGGCGCTCTCGTTTCATGACGCGGCTCTGTGTGGATCCATCAGCTCTCGCCCTTCAGTTTCCTCGCGCGGCGCCAACGACTCCAGTGCGCGTTCGAGTTTTGGCCCAAGTCCAGCACTACGACGAAGCGTATGCGCGCCTCTTTGTGGTGCGGTGCGCCAATCTTCCGCGCACCGAGCAGATTGATCTCGATGGAGATGGCGAGAACAAAAATCAAAATACGACGGTAGCAGTCGATGTTAGTGAAGTCTTAGCAAATTTGGGCCCGCGGCATGTGCGTGTTGGCGCCGTCGTTAGTATTTGGGGAATGTATGATGGTGAAAGCATTCATGCGGTTGAATGTGAGGGTGTCGAAAGTGCAGACCTTACAGGACAAGCATCTGTTTTGGCTGAAATAGCAGCACTTGGCGACCTTTGATTTTGATGGCCTCGGAAATACAATTTCATCATGTGCCCATTTTTTGTTCGCTTTTGATAGTACTGCGTCGTATGTACGCATCAGAAATGCGTTGGCTGATGTGGTCGCATTTCATTCATGTACTTCAGACTTGAAGGATACGTGAGTGCTATCCAGTGTATTCGGCTTCGAAAGCTAATTGATGGTGATTGCGTCACAATGTTATTCAACCGAATAAGCGTCTATATGCTTCTATCTAACAATAGTCACGTATTTCTTCGAACATCATCCTGCTATTTCCTCCTCTAAGCCCGTCTTAGACAGAGTGAAAAACTGATCCCAGATGGATTCAATGGGAAGCTGAATGAGCTCAAAAACACGGCGACCTTCTCGTGGAAGTTCCAGCTCCAACGACAAGCTCAGACCCATATCCACTGCAGACGGGGTTACATTTTCCACCTCTTTGAAAAAGGAATTCAAATCGGGCGCATTATTCCAAAGTAGACCGTCCATAGTTGGCGATGAGAAACTGGAATGACGAGAGATGGGCGTTTGGGATATAACAGGCACTCCAAAACTTTCATTGACACCTCTGACACGACCTGGGCTAGGTTCTTCTTTCTTAAGGCCTGAATTGCTTGTATCCTGCGTCTCGGGAGCTTCTTGGCGACGCGGATCATTTGAATATGTTTCAGAGGTTGGATTGATTTCTGATTTTTCTTCCATTTTGATTCCAGCTTTTTCTTCCATTTTGATCTCAGCTTTTCTGTCTTCTTTCTGTGTATCCAGATCGTTATTCTTTTCATTCCATTGCTCACTGTTTGCATTTTGAGAACTCTTCGTATTGTTTCCTGGTACCTCTCCCGTTGGCACCTTGCCTTCAGGGGAGGCCGGTCTGTTTCTGATGCTGTGCTCGCTTCCGCTGGGCAGATCCTCAGGCAACAGAGCTTTGCTTTCGTCGCCATAGCAGAGACGAAGCACTGCCGCTGTAAGCACCTGGAACGTGTCGCAGCAACTTTGGCCCGCCGCGCAAGACGGCGCCAACAGGGCAAGGACGGCTGCACATGATTGAGCCGTTCGAGCCACGGCTGCGCGGGTCATAGACTGGCGCACTGTTTCGCACGTATATATGGCGAAAAGATACGACGTTCCCGCATTGAACAAATTGTAAACCGCGGCCCATGTGTAGTTGATGGCCTTTCGTGCATGGAGCTGGGCGTAGCATGTCATGACATTTTGCAGGGCGGCAGATACTGTGTGGTATGCCTCTTCTGAAAGGCGGAAGTTGCGGGGCAGAAGCGCATTTAGCAGAAGAAGCGTGTGGTGGAAGTTGAGGGCAAAGTACTCTGCATTGAACTCACAAGCCGCAGCCGCCTGAGAGGGCGTTTGCGCGCGCCATGAAAAAAGCTCTGTGGTGATGTGGCGGCGCCATTCGTCTAGATTTTCGAAGCGACGAGGAATCTCGCCGTTGTCGTAGAGCACACGCTGAACCTCCGATTGGATGCGGCGCATTCGAAACATTGCGTGTGCCACTTGTCCCGCAGCGTCCTCCACCGACGGATACTGCGTGGAAATGGCCTCCTCTGGAATGCCCACGGGGCGTCCCAAGTAGAAGCAGATTTGCCGGTCAAGCGAATATGTGCACCAGAATAGGCGCCGGCGCCTGTTTAGTACGTCGGCAGGACAAGTTCCCGAGGCGCGGCGGGCGAAATTCGAGGCATCGGGCGGCGCAAACCCTGAAGGAACGTTTTGGCCCGAGGATTCTCCCGTGTGCAAGCCCAAGTCCACGCATAAGCGAAGAGCCGTGCCTAGCACATACCACACACCCGGAACGCAGGGCCGCATGGTGGCATAGACGGCCATGAGAAGAACTGCCTCCAAGTGTTCGAGCGGATCTTGCGCCGGGACTTCAAACTGAAGGGCAGCCGCACGAAACTGCGCTGAAATCGTTGTAGGATACTGCAAGTGGTTGGCAGAGGATGCTATGGCCAACACCATGAAAAGAAAAAAGAGCGGGCGGCGGAACTGCAGCGGCACGTCGATACGTGCTGCTTCTGCTGCAAAAGCGTCTTCGTCTAGACGTTGGCCCACGAACTGTGTGTACTGGAAGAGCCACGTTTCTCGCTCGGGCACGCCGCCCGCACGCTCTCCCGCATCATCGGGCGCTAGAGGCACACGCGGGTCCCACGGCCCATAAATTGGTGCGAACACCGACTGCAAAAAGCGCTCGCGCTCTAAAACGGGCACCTGCGAGTTACTCTGGGCAAAGTAAATGCGGATGAATTCTTGCGCGGTGGGTTTGGGCGGAAGCACCGCAGCAGTGACTGTGCTTGCCTCCTCCACCCGGGGCGGCGGCGGCGGATTGAGCCGAAGCGCCGCTGTCATCAACCGGGCAAAAGATACTCCCAGCGCCGGGCCAAAGTACCGCGGGGTGTCGGCAAATGGCGTTGCGCGCGCAAATGGCGCTGAAGGTGCAGACGCAGTGCGCGATCCTTCTGGCGCGGGCGACGGGTTCATTTTTTTCTGCGCCAACTGCGCCTCTAGTTCCGCCACTCGGCTCTCCAAGTGTTGAACATACGAACGCGGCACCTCGCGTCCCGAAGCAGGGTCGATCCCAATGCATTCGTGGCCTGCCTTGAGGCATCGCAGACACAGCGGAAGCGCCTGGTCGCAGCGAACCTTCTTGGCCCGACATCTCTGACACGCTGCTATGGTGCGCGATGCTGCCGCTCGCTTGTTGTCATGGGACATGGTTCTAGTGGAAGTAGTTGGTGGAGTTGAGATAGTTAGATAAGACGTGCAGGTTTGTCGCGCACACGTATCGCCGAAGCGACTCGATGCTAATGTTCATTGCTGGCATGCCCGGGTATTTATATCTTGTACGTTGGTGTGTTTCCTAAAAGTTTCCTCTTGATGCATTTTACTCCTTACATTTCTCCTTGTAAGTGGAGGAATTGGGATTTTTGTTTGAGCGGGTATATTCTTATCGCTAGTGCTTGCACCAGTAATATCGCGCAAAATCTCGTTAATTCCGCTCGCCATTTCAGGGACATTAGCAATGCTGAGGATTTATTCGATACGCATGTCATGTCGTTGAGCACCAGACAGACACCAAAATGAATGAACTTCTTGAAAGATAAAACATACGAGTCCACATGCCATTATAATTATGTATATACACAATCTCCATCTCTCAAATGTGTGTCACAACTTTCTGTTCTCATGTGAAAAGTAGTTTGGAGCTTTCAAAAGAACTGTCCATTGCACTATTCAGAATATTGAACAGGTTTACCCGAGGGACGGTGAAATTTGTTGGCAAAGGTGTAAAGTTACATGCTTGCAAGTAAAATATTTTGGCTCTGGCCCTTTAATTCTGCATCTACATAGGCATATGTTCCGGTGATACTCTGCCAAATTAACTTTTTAGCCACTAGTTCATCCCGCTTGTTTCGCAGGTTTTCTACGTCTACTTGCTGGTACATGTCTGTTCTTAATAGTACAATTAAACAATCTGGGTAGACCCAACTTTTCGCACAAGCGTCTAATCTACAAATGTTTCACCACTGTTTTCTCCAACTCGTATTTTCCATGCAAGTCAGGAATCATGACCTCATAGCCTGTGGTTTTAGCTGTAACATCGTTTCCGTCGGCTTCAACATGGATAGTGGCCACAAGCGAGTTCTCGAGAACGGGGTACTTCACATATCTCTCATCGACAGCGTGGTTTTGAAGCTGCTTCTCGGCGCTCTCGACAACTGGGCCAGGAAATTTCGCAGTGCCAACCTTGTCATGGTAAAGAGGCGATTGTTTCACCAAAACAAGGTCACTCCAATTCCGCTTATTCAAAAACTGGACGTTGTCACGTGGAGTACCGTCAGGATTGACAGAAAAAATAGGAACAACATCTTCGTCCGTGTAGCGATCGTAGTGGTGAATCTTAGATCTCTTGTTGAGCAATGTAGCCATGGCATCTGGAGGTGGAGCATTGATGATTGCTGATGATGTCACATTAAAGATCAATCTTGGATCGTGTTCAGGGTTCTCTGTAACATCGCGATTATGTTTCTCGACATCTGCACTAGCAACCAAATGTGCATGAGGATGATGGTGAATTTTTGTCTTCAACCGTCCAAAACAACACAAATGCACATCGCCAGACAAAATAGTGACCCGAACTCCGTTCTTGGCACCAAACTGAGTCAATTTGCGCACCAATAAGTTACGTTCTCTCTTATGGTTCTTAGAGCACCAGTGATCATTCAAATCATCCAAGACTTCGACTCCACCGTCAAACTCATTGACTAGTCCTTTGCTGATGATTCCCTTGATTGCCAACAGCCGCAATGGCTTGAGCGCAGGCAGATTCAAAACCTTTTCAAGCCACACAAGCCGTGGGTACAAAATTGGCACGCCCAACATCACCAAAAGATGTTTCGTTTCTGGAGCTTCCGCAATTTCCTTTTCTAAACGATTGAAAACAACATTGTATGTAGATTCTGGTACAACCTGACCAAGACTACGCTCAGTGCGACAGTCCATGCCAAGTAAACTGATTTCACGCCCCAAACGCATATACACAGAGTGGGACTTCTGTTTAATGAAGGAGCCTTCGCGCTTCAGAAGAATCCACAGTGGATCCTCCGTGTGCAGAGGTTCGTCGGGGGACATCTGGTGCTGGAAGAGCATGTAGTACTTGTAGGCAATGTTTCCAATGGCCACGAACACATCTTGGCCCATTGTTTTGTCCTTGTATGATCCAAAACCGTCGATGATGTCATGGTCATCAAAGATATTAACACTGGGGATTTGAGCTAAAGCATATGGGAACATAGTCTGCAAAGTTCCGCCATTTTTACCGCGCCAGAAGCCATGACCAAACCATTGAGTATATGCGGTAAGATAGTACTTTTCAAATTCCGCCTCCATCTCTGGAGTAACGCTCACATTGCGTTTTTCATGGGAGCTCTTCATCTCGAGCCATGGCTGAAGCAGCTTCACGTGCATCTTAATCAGATCACAGTATATCTGGTCGCCGCCACCTAACATAACGTGGTACTTCTGCTGGGCATGTTTGCGCAAGACATCGAGCCAAAGGGACAGCTTGTACTCTGACGTGTCGGTGCCTAACGAGAAACCATTGCAGGAATACGAAACCACGTTCATCGAATCGGTGGCCGCAGGAAGGAAAAACTGGAAATACGGCCTGGCCTCGCCATTGACTTCATAACGTACACGTTGAGCTTCCTCGGTCAACTCAAGGTGAACATCATACCTCACAAATTTCAATTGTGCAATCTCGTGATAGACGGTACTAGGAAACTCGCCAGAGGCAATTCTAGGATCTGAGCCTCTGTTTTCAGCAGGTCCAACGTTGAATGACACATGGGGGATATCTCCTTCCACAAGAAGCATTATGCTGGCGCGGTACAAGTTGGAACCTTGTTCAAGAACACCACAAAGGCGAAGTATAGGACCACAATGTACTTGCAGCTGGCCAAACGATTGAGGGCCGGGGCACATTTCAGGTACCTCGGCATGGCTTTCTCTTTCATTGAGCGCCTGAAATTCGTCGATGGGAATCGGCGCAAACCACGAAGAAGACATGGACTATAAAGATGGAGCAATGTAAACGCCAGTAGTAGGCTGGATAAAGTCAGCGGGCCCTGCATGGAATGAGATTGCTCAAAGTGGCAGGAGGGACGGGTGTATGGTATTGTTCCTTGCAGTTCAATGCGGCTGTGTGCATAGTTAGTCATGCGTAAGAGGGTAATAAACTGAGTAAAGTGGTAAAGTGGAAGAGGAAAGAAGCACACAGAGGAATGTTTTCCCTACAAAGCACCGGTATAAAGCATCATAAGCATCATTGGTGAAGTTTGTCTTCTTCCAAAAGTATGAGATCTTCTTACAGGCTTATAGTTGCTCAGCACGATGCTTCGTATGTCCTAATTTCATGTTGCAGTTTCTGCAGGAGGGTATGCTGAGTTGCGTGGAGTAATGGCAGTGACATTAGGAGCGAGGATCTTTGCAGACAGATAGGAAAGAAAAAGTAATGGAGCTTCTGTCAGGAACTCATCAGGGTCCATGGAATGCAGTCTAAAGAACAAGACACTCAGCTTGAAACACTGTTTTTCTAGTATTGTGGCATCGTGCCGCGACCGTAGAAGCAATATTGCGTTCACAACGTGTCGCATATGTTCATCAACACAGGTCCAATAGTGGCATCCCATTGAGCCACTGTGATGATTTCTTACGCACTTCGAGGAAAACTTCACAGACCTACTAGGTTCAAGGCTATCAAAGCGAAACCTCGGCACAGGTGCACGGATGTCTCGGGAAAGTGGAGAGATGTGCTAGTGTCTTCTGTCGGTTATAACAGGCTGCGCGGAATCACCGTGGGTCTAGCTGCAGGAGTGCCCAGACTTTTCCCTGCTTCTTTCCAAATGGGGTGAGCACCTAGGTTCCCTCATGTGGAAGATATTGTTTTTCGGTTGCGCCCTTTTGCTTCGCCCGGTTTTTAGTATTCTGCTGCTGTAGTCTTGGCGCATCACTACGCTTATCAGGCTTGGCGGCGTATCGAAACGTTATCGCGTGGCACTCAACATCGCATAGTTAAGTGGCTTCTTTTCCTCCACATCCTGCCAAATCCAACAAAAGCTAATATTACACAGTCCAAACATTAGGACTAGACCACGGGGCAAACCAATAGATCCCCGCCAATCAAGCTGAAACACAAACTCCAGCCTAGCCTATCCGAAACACATCCTACTCTTCTCTTTAAAGTCCAGTATTCGGTCATTTTGCTTAAAGTGCAGACATCGTTAGTTACGAACTTGGTCCCGAAGCAAGATCGACTCACATATCCAACCTGGCCTACTGGCAACTTTCGCTACAGAGCCACACCTTGGATTTCTTAAATGGCTGTGTCGCCCCAATACTCGCGGCGAGTCTCCTTCAACAATCTCTCTCCAGAAGAGCCTGTCAGCACCAATCTCCAACACCCATATGGTCTGCATTTGGTCCAGGCGGCCGAAGCTGCCGTGGACTTTCTGAAGGTTTTTGGCAACTACACCTTTTCCCGTAAACGAGTGCGGCTTCCGGATCCGCCCGCGCACTCGATATTGCGCAATCGGCTTTCGCCGGCGCAACTTTCGTCCAACATAGAACATGCGCTTCTGGAGGGAACAAGTTTCCACGGCGACTTGAACGATCTTGCAGCAAACCCACCCAAGAATGTGCCGCGACTGGAATTGGCACGTGTGGTTGATGCTGTCGAGAACGGGAATGCGACCAGTGCAGACAATTTAGACGGGAATGCCATCGACCCAAACGATGATGCAAGCTACGACACAAATGACAATGCGACTGGCGTGGACAATTCTCAGGCTGACACGAGCGCTGTCGGACAGAACGGTGAAAGTATGGCCAACGGTGACTCTGCAAGCGGGAGCTCTGCCAGCACCAATGCCTCTCGCCGTAAGCTGTATTCGGGCATGACCAACGAGGAGCTCATGGCGCTTGATCCGCAATATGCGCCTGCCCGTCACAGCGATTTGGGCAGTTTCAAGTTTGACTCGCCAACCACCGCGCCGCCGCCTTCGCGCCGCATGTCCGCGCCCGCCATTTCCATTCCGCGCGCCAAACAGGTCATTTACCCTTCGCTGAATGAAAACAATTATCGGGCGGTTTCTCTCACTTCTAAGCACGCCGAGTACGACCGCGTGCTGGAGCCTCGCACGTTGTTGACCTTCTTGTCTGGCCGCAAGCACACGTGGAACTCGTTGGACTGGCTCCTTCTATCTGGCCACCAAGTTAGTCAAGTGCAACCGTTTCTTGTCGATGGCGATCATTTGGTGGTGGCCGCACTAGTCCCGCTCAAGTTTGTTCAGGCATCGGACTCTCGCCGCGCACATTCGCCTGAACAACATCTCTGCGCGCGCTGCGATCATTTGCTCGACTACATCGTGGCTAGCCTCCCATCGGGGCTCAGGGTCAAAGTTACTGTCGAGTTGGTTTTGGATGAAGCGCCTGAGCCAATGGTGAAAAAGCCCCTTGTGGGCACCAAGTACATGTTGTATCATGTTTTCCGTCAGTATCAGCCGACACTAGTGGTGGTGGGAAACAAGTCGACCAATCTTAATTTCCGGTATCCACTCCGACGCTCACGGCCACTGCAGTCGCAACAGCAGGCGCAATCCAACTCGAAACTGACATCTGTGCCGGCCTTGGTGCCATCTCTGCAGCCACATGAGCGTGAACCCGAACGGTATCTTTGCAAGCTCTCGTCATTTCTCATCCGTCACTCGCCAGTGCCAGTTATTTTAGTGGGAAATCGCACAGTATTTCATCGCCGCTTACTGCATAGCCCCCAGATCCAGGTGACCTTTTGCGATGATGGTACACAACCGTCCAAAAGCATATTGGATGTGCCTACAAACGGGTCGCGTAAAAACTCGGCAGTTTCTGATGCTTCTATTGAGTCCTTTTGTGGACAAGATGATGTGAGCAGTGGCTCAGCTGAGACCGCAGATTCTCTTGCACGAACCGTTGCTGCTTTAAGTACGTCTCTGGATCCCTCGCGGTTCCAAGATATGGTTGCAGCTATTTCTCTGGCGCTGGCCTCTGAACTGAGACATTATCTTGAATTGGTGCGAGAACGTGGCGTGGATGCTCTTCCACGTATTGTGATTGAAAGCAAAGCGCATCAGGCATTTATGGAAGGTGCGACAAAAGAAAGATCGAGAAATAGGGGATCCGTATACAAGGTTAAAAGCTTGATCTCATACAATGAGGAGGATGAAAAGAAAAACGTCAAGATGATCAAAAAAAAGGCGCAGGCGCAAACGCAAACGCCGCTGCAACAAAAGAAGCGGCGTTCTTTCTTACAAAAGCTCCACTTGAAGAAGTAGCGAGTACGAATTGATGATTAGTTATGATTTGTAGACTTTCATGAGTTACGGTTCAATGTCCAATTCTGTAGGTCGCTGCGCTCACTTATCACCAAAACTATATGAATAACCATTAGCGCAGAAATATTATAAAACATTGATAACGGCAGTCAATAAGATTGAACCGTAAGTGTGGTAGTTTTGGGGTGATCAATCTCGTATCATGGGTATTCTGTTCATTTCAAAGTGACCTTTATAATACATATCCTCCCTGTACTTATTTGTTGAACAGTAAATTTGGATTATAACGAAACGAGGTGCCATGTGTTTTAAAATGTATTTCTGTTGAAATACCCTACTTGGATCTGTCTATCAACCAAAACTGAATCAAGTTGAGCAGTGTGCATTTTTAGTCGCATTATAAGAACGGAAGCAATATTTCGCATAAATTGCAAATTAGCCGGGCAAGATACTATTTCAGAAATAACAAAATGGTCTCGTATGGGTTGAATTAAAAAATATCCATGCCAATCAGGCAATACATGACTCATGACTAGAAGAACTGAATCGAAGAGAAAGTGGTGAGATGGTTCGAAGATCTCCGAAATTGATCCAATACTATTTATCCGTGCTGGGAAGTTGCATTTTCGTGGGAGAATATTCCCAACAATAGCGTTGTTAACATAAGGATTGCAACAAAACATTTCATGAAGTTTCATCTCTTTTCTTCCTACTTTTGATCCCGTAGTCTCTTTTGTAGTGGACATCAATAATGGAGCTGCACACAGTCATAACTTTCATCTCCACACGAAGGAAGACAACTTCTAACCACACGCTTCCATCGTATCCACATCAAAAGGCCATTGGGCGTTGAAAAGACTACGTTCGTTCCATTCCCTAAAATCCAAAACAGAGCTTTTACGGTTACATACTGTACTCTGTATTCATACGATCGATCACTGCTTGATCCGAGACGTGATTGACATTCTGCGAAGAGTATTCGCTAGCTCATCAAGCCTGTGCTTTACTACTTTGTTTCAATTTTGACGTGTTCATTTAAATTCTTCTCTTCATCCGCCATCGGATTCCTGCTCCCTCATTTCAGAGTGTACTATTACTATCGTGGCTTCTGAACTTGGTGTGTCCAGCCCTCCTGCCACCAGTTCTTTCTTACAATTGTTGACTATAATCCATGCCACAAGACCGTCTTTCGGCGCTGCAACGAAAACAACGCGCCGCTAATGTGGTGGTTCACCTGCGCCTCAAGCCCACGGCCCTTGCGCCCGCCCCGCCCGAAGCGCGCCCGCACGCTTCGCACCAGTTTTCTGATTCGGGCCACACATTCGCACTCTAGACGACCTTCCGCTAAACCGCCGTGGGTACAAGTACAAACCATGCCGGCGACACGGCAACTTGGGGGCAAATTTGTATCTGACAGCAGAATTGGAGCCATATGGTGTTCGTGCCAGCTACTTTGACCGTGCCGCTGGTGTGGCGTTGAGCGAAGATTTGCAGTCAGTGACCAACCCGAGCGGATGGTTGTCGGCGCGGGCCAATGTGGGCATGCGAGAGGGTTGCCATTACTTCGAATATGACATTGTGCGCGGTAACGAAGGGCGCGCACATGTGCGAGTGGGCATTGCGCGGCGCGAAGCCGCCTTGGAGGCTCCGGTTGGTTTTGACGGCTACGGCTATGGCATGCGCGACGTGGGCGGCGAGAAGATCACCTTGAGCCGCCCGCGCGCCTACATGCCACCTGAAGAGGGCGGATTCAAAACAGGCGACACGTTGGGCATTTTGGTCGAGCTTCCACAACAAAGCACAGTCCAGGCGCTCGAGAGCTCACAAAACAATTCTCCAAACCCATCGCATGTTTCTTCCAAGAAGGGCTCTAAGGAGAATTCAGCAACGCCAGACAAGACAAACGAGTACCTCGGCGCAGTGCGTGACCAGCTCCCCATCAAATACAAGAACGGGCTTTATTTTGAGCAGTTTGAGTATACCCCAACGAAACAGATGGCGCATCTTCTCAACCCCGTAACGGTGTTTGGAGAAAAAGCAGTGCTTCATACCTCAGACACTGCACACATTCCAACTTTACCTGGGTCCCGCATTGTGGTGTTCAAAAATGGGGTATGTATGGGTCCCATGTTTGAAAATCTCTTTCTGTTCTCACCTCTGGGGGCTGCGCAACTGCTGAATCCATCTTATAACCATACCGACGATGGCTCTTTAGGCTATTACCCAATGATGTCTGTGTTTCTGGGGGGTATTGTTCGGCTCAATGCTGGCCCGGACTTCAAGTACCCTGTTCCAGAGGGTGCTCGTCCACTATGCGAACGCTATGATGAAAAAATTGTTGAGGAATGGATGTGGGATTTGGTCGATGAGGTAGAGGCACTGTACCTCGATAGCTTCGAATAGATGCATATGGTCCTTGTGTTAACTACCTCATACAAGTCGCCACATATGTGGAATCACCACTCTCAGTGTAATTTTGCGTTATCGAATGATGAAACGGAGGCGTCCGATAGGGTTTTTTTTTTTTTTCATAAATTATCAAAACAACAGGCCATCTCGATTCTTACAGCAACTTCTTAATATTCTTGTCTTAAAATTAAAGTATAAAGACAAGTATGCTACTCAAAGATTGTAGATCGTTAACTTGTGATCAAATCTTGCACTATGCGATTGCCGTCATCCTATAATCCATGCTCTGAAGTCAACCACTGTTGCCATAGAGTTCTGGGGGAAATCAGTTAGTCCTGAAAAGTTAACTGAGTGCCCATATCGCCGTTTTATGGCATGGGGCGAAATGAACCACCTATTTAGCACAATGAACAACTTCCATATTTCGGTTCTCACCGATTTCAACTTTATTTACATGCATCAAACTCATCCCTCTCCCACAGATTGCGTCTCCTCAAGCAGTTTCCCACAAGCTGGGCATCCATGGCCACCTCTTTGGTACAGTGCCATACATCTGTCGTGGAAACTAGTCGGACAATCGCCCGTAATACATTTCTGCCCCAATGTTACTAGCCCGCGGCACACGTTGCACACAAGAAGCTTTCCTTGTGGATCTGCGGTAGAGAAGATGCCAAAGCGATCCTCTAAGTACGCCCGAAGTTCTGCCAAGGCTGCCGGTGCTAGCACCACGCGATTATGAGAAGTAAACGAGACCCACCCATCATCAACGAGCTGTTTAAGCAAATACGTAGCATCGGATGCGGGCCGTTTCAATGTGGATGCGATTTGCTGGCGAGCATTGACCATGGGGCACGCGTAAATGTAACCTGGCGCAGAGACAATAGTGTCGATCAACTCTTTGATGGCGTCCAACTCCGGAGGAGAATACGGCGTACAACTCTGAATCACATCATCAAGACGAGTGTTGACAAACACGTAGAGCGCAGCACCCAGATCCTGATCCCAAGTGCTATCGATTTTGAAACCATAACGTTCTAGGCGAACATTAATTGTAGCTAGGAAATCCCGAAGCGACTCTTGGAGAGAATATTGTTCTGCGACAAGAGAAAACTGCGCAGTGAGCCGGTCCGCAGACACAACTTTGACCGCACGAATATACGTGAGAAGCGCTCTGTGCGCTTCCGTATACATGAGATGGACAAAGAAGACGCGAAGTTCTGAGAGCGCGAAAGTACAAAATATGGTGTACTCAATACATCAACATCACGAACATCAAACCTTCAAATTTATTTTCAAAGGCAAGATAGCTTGGTACAATTCACCAGGAATCCCTTTCGTGAATTCGCTACGTGTGTATTTGTCCTTACGTTTTAAACTGTAGATTTGTGAGTTCTGGGTTCTCAAGTCTGATTCGCATTCAACATTCTTCCTCACGATTGTTAAGGCTGAATTAAAAGAGAAGTAAGCAGCTAATCCTCATCAATTTTAACGAGTTGGTTCGAACGTGGTCATTGGTTAGAATAATTTTGGCGCACAACTATCTCACTACTTATAAAAAGAGTTCCAACAGGTAAGGCTGAAAAATTTTAGGAAGGAGAAAAAAATCTCTCAGTTTCGGTACATACTCCTAAACATTTGTAATCTTTAGGCCTTGGGGAACAATCAAAGAAATGCAGCGCCCAATGATAAGTCCTCAATGGGTTAACTGGCAATATAGCACTTTGTTACGCCATTCGTATGTGAATATACTTTGGGATTGCACAATCTTGCAGAAAAATAAACAGTATCGTTTGTTTGGAGAACTACACAACAGCTTCATAGTCTCTTGAAGTATATAGTTTTTGCCTCTCGCATGTGCCTATCTATTTTTAGTTTTTCCTGTTGTCCGCACGTTCTCTGGTCTTTCGATGACGGGTCAAATTAAGGGGCGAATTTTCACTAGAAAGCTTCATTTCTTGCATACCTTCTAGCCACCATACGGAATTTTCTTTCCCCAAACGCCGCAAGAACACCTTATGTTGCAGACATGCATTACAGGACAATAGAGGTGCATTAAGATGAAAATGTAACGACGCGGTTGTGAGGTGGATGCAACATACAAAAAAAGAACGATGCAAGCAAGATGCAAGCAGGCGTATCTGCATGGGAAGAAAGCATCGGTTCCAGATTTGGGCTTCTGTCTTCTGACGTTAAAGCTAAATATAATGTTGTTTCCAATGAAATGCTACACCAATTGAAAGCTGTTTGAAGCGGAACTGCGAAGTGGTAGTTATTAGCCAGACGTACATGGAGATTATGCAATGCGCACTGAATCGAGGTATCCAGGCACATCTGCATTCTCCACCATATACTTTTGCATTTTCAGGAACATCTGCACTTTCAAGCACGTCTGTACGTGCATGTCCCGATTCTACACTACCACATTTGCATTTGTAATGCATGCATGTCAGATGTACAGGCTACTTATGCAAGCCAATCGAGATTTCTTATTCCAACAGGAGAAAACATGGAATAACCCACATAAAAAGGTGATAGAAACAACAAATTAAATGCGAACATCCTAAGTTCGATAGTACTTTCCGCGATGAGCTGAAAAAGATGCCACATCCTCAAGCTTTAACAATATTGATGATCACCATGTTTTTTAGCACAAAATGCGTAGAGTTTATACCTTAACGTCCTTTCCGAACTTAGTTTTCTGACTCTGGATTTCCTTATGCATGAGCCCCATCATAGCAATAGAGCTTAAATGCTTCTTGAAGGTGTCTCTATTATCCATTCAGCTTGAGACAGCATCACTGGAATAATCAGACTGATAGTCGCTGAAAATATGAAAATTGGAGAAACTTTCTATTTGTAATGTCGATATTCTCGTAATTGGTTGGCCAAAGCACAAAGCGCTTGATACGTTAAAAGGTGGAGCCGTATCTCAGAATTTCTTAAATAGAAAGAATAAACGGCATGCAGTGCGGCGCCGAGGAGAGGTTTCTTGTTTTAACTTCTACATTCGTGCACAAACGCGACTAAAATTCATAGCGTAAAGCACATTTGGGACCAGACATCTTAAACAAGACAAAAGAAGACAAGCCGGAAAGCAAAAAAACAAAACAAAAAGAAATAAGCAAACCTGAATACATTTCTAGACCTAGACTCTCAACTCACAATTCAGTTTCCAGTTAGCTGGGAAGAATAATGCATTTTCTTTATCCTCTTCTTCTTGCGGCTCTAACTCTTGCAGCTTGCGATAATTGTACAACCAATAAGGCACTCCCGACCCAGCTTTACGAGTCTTTCACATCTGAGTCAAATAATTTCAATGCCAGCCACCACGTGGCTTTTTCAGTAGGAGGCGCTAGTTTGGGCATTTTCCGCCGGGGAAACAATCCCATGATCCAGTCGCTAGGATACCTTTGGCATGGAAAAGTAGAGGCTGAGATTATGGGTGCTCTGGGTACTGGGATCATCTCTTCTTTCTACTTACAGAGCGACGATTTGGACGAGATTGATATCGTGGAGACTTTTGGTGGAAACGTGTTTACGTGCCAGACAAATTTTTTTGTGAAGGGAAACATATCAAACTATGCTCGCGGCGAGTATCATATGCCGCCACTGCTGCCACTTACAGAATTTCACAAGTATAGCGTGGAGTGGACGCCAGAGTATATGGCATGGGCCATTGACGATGTAGAAGTGCGGCGAACTGAGCGGGGAAACCCACACGGGTTCCCACAGTCGCCCATGCGCGTGATTGCAAGCTTGTGGGCAGGTGGTGACCCTGAAAACCACCGAGGTACTATTGACTGGGCCGGAGGTATTACAAATTATGATCTGGTGCCATACATTATGCGTATTCGCAATGTGCGCATTGAAAATTACTCTGGCGGGGCAGACGAGTATGAATTGGGGCGGAACGGCACTGTTGTGCGGCGGACGCACCCAAACAATCCCTCGACCGCCGAAGGCGGCGCGCACAATGCTGGCGAACAGGACAGCCATAAAGAGGGCGCGCGGAGCGGCCGAAAATCAGAACAGGGCGACAGCCGCCAATCGCTAGAAACTACGTCCCGTCAGCTAGTGCCAACAACCTCTTCATCATATACTCTGCGAGGTTTTTTCCAGGTGCGTTCGAGGAGTGCCAGCGGCCAGCTCTTCATACATTGGGCAGCGGCTTTTCTTGGGGCCCTACAGTGGTGGATGTAGTGTCTTTTCTAGCACAGTAATCATAGTAGTCAACGCAAAGGTGCGAGTTAGTGTAGCGGTAGTGCTATTGGGGAAGATTAGTGGAAGCCATAATATCTTTTGGATCAAGTATAACATTCAGTTCGCATAGTCCTATTATTTCTTGTTCTCCTTCACTTTCCTAGACGTATTCAGTGCACAGTAATGAACAAATCTTGATCTTTAGTATCTAGTGATGTTTCGATCGAGTGTACAAGAGTCTATTGGTGTAGTAATTCCGAATGTTAAAAAATATTCGTTGATTGCAAAATCCATCACATTATATCGTACGCGCCCATCAAACATATCATACACCGTTACCACCGCTTGTTTTAACCTTGACAGTGGATAATATAAAGTCTTTGAGCGATATCATTAGCATACAACGCTCTTTAGTGCATTTACCTTTAGAGTCTCGGAAGAAATGCATCCCCGTTCATGAATATGAACCACTTTTAACGAACTACAATCACAAGAAAAGTCCGGCTCCGATACGCCAACTACCACTTCTTCACTTTCTTTCCTTACTCCATTCAAACAACACGAATCACATCTCGTCTCAAAATCAATGGGAACAAGTGATCCATGTGCCTAGCAAGAACCAAAGCCATTATGCACAACTGTATGCGTGATCGCAGTGCATCATTCGATGCTCACATGATCCATCTTGTCTGCTACCAAAGGAAATGATACTGAAAAAGAGAGAGGAGAGAGTCGGAAAATAACACAACACCCACCGACTCAACCAATATCCGTCTTGATACAGAAAAAGCGCAACGAAAATAAAGAACTGTCGAAACTTTGCACCCGGCCGCCGAAAGTCCGAGGGATCAGATGACGATCGTCCTGCACACACTTTAATGCTTCTTAAAGGAACCCTCCGGCGTCTCCAGCTATCATAAAACCACATCTACTACCATCCAAACACCACTTACAAACCAAAAAAATTTCAACAATGGCGATCGAAGGCGTCAGCTTTATTTCGCTCGTCACCGCAGACCCCACCAAATTCAAGGAGGCCTGCGAGTTTTACCGCCGCTTGGGTTTCCGGTTGGCCAAAAACTACTCCAAGCTTTCGAGTAGCGGTGCTGCCGTTGCCCATCATCCAAAGTTGCTGCTGGGACTTTGCACAGACTCGATTCGTGAAGTCTGGTTAGAGAGCTTCCCCTTGCAAAATACTGATGAAAACGGCTGCGTTGTTCCATGGCAAGAATTACGCTTTTACAATGGCGACCACACCGCGCCATTGGCACCTAGTACGTGTCTCAAGATCCTCTTATCGCCACTGGAGGTCATCGAGCCTGTTTTCGCGGGGCTTGAGTTTTTCAGTCCGGAATTGGGCAAGGTGGCTGAGATCTTAGGTTCGAAAGAAGTTTCGCAAGAGGACGAAAAGAACCCCAAGGCAAAGCGTGTTTTGGCCACAGACCCGCTTGGAAACCACGTAAGCTTCAGCAACACTTCTGAAGGCCGTGTTTTCAACAGCACCAAAGAATACATTGATTACCGCACACAGCTTCTTGTCAAGGAGGAAGAGGCGCAAGAACCTGCCCCTGCGGCACCCACAGCTGCTAAGAAGAAGAAGATCGCAGTCATGACTTCCGGAGGAGACTCGCCTGGTATGAATGCCGCAGTTCGTGCTGTGGTTCGGGCCGGTATTTACTTGGGCTGCGACATGTTTGCCGTGTACGAAGGTTACGAGGGTTTGGTACGCGGAGGTGACTTGTTGCGCCGCATGGAATGGGACGATGTGCGTGGTTTCCTTTCCTTTGGTGGTACGAACATCGGAACGGCGCGCTGTATGGCTTTCAAGGAAAGAAAGGGCCGCTTGGCTGCGTGCAAGAACATGGTGGACGCTGGCGTGGATGCGCTTGTGGTTTGCGGTGGAGATGGTTCTTTGACCGGTGCCGACTTATTCCGTTCCGAGTGGCCTTCTCTTATTGACGAGTTGGCTCAAAATGGAGACATTACCGAGGAAAAGGCCGAGTACCATCGCCACTTGACCATTGTGGGTCTCGTGGGCTCCATTGATAACGATATGGCAAGCACAGACGCTACTATTGGTGCCTACTCGTCCTTGGAACGTATTTCTGAGATGGTTGACTACATTGACGAGACTGCGCTGTCTCACTCTAGAGCGTTCGTCGTCGAAGTTATGGGCCGTCATTGTGGCTGGTTGGGTTTGATGGCTGGTTTGTCCACCGGTGCCGACTACATTTTCATCCCAGAGAAACCTCCTCGTCATGGCGAATGGCAAGAGGAACTTAAGAAGGTGTGTCTGCGTCATCGTGGTTACGGTAAACGTAACACCACAGTGATTGTGGCTGAGGGTGCCATAGACGATCAGTTGCAGCCAATCACTTCCGAGCATGTGAAGAATGTGCTTGTGGACATGAAACTTGACACCCGTATCACTACATTGGGTCACGTTCAAAGAGGAGGTACAGCGGTGGCATATGACCGTTTGTTGGCAACCTTGCAAGGTGTCGAGGCAGTTCATGCTGTTTTGGAGAGTACTCCAGAAACGCCATCACCAATGATTGGTATTCTCGAAAACAAAATTGTGCGCCAGCCTTTGGTCGAATCTGTTCGTCTTACAAAGCTGGTAGCAGAAGCCATCGAAAACAAAGACTTTGAAAAGGCCATGAGTCTCCGTGACTCGAGTTTTGCCAACGCCTACGAAACTTACTTGTCGACAGCAATCCATGACGATGGAACACAGCTCTTGCCGGAGAACGAGCGCTTGAATATTGGTATTGTGCATGTCGGTGCCTCGTCGTCTGCGCTTAATGCCACCACACGTGCAGCAGCATTGTACTGTTTGTCCAAGGGCCACAAATTGTTCGCCATCCAGGACGGTTTCTCTGGCTTAGCTCACAGTGGAGTTGTTAAGGAATTGAGCTGGATGGATGTGGATGGCTGGCACAACCGCGGTGGTTCCGAAATTGGTACTAACCGTTCGTTACCTAGCGAAAGTTTTGGCAATGTTGCTTACTATATGCAGCGGTACCAGTTTAATGGTTTGTTGATCTTGGGTGGCTTTGAGGCTTTCACAGCTTTGCATGAGTTGGAGTCCCACAAGCATGAGTACCCAATTTTCAACATCCCTAAGGTGGTGATCCCGGCCACTGTGTCTAACAATGTTCCTGGAACGGAGTACTCCTTGGGTTCGGATACATGCTTGAACCAATTGGTCAACTACTGTGACGCCATTAAGCAATCCGCCTCATCCACGAGAAGACGTGTCTTTGTTGTCGAGGTGCAGGGAGGTAACTCAGGTTATGTGGCATGTTACGCTGGTTTGGTCACCGGTGCTATGGCTGTTTACCGTCCTGAACAAAACATCAACTTGAAGAGCATCCGCGAAGACATTGATTTGTTGACAGCTGTTTTCAAGAACGATCGTGGTGAGGACAAAAACGGTAAGATCGTCATTCGTAACGAACATGCATCTTCTGTATACTCTACCGAGTTGTTGGCAGACATTTTCCGTGATGACTCTCATGGTCGTTTCGAAACTAGAACTGCTATCCCTGGTCATGTGCAACAAGGTTTCACTCCTAGCTCTATGGACCGGCTGTACGCTGTGCGTTTTGCTGTGGAATCAGTCAAATACATTGAAGAGTGGAGTCGAAAGGCATTCAACACTATCCATCGCGACCACACAAGTCACCATTCCGTCAACAACATCAAGATGATTGAATTGATGAGAAAGGAGGAGAAGGCATCGGTGGTAATTGGTATTCAAGGAGCACTGTTAAAGTTTTCCGACGTAAACGACTTATACGAGAAAGATGCAGACGTTTCTTTGAGAAAGGGTCGTACGGTGCATTGGTCAAGACTTGCAGAGGTAGGTGACATTTTAAGTGGCCGTTTGATGTTGCGTGAGGGTAAGGCGTGAGACAATTTCATAGTAATCTTAGATGCTTGTTTCAAGATTATGTACGACGGCGCATGTCTGTGATTTTTTTGAGTACACTCCTGTTGTTGATAATGCCGGTAAATATTTTTCTGCAGCAGTTACGCTGCAAGTCCGGTAATGTCATCAAAAGTTTTCTCGGTCCGCATGATCTGTTTTGTCCGAGTAATTCTACTCAGCCTCCTGACTACCGTCTGTGGTATGTTTATTTACATTTTTGTTTCCTTTTTCCCTTTCTTTGGAAACTTCCCAATTAGTTTTCGGGAAGAGTGTTCAACTTATCACTAAAAGCGAAAATGCATGCCACTTACAGCGAATAGAATAAACACGTTTGTGATTAAATGTACTAAATTCGATACACATGCTGGTCAATCTAACGCAAGGGACCAGCATTATGCGACGCAGACTAGATACGCGCGTTTTCTTTCTTTTTGAGCCATTTTTAATCCTTGTTTCCTGCGATACGCTCTTCATGTTAGATTTTCCTCCATTTGCTCTCGCATGTCAATCAATCCTGTAGATGCAACTGACATGCCACATTCTATTTAGGCACTTGTGCATAGCAAAAATTAATGGGGAAATGATGGGACATCGGTCCCGCAAAAGATTCCTAAAAAGAAATAAACCCAAGGTAGCAAAGCAGCCTTCTACAAAAGTGGCGGAAAAGAGAAGCCGAAATCGGCAAAGGAAGAAACGCAAGAGACGGAAACTTGAAGCGAAAGGCAAGTGCGACGCCCAAGATTCTTTCCCCACTGCAGTAGTTTCGCGATTGAAAACGCACATCAGCGTCTACACCTGCACATGCAAGACGTTCAACTTAGATCAAGCATCCTCGTAACAAAAGGGCAATATATGTACGGGTGTCCAGTATCACACGCACGCGCAGTGACGCAGACGCAACATCTTACCTTGAAAACGGTGCCCAAGTGTCAACGGTCTCGTAAATTGTGACAATCTCCGACGGAGCTTCCGGTAACGGAGCGGGAACAAAATACTCGAGAGAAGAGCACCAACATGAAAAAAGACATTTACTCAATAAGTGTCCTCCGTGCTCATGCTGCATCCCTTCCATATGTTTCATGACGCTTTACCTTGCTGGGACCAAGAGGTACACCCGGAGTTCCCGCTCTTTTGACTTCGAAGCAAGACATAACCAATTGCGGTCGCAGTCATAAGTTCGGAAGCATCCGGCTAATGGATTCACAATCTATTGGGGCTACTGCAGCCGGGTAGCGAATAATGATGCGGATGCTAGGTTGCTCCCATCTTAACATTGGTGCGAAGAAGAAGAAAGCAAAGTCAACTTGTTGACAATGCGGAGCTGCGTATTACGAACGGCTCTTAGCGAAATCGAAAAAGCGGTTTCAACGGATGGCAAGATTACATGCAATACCTCCACGAGACTACAGAAGAAATGCGCTTTTCAATAGGAATTCCAGCATTTCTTTTTCTCCACCCCGTCCTTATGCTTTGAATTCTTTTTTTCTGCTCCACTGTTTACTGTGTTTTGTTGGTTTTTTTTTTTTTTTTTGTCGTCTTTCATTTGTGTCGACGTTCCCAACCATAATCATGCAGGCGCTGTACCATAAGAAACATTTTCTTGGAAAGCAGTGAGACATTTCCGAGCTCAGGTGTTAGGTGAAGATAAGAAGATTGTAAGTTGCCAAGCACTTCGAGAGTGCGAAACGCTGAAAAATTGACGACGTAAAACGGCCTTGGCACGGCCACACTAAAATGAGAAAGAGCAGCCGTACTTCGGTCCGAAAAAACCATCTCATAAGCACACTGAAAAACGCTTTGACACATGAGAAGGTCAATTACATTTTTGGGTAAGAATATGGGTAGTCGCATAAACAGGAGCGTGGCATGGCGCACCCCTATGCACCTCCACATAGGTGCATGTATCTTGCATTAAAGCCATACATATCACATTTGGTGTAACCCATTTCAAGCACAGTACGTCATTGCGCGACTGAAAAACGCACTGCCATCTAGTTTATTTTTCCCCTGCTGCGAAAGACATGGTGTCCATATTGCACTTAGCTAATGAGATGAAAGAAACCCCACACTAAGTTACGTTAAGTCAGCAACCATCCCAGTGCTCCTCTTCAGGTTGCATTGCTTTGAGAAACATTTAACACGCGCTGCCTTTGGTTCTTCATGAACGTTCGATATGCACGTCATGCCCACGCATTTGATGCATCTTTAAATGTGGTGGGTTTTTTGACGATAGAAACTTCAGTTTAGGGTGAGATATACGCAAGGCGAGGTGCACTTTAGGAAGTTCTTGCAGAAGACGCGCCATGGCCAAAGCACACTTTTCTATGTTCCTGGCAGCTGGCGAACATATCTTTGCTCGATTTACAATAAGCACACCGCATTCCTTCTCTTACTAGAAAACTGTACGCGAAAAGTTTTTCTTTTTACCACTTAAAGTCATCGCCTTCGGCTGGCCTTACATACGATTTCCCCAAGAAAGAATCCGGCAAGTGAAGAAGTTGCTTTGAGCGAGAGATAATAGAGTCGACGCATGCCCTGTACACTACCGCCAGCGCCCTGCATCTGTGATGCATCTGCACAACGCCTCTTTCAAAAACGACAAGTTAGGAACTTTGGAAAAATTTAGTCCGCGCCCGCTTGTCTAACGGCCCTTTTAACGCCAACCTCCTGCTTTCTGTTCAAACCTGTTTCCTTTGTCGCTTTTTTTCTTCTCCGGACTCCACCTTTTTCCCTGCGTGTTTTCCTAACGTTCCGCACCGCTACATTTGTTTTCTTTTCCTCGGCCCCGTTCTTTTCAGCTCAGGCGCAACTGATCAGACTCAGGCTTTTGCAAAAAGACTTCATCCTCCTCGACTCCAGCTTTCATAACAACGTTCCCGTAAAAGTTGACGCCGAGCCATTTCCACAGGGCCTTCTGATTTATTCGCGCTTTGGCTTCTAGCAAGCCTCCCTTTACTTCCCGGGCCTCTTTTCATCCCCCCAGCTTTGTTTTACTTCTGTGGTCTCTTCATTTTCGTGGCGCGTTCTGGTTTCCATTAAACTAGGCTGAATTTGTGTTTTTGGGCTTTATTTCCGATTGGCTCGAGGACTCTTTTGTTTAGCAGCCACACTATCTTCGGATTGCTCTTGTACAATCTCCTCGTCTAGGTCTCCTTGATCGCTGGTAGAATTTCCCGCAGACGCCTCTTGCCATCTTAACCTGCCCTTTCTTGTTTCCACCCTATGGCCCCATGACTGTAACACACAAAACGACCGATCCACCGGTCAAGCGAAATGCATTTGTGTATAAACTCTACGACATGCTATGCAACCCCAAGCTTGCGCACCTAATCTGGTGGACTGATGCACCAGACACAAACACGTTTGCACTCTGCCCAAGTACAGAATTTGCTGAAGCCCTCAGCGGTTACTTCAAGCACGGCAATGTTGCGCTGTTTGTCCGCCAGCTCCACATGTACGGTTTTCACAAGGTGTCGGACCCGCTGGCCGCCTCGCACCTGGATAAGGACGTGTGGGAATTTCGGCATCTGTCAGGCAAGTTTCGCAAAGACGACGAACTGCTGTTGGTGTATATCAAAAGGCGACTGCTGCTGAATCTGCGCAACCCGGTTTTGGAAAACGAGCTGCGCAGCACGCCAACTCCGCCCCATCTAGGCCGCGAGCCTTACATTTACGGCGTGTTTGGACGCGCGCCAGTGCAACCGCCTGTAGTTGCGCAAACGCCCGTGCTAGCTCACGCTCATGCCCACGCGCACCCGCATGCCTCTGCTCAAGTGCCTGGGCCTGTGCCGCTTGCGCGTTCGGCGCCTCCTGCGTCATTCCAGCCTGACCAGCACCCTTTTGACCGACCCCCGGAGAGGCCCTATGACCGTTTCTACGAACTAAAACCGTACGAGCGTCCGTTCGAGCCCAAATCGTGGGAACATGCGCCGCCACGACAGGACCTCAAGTACGACTTTAAGGATATTAAACCCCTTCCATATGCGTATGGCGCGCAACTCCGGGATGCGCCTGGTTATATGTTACCTCCTCCGGCCCGTGCACCAATATACCAACTCCTGTGGCAACCCGTGCCGCAGTCTTACGTTGCGCCGGAGCCGCTGCACGATTCGCAACTCCACTTCCGCAAGCCATGGGATGCACCTGCACCAAAGCGGAATCCATCGGTGCGCTTTGACCCTTTAGTGCCTGATGAGA